AAAATTTGAGCCGGATTGGTAAAGCAATGCATACTAGCTTGAGTGCGCAAGTTTTCGCAAGGTATGCCTCGAATAATACCCTCCATTAACTCCTCTACATCAATGTTGATGTCCTGTGCCAATATGCTTTTTTCGCTAAAATATGTGGCGAACACCTCATCTGGTTTCCAAACCCGATCCTCGAACTTCTGTCGTAGTTCCGACTTCGAAAATCCTCCCCCGAAGGCCAAAACCAATTGATTTAGCATCTCGTCAATCGGAGCAATGATGCGCATAGGGTCTGCATGCAACCACTTCAAAGCACCGCCTTTCAATTTGCTTATACAAAGCAAGTGCTGTTGCATATCATTTAGTCTGTAGATCTTGGCCACATTGAAGAATTGCATTACCCATTTACGCACCTCACTTTCTCCAGTAAATTCTAATAAAATTTCCTTGGCTAACATCATCGCTCCAGTTTGGATGCAATTATTTAAGTTGCCTCCGACAGCGTTGCCACTTTCGTCGATCCTTCCAGCTGCCCCAGCGTTGCCCGCTGCACCAGCGTGATCAGCTGCACCAGCGTTGCCATCCGTTCCAGTGTAATCAGCTGCACCAGCGTTGCCATCCGTCGACCGTGGTCTTTCTTCAGTGTGACCATCCTCTAGCTGCAATAAATCGCCGACTTCACTTTCTTGCTCTCCCCCGTCGCTCCCGCCGATGTGCGAGTTGCGGTTCACCGTTACTTGAAATTCTTCTAGGAATTTTCGAGACGCTTCAATTTCGAGACGCATCAATTTCAGCATCTCGGCGCCATTTGCTATTTCGTCACGCTGTTGTTGCATTATGTTTTGCAACTCATTTTGAGCCTCAATTGTCTGTTCCTTGTTACGTTGAACTTCAAGTTCCTTTGCAGCATCGTCTCGGATATCCACTGGTACCTTATTTAATCTCGCCATCAGCTCAGTTTTGGTACCCTCTGTTGGCAAATTTAGTAATGCCAACCAACTTTTCAATGTCGCTATTGACACGTCATTTATATTTATATTTTCCATTTTGTTGTGTTTTTTTTTTTTTTTTTCTGAGTCAATCCCACTTCTGATATTGTAATAGTATGATTTTCTTCGTTGATTTAACTTATGTTCGGGTTGCCTTTTTATTTTTAACAACACGTCTTCTTACTGCTAGTACTGTAGAGAGACTGCCTTCCACTTCTTCTCTGCAGCCGCTTTTCTTTATCGATATTTACTTATCGTACTGTTATAATTAACATAGATAGTGACACTATAATACCCTGGCTAGGGTTACCAATGATGCTCTTATCCTATTACAATATTAAATTTAATTTATGATCGTGCTTACAACTAAGGGTCTTACACATTTCACGATCGACAATTGTTATATGTGAAAAATTATCAAAATTATTTCATGGACCCTTATCAAATAGAAATATACAAAGTTAAAAAGTTTGAAAATAGTTTTGCGATATGTTGTTGTGTGTTGTCTGCACGTCCAGTTGATATCCCTTTTGCACCCATTTGATGTGAAGAGGGTATACAAAACCAAACACAAATTGCCACCTATACAAAATATGAATAGTAATTAATCTTAAAAGAGAAATCGATTCAAACCGAATTTAAAATCGACATGTTTTTTAGGACCCAAAAGCTGCTGATGATGACTTTGACGATGGCGTTAAACCAAAACAAATATTACCAATGCTCCGACTGGCAGGGTTCTGGGTTAGAGAGCTTAGAGAGCTTTGAGCTACAGTCACAAAATTTATTTTATTTATATTTTTTTTTATGGCCTCATGAATTTTTAATCAACTTTGCGCTAGCTTTTTCGGCCATTAGGCCGTCAAAAATGTCGAACGGAAATAATCGGTTTGCCGCTTGATAAATGTCAGTTTTTGTCGAGTGCTGGGCGGTGGCGAGGGCCACTTGCCCCAATATTAACAGCAACGACAACGACAACAACAACAACAACAACAACAACAACAGCTTGGGCGGATTGCCGGGACTTGTTAATTTCCGACAATACAACAGCACTGGGCAACACCAGTTTACTTAGTCATTATCCTGGCCGTCTCTTGCAAATGGCAAAATCAATTTGTTTTTCAATTTTAATTGCAATATCGTTTAGCTACCTTCAAGCAGGTGTTGCCCTGCACCCTCTCGCACACTGCCTTCCGTTCGCTGCCTTAATTACATTTAAGCGTCTGTCCGCCTCACATGTCACTTAAATGTCAAGTGCAGTCCGTGGTCTGTTGCGCGGTGGTTTGAGGGTCTATCCACAGGGGGCACCCAAATTAACGTCCCAGCATATGAGTTGACCAGCCACAGCTACACGCATAAAACTACTGTCTCGTGTTTTTGTCTCTACTTGTCATTTATTTTACTCACTTATCGACGTCACCGGCACACATAATTGCATACATTACAGGTAATCAATTATGCCGAATTATACATATTTGGTGTACTCTGCATTCCTCCTCTCAACCGTGGCCGTACATGATTCAGTTCAAATTGATATCCAACTTATTTGGTATTCTTTTTTTTCTCGATTTAATGGACAACTGCACCAAATTGAGGGCACTTAACGATCGCTTTTATGCATATATACATATCTAGGTTAAATAGCTTTCCAGCTGAGAATTGAGGAGCTTGAATAAAACTGCCGAGTCGTCGTAATTGAAGTAAAAGTATATCAAAGTGTTTGAACTAGCAATCGTATTTAGTAGAGCTGGGTATGGAATGAGCAAAATTTGGAAAGGAATAATAAAGTTGTAACTTCGGAATATTTATCTCTTAAGTTGTCTTATCGATTGATAGTAATATATCCTTATAGAGACTATTACATGTTTGTGAGAAAGTTTCTAACATATTAGAGCATCGCCCAGCCTTTGCGCATTGTTGATGAATTCAACTTTTTATTTTAGCTGCCATTAAAATAATCTTACAGGTATAGCCAAAAAAAAAATCAAAGCTCGGTTTTTGTTTTTTCTGCTCAGTTAGGTGTTGAATATAAGATCCATGGATCACATCCTAGCTTGAGAGCTAACCTCAATGGTTGCTGTCAACAAACCATTTTCAGCACTTATTCAAATTCTATAATGTTATTATTAAATTTTAATAAACATCACCCAATACGTGCTACTGATCACATCAGAAGCTCCAACACAAGAGCGACTAATGTATTCAAATATATTATCACTAGGGCTCCCTTAAATGTGGCTTGCACTGTCTTAGCCATATCAGAGCACCTCGTCCTGCCAGTCTGATTAATTATGAACAATAAAAACTAATCCAGAGACAGAGTCAACCCACTTTTCAACAGTTTATTTATCGCTACTTTCGTTGAGCTCAACATTTTCTAGCTTTAGTTGATTAATAAAGAGTGCAACTAAATAGTGGGAAAATTCCCATGACCATAAAATATCTGTTGACTTACAGCACCTGCTACATATATGTCACATCTCTGAGAAAATCTGCAGTAAACATTTACATTTCCGCTGCGCTATAAATTATCATCAATATTAATGACAGGAAGGATCCCCTTTGCTGCTTGGAGCTTAATATGGACAACATGCTGGGTGCAGTGAGCTTTATAAATCCACTCATCGAACCCCATGACGCTGCTGCATGTCGTCCGCATACCCTCCGAAACATGCTGAGCCAAAAGCTATGCAACACATGCCACAGCTAGTCTCTCTTGCTCGCCCCCCCTCTCTCTCTCTCTGCTTTTTCGCTCTGCCTCTCTATCGTTCACGTGAACATGAAGTCGACTTTTTGCGTTACAACAATTGACATAAATGCCAAGAGAGGATATTACCAATTGCCTTAAGCCAATTTTGTCATGAATACGCAGCAGCAGCAGCAGAGGCGCCAGCTGACGTCTATGATGATGTTAGGAGGGGTTCTCGGGCAGGGGGACAGCCCCAGTCTAAGGATAAGGATAACGATGACGTTGCCTGAGCGAACACAATGAAGCTTATAAACGAAATTCAATAGCTGAAAATCGGCGTCCCATCTGCGCTCCGGGTGGACTATTTACAATCGAATTCAAGACCAGCTTCCAACTATTTTTCAAACTGACAGATCGTTATGGCATTATGCATTGTGCGACTATTTTTACTGAAGCACCTCCACTAACCTCTATCTCCCACCCTGATGCAGCTTCTGTGTTTGCTCTGCCAATTTCCGGTCGTGCTTTTTGGGCTACAATAAGAATAAAAGAGAAGTTGAGACCGCCCAGCCCATTTTTGCTACCGTTTGGCTTAGCGGAAAACTCACATCTGTTAGCTAACTTTAACCCATTCAATTCCAGCGTTAGCTGGAGAATATTACCCGCTCATTGAGATTTATATTCTTAAATGTAAGCTCAATTTCCAAGTCAAGACATTGATCGTTAAATAACAATATTTTATAAAGAGACAAATTGTATATATATTGGAAACACGGCAAACTAATTACAAATAGCAGATCAACAACTTTATATTTAAAGGGCAACTCCACTTCAGCTTAGCTAAAAGCTCATTTACGTACTTTTAAGCGCTCCTATTTTAACTAATTTATTTATCTGAATATGACGATCGGTTTATAATTTTATATTTTTCTAAATGTATACAAAAAATATATTTAGTATGCACACAATAAGTATTCATTTAATTATTATTTTTATACATTGAAGAGGTGCTTTAATACTTTTAAGTTTTCTTGTCGTACATCTGAAAAACATTGCATGAGGGTTAAGACTTTCTGTTTGGTTATCCCCTACCCCTAAACGTGCTGTCGCCGTGTCCGTGACTGTCTTAAGTGCCTAAGTGACATTAAAGTTGCACAGCAAAAACCCATCCAACCCACTGAAAGCCGTTTTGGACTATTATTGATTTTAAAATGCAGCAATGGTTGTCTGGCTGCAAAATGGCATTTCGAATTTTTAGCCTTACTAAAGTTTTTCTCTTGCTTTTCTTTCTTTGCTGCTATATACTTCTTCTCTCTGTTTCTTTTATGCTTTAGGTTACAAAATGTCTCGTCCTGAATGCAGAAATCGTCTAACTGGCGCTGAAGTCGATAGCGCGCTCTGCAACGCAGCTAATCGCCCGGACTCATCGGTGGTGCCATGTAATACACACAGCTGTCCGCCGCGGTAAGTACTGCTCTGACAGTTGCCCAAAACTCCCTAGGCAGCCTCCTGCAAGCCTCCCAGCCGCCCAGCCGCCTAGCCTCCCAGCCTACATCACCCAATTGCCTTAGTCCACCTGCCCAGCTATCAATTTAAATGGCGTTTGGTTATCGTGCGCACGTTTTGATTGCCTACTCTGGCTCTATTATCGCCCGGCACTGCCTGGCTGCGGGCTCCTTCACGCTGTCTGTCTTGTTTAGCCTCCAATGTACAGAGCCGCTCCCCCACACTTATTTATCGTTTTGTGACATTTTGCAAAACCAAACTGAAAGTTTACGCCAATTTTGTGAGTGTCTCGCGCCCAGCGCCTCAAATTCTAATCTCCGTTCTGTGCGGTTGTCCATTGTTGGTTTTCCTTTGTACTCTCTATACCCTGTAATCAAAAAACTGCATAACAGTACTATGACGTAACAGCTCTTGGTCCATGTATTGTGTAAATCGATGTCTTCAATAAAAAAGCTGACTCAGCTCTTTGTCTGATCATGTGAAGTCGGGAAATATAAAAGCTAAGTCATGTAAAATTGTTATATTGGTTCTGTATTATTTATGTATTATTTATTTATTTATGGTCATCAAAGCTTACATACATATATACAGGGCAACTGGTAGTCGATCATTGAAATCTCTTACCTTTTTTTGCTTGCCTCTGTTGCTCTTTGCCGTTTCGTCTGTTTATTGCTGTTCGCGGCTTTGGGCCGCCGTCGGTTGGGACATCAATTATTGCCTGTGATTTTGGCTGTCTTGAGGTTTCTGTTTTGGCAACGCTTGCTGCAACATTGGGGAGTTGCTAATAGCTGGTTGGGGTAACGCCTGGCTGTCAGGCGGTATTTGGAGGACCATTGTGTTTGCCAGAGACTTATGATAGTTGTTAAGAGTGTAATGCATGAATCTTGCAATTGAGTTGTATCGTATGGGGGAAATGCTGAGGATTGCCAAATCCGAAGTAACGTTAAAATGGAAAACGATTAATGTTAAAGTCTAGACAGTATAGTTCTTATTTTCACAAGGATTGCATTAACATAACTATGTGTGGTTGGACCAGAGCGTTAAGGACAAGCTTGTAGGCAACATTTGCAGATAAGTGTCTACAAAAGGGAATTTGAATTGTTTTCTTAAAATCTTTAAATGTAGAGTCAGAACGGTAATTAATAGCCAAATTCCATAAAAGAAATTGTTAACGCTCTTTATATGATTTTCATAAGTATAATTGAATAGAATACAGAATTGACAACTAATCGAATCTCGATTTGAGCCCTAACTTCTAAATCACAAATTCTATTCTGTTTTAATCAATGTTTGTTAAAAGCTTCGATATGAGGATATTTGGAAATACTTTTAGACCCATTATAAATTTGGAAATACGTTCAACTACCTTAGGACTTTAGGTATATTTCTAGAGACATAAGAAATTTAAAAACGACACCCAGTTTAGAAAAGTTTTCTTCAGTTACCGAAGGCTCATTACTGACAGCCGCCACTGAGCTGACCTCATCAAATTCACAAAGTGATTCGTCCAGCTAAATAATCTGTCTGCATTAAAAGCCATGCACTTTAGTGTCCAACACCATTTCGAAAAGGGCGTAGACTTTTTTAAGGTTTCTTTTATTTTTTTTGGAGGCCAACCGCAGGGGCGGTCAACGGGCAGCTTGTTTTGGAAACAATTTAGTTGAACTAATTCAGCAAAACGGCCGCGCAAGTGGCCTCTATGCTGTAGTTGGATACTCTAACCACTTGTCCGCCTCTTCCGCAGTTGGATAACCGACGACTGGAGCACTTGCAGTCGCCTCTGTGGGCACGGCTACCGTGAGCGAATGGTTGTCTGCGCCGAGGAGGACAACGGCATCAAAACGCGGGTAAGTGCGGGGGCGGGCTAGTGAAAGGGGTTGGTACTTTGGCCGAAATAGTTGAACGAAAGTGGCTATTACCAGAGTGCCGCCCACTTTTAAACGCTGCTAATTTTGCATACAAAGTGGCGACTCGACTGACACACACAGACACACACACACACACATAAAGGCACAGACACACACCCATACCAGACATATTATTACCATGTTTTCTCACACTCTCCCTCTATACAATTTTTTTTTTATATTTTGTCTGTTCTTCACTTTTCTGGCTCGCTTTCATGGCTGGCCCTTTTGGTAACAGGTTGCAGATATTATGTGCCGCACTCCAAAGCCGCCAACACAGGAGACCTGCATTATCGAGGAGTGCCCGCACTGGGAAGTGGAGGACTGGACCGGTGTAAGTACTACAACAACAACAACAACAGCAACAGCAACTCGTGTAATAATCATGCACTTTTGCCGGCAACACAGACCTAACGAAGACCAAGACATAGATGTAGTTGAAGGAGTAGAAAGAGAGACGCAGACGGAGACGTTGACGAGAGGCCATGTCTGGCCACAGTGTGTACTTAGCTAAATGTGTAGACAGCTACTTGTTTCGTATACTCTTACTGAGGGCCTTAAGAAAATTAGCACACTTTAAAGCCTACTGATTGCGTATCTAAAAGCTTAAGGAGAGCATACTTCTCTCTTCCAAAATTGGAGGCAGCTTCTTTTTTGAAAAATCAAACTAATGCCTTGCTTTTAGATTTTCCACATTCTTACAATCAGCTTTAAATAAAAAAATAAATATTATTTTAGTCTTGGTCTTGCAAGATTCATCAGATGCTGCAGATTATGTATTTAAGTCTATACGGTTTTTCTTGACCACGTTTGTCGACTTCAATTTTCTTATTTACTGAGTAATCTTTTGATACATCTGCTAGAAAAAACACTCAAGAGGTGGCAGGTTTATCAGCTGGAATTTACTTAAATGATTTTATAGAATCATATATTAAGTATGTAAGGGTGTGTAAGTTTCGGCGCGTTAGTTTTAAGGTTTTGCTCGTGGTGTTTTTTGCAATTTACTTTGCTTGCTGGCTCGTAATAAGCCGCTAGACTCGAGACTGAAGCCTCTTCCCGGCTATAGCCATACAACTTAATCAACTTGGCGGCCGTTGTTGCCGTATGCCCCTGCTTAAGTTTGTCTGGCCACAAGTAACGCGTCAACCCCCCTACCCAGCCACTGTTCTGCACATGCCCCCTGCTCTACGACATTTGCGCCTTATCGAGTTCACTTCGCTGCTGTTCATTTAAAGTGCAAGTTTATTAATGTGAGACTCGATTTCTATATGTGTGGAAAGATCTTAAGGGTTGGGATTGTTCCTAAGAGGCTTGCGCAGGGTGTCAAGTTTATGTGTTGCTTAATTGAATTGTCTTGAGTTTGAATTTTATTTATTTTGTTTTCGCTGAATGTTGCTTAAAAGTGTTTCCCTTCGTTTTTTCTTCGAGTGGTAGGTTAAGGCCATATGGAATAGTGGGGCTGGCTCCTGATTTTATGTGTGCTTCCCCCTTTCCGCGTGACGTACAGCCAAGTCACTTCTATAGCTCTTAATACAAAGTGGATTACAATGTTTTAAAATAATGAGCTCAACTTCAGCCTATTAAGAACTTTATGAACTAAAAAACAGGAGGAAAAAATGAAACTTTTCGAAAAAAATTTAACGGCTTGCATGTTAATGGCAAGCACTCAGAGTATTCTAAAGATTAAATTAAATAAGACAATAACGTTCAGAACACCGAATATTAAATACTCTTTCTGATAAATATGATGAGGAAGAAGTGGATGGTCCAAGTATAAATTATCTGAAGGGAAACTAAAAGTCAATTGTAAAACCGAAGGAGTAGCAAAAATGCTTGTTAATTTATTGATAATACAGAGTTCTCAGCAAAAGTTTTTAATGAATCCAATATTTAATTTAGTATTCACTAAAAAACTGTGACTGATTTTAATAAAAAACTTTCCGGATTAGATTGCAGAAATTATATTTCTGAGAATGTTCGTCATATTCAGTCAGAAATTATATTATCCGTAGAGGGCCAGAAAGAGAAAGAGACAGCAAGAAAGTATATAAAGACAACTCAACCCCCACGGAGAGCCTATTAAAAAACACATTTTAATGTTTTTGTACATTAATAAAATAAGTATGCCCATGCATACATATATACACATGTGTATATGTGCATGCCACAAAAATTAAGCTCCATTAAAATAAGCGGAAAATTGGCAAAAGTTGCGGGCGTGTGGAAGACATGAAATGCATAAAAGCAATGAAAAGCGATGGGGCGCAGATAAACAATGGGGTAAGCCACTTGAAAGGAATGTTACACATACGCCGCATGGAACCGGCAACTGACAAAACGCAAACAATATGAAAATATGAAAAAATTTGCATTTGTATGCGTGGGCGCGTGCACGTGCCAACCAGGAGGTGGGACAGGATGTATAAGGGATGTCTGACCATGCCCCTGCCCGCGAAATTCTCTTCAGCATTCGCGTTTTGTTTCAAACAGAGGCCACTTTTACTTTCACTTCTCACGACAGCACTTCGTCATCTCGCGCGTCGTCATCTTTTGCGCAAACAAATGAATTTTTATGGGGCCCTCAGTAAAACATATTGCAATAATTTATAATGCTTATGGATGTACTCTCTATCTGCCTGCCCCTCTATCATAGTGCTCCGTTTCGTGCGGACAGGGCATTCAAATGCGCGGCGTGGAGTGCAAATCGACAGATGGAAGCCTGAGTGCCAAATGTGATCCCCTCACCAAGCCGGGCAGCATGCAGCAGTGTTCGACGGGCATCCATTGTGATGGTGGTCCAAATAAGGGCGGCGGCACCATCATTGTCGGCAGCAGTCGCTCTTTGAATGAGGTGAGCTTGTGGCATGCCAAATGCAGGGATTAGTCCAAAGCCTTACGCTAATCTCTATTTACAGCGCTCCGAGCGGCATATGGACAGCTCGGATCTTGATGATGATGACGACGATGAGGATGCGGATGAAGAGGTTGAAGATGTGGACGATATGGAATCTGGGCAGGATACGGATGACGGCGAGGGCCTCTCCTATGCCGATCAACCTCTGCGCTATGCGCATCATACACAAAGCCGATTGCATCACGAGACGCCTGAGGAGCCACGCACCATGCGACTGATGAGTGGCAGCTCAAGCAAGAATCATAATAATGCAAGGGCAGGTGCAAGTGGTGGGACGGATGTACCGTCACTGGATCCAAGGTGAGTAGAGAAAGAAACAATGTTTGTTTATGGCAAAATGATTTGCTTAAATGTGAGTCCTAACGTATATATAACAGTGAGGTTTTAAGCACGAGAAACCATCTGATTTTATTACTGAAACAACAATTTGTAAGTGTGACTTTATATTATGAGAATCGTTTAGAAAGGCGATATTTTTCCGAGGTATATTGTTAAATATGCGCTCACTTCTGAATCACATTTACTTATGTGTGACCACTAAAAATCGGAGGACATAAAGTGACAGACCGAGACATAGAATATAATAATAATTTAAAGAGAGGAAAAATTTGTGTAGGGAAAGGAACACACATTAAATTAAAGCTGTTTTTACAGGAAGTTACATATTTCTAATATATGCATGATTTTAAAAAATATTAGCTGACACGTAAACAATCTTTAAAATGTTCTGTAACGAAGCCATATTTTGTTGACCCAGCCAAAGCGTTGCCTAGCGTTGCATCTGGCTGTCTAAGTGGTTAATAATCTGTCATTACTCAGACTCAGACCTCCAGCCAGGACACACTTGACATATTTGAACTGTGGCACAAGTTCTCTGAGTCCCTCACTACAGCAGCTCCCTTTGGAGTTTTGCTTAGTGCCCTCTGCTCACGACTTCAGCTTAAGTACTTGGCTTACAAGAACTTACAAGCAGCACACATGCACACACACAGCAATTAGATTGACTGTGGCCACGCACTGTGCCTTCTCATAATGTCCTTGAGCCGTGTCGACACCTAAAATTAAGGCTATCGACAACGACATCATCAACATGAAACTGTTCAAGTTGCTTGTAAGTACAGTAAAGTGCGCCTAATGACAATTAAAGTGCCGCCTTTGCTGCTGCTTTGTTGATGTTTATTGGAAAGCGATAAAGTAGCCGCGATAAGCTGTCCAATCGGGTGCAAGGTGGGATTTAGCTGGGGGTGCAGAGCCGGCTGAAGTAGCGTATATAAACCAACATTTTAATTAGGCGCCTATACTGCGAATGGGGAACATCTAATGAAATCGTTTGGAGCTAGCTAAATCAAATGCTTTTAACTGTTAATTGGTATGTGGGGAATACTCGTATACCAAGTAATAAATTACAACTCTGATTGGGCCGCGCACACACCATGCTCTAAATTAATGTTCTTCTCGTTATACCCTACCGAAGAGTATAAGAGATTAGTTGTAGACTGTCGTGTATGGAAAACTATATAAGTTTACCACGTAGTAAATTACAAGTATTTGTGCTTATATGTACACATACTTTATATGCCTATGTATATATAGATGTATAATAAAAAATCCTATCGGCGGCTCAAAATATTCGGCATGCCTCTGAAGAGTGTTTAATCTTTGGTATGTGAACCAATTAGGCTTGTAATTTATATGAATACAAGTTTTTCTATAATTTGTGTGACTTTTGTATTCAAGGAAATTAGTCAGTGTAAACAACAGCGACTTGGTATTTAGTAGTGTTGGAAGGCGTTGCCAGCTTAAGTGCTCTATCGATTACCATACATTTCCGGAAATGTACTACTAGAGAACTTCCCCAACACAAGCTGACATATTTTAACAGGCTAATGCCCAATCGAATACCGAAGGAGGAAATGACAAGCTGTATCGTCTTATCGGCCAATACAGTAGAAATACAGCAGCGATAGCTCAATATGAAATTAGCAAAAATAAGTCGTTAGATTAATGTTTGTATTAAATGAAGAATTTGCTAAAGCGAGTGCATTGAACTTCATCAATAACCCTACCTCCTAACTACTTATTATGGGAACTTTTAGCTGTGCTCTCTTAGTAAACAGTATTGAGGACTGTTAATGTATTGTAGGAAATTTAATACCTCGGATGTTTTCTGGTGAGAAGTTTGACTTGATGGTATAATTCAAATTATGATTTACCTGACTTTATTAAAAAGTTCAGTAGATAAACTGGCTATAAAAACATTTTATGCCTACCCACGCAATATCTCGTGCATTGACCCAAGGTCCAGAACCAAATCGTACCCACACATTTCTCAAAGACCTAATGGAGCGATGCTCAAAAACAAACTGCCGCTTTTTATGTTTCGCTGAGAGGGCAATTTAACTTATATAGTTTATATATAGTATATACTACAGATACTATCATCTGTTGGTCTGGGTACTAAACTAAAACTACGAGTATTGGCGGCCTGTCGCCTGACGCCTGCCGCCATAAAGTCGCGTCTTGATGCCGCCGAAAAACCTTGGCCTCTGTGTGCGGCGCAAGGCACAAGGAGATGCGCTGGCGAAGCGCCAGACAAACAAACAAAAAAAAAACAACAAATCCAAAGGCAAAGCAGCAAAAACAACTATTAAAGCGCAAACAAAAGTTTCAAACGTTTTTGGGGTTTGGCACTTGGCCTACGCGGCGTATGAGCAACGGGCGCCGGTTATGAAATCAACGAAGCGACCTACTTAGAGGACCTTTCGAGGCTACTGCCGCTCTGCAGATGCTGTAACATTGGCGCCACTTTAATGCGCCCGACGCATGTGGTGCCACTGACGGTGAGGGTCGGTGGCAGCAGCCACAATTTGACTACAAATCAATAAGTGATGACAAGCGGGACAATTGGCCCCGGAGGGGCAAGGGCGCACACTACTATTTGAGCGGTCAGAAAACTATGCGCTGTGTCAAGCTCTTCTATTGACTGTCAATGTGGTCATAAAAACCACTCTGGCTAACAAACAATGCCCAGCTACAGCAGCAACAATAATATCTGTAAAATAAGTCACCATTTCCTAGCCTAAAACTCAGCTCGACTAGGCAATTCCCTGTAAATAGTTATGGTTATTTTATTTCAAAAATATAAGCTGATCTATCATGAAGGGGTTTTTTTGATTAACTTTTGCATCTCCTGTCAACTCTTCTACATACAAAAATTTATTCATATATGCATAATAAACATATGAAAAATTACACATATTTATATATGTAACCGACTCGCTCGATTGAAGAGTTAAGATATGTTTCCTCTGGACTATAACAAACAATGTCATTAGCCTTTACTACCCTAATTAATCACATTTGTGTTTCCAGGGTAATTCTATTGCCCATGGAGTGGCGACAAACATGTCATATAGCACAGTTTTTGGGGCTCTGCCAGCGGGCACGCTTAATAAATGCGACTCGGATGCGGCGTAGCATGAAATGAAATACAATGTGTAAAACGTGGCGCTGACTATTGTTGCATGGAATTTGCTTAGCGCTCGGCTGACAGACAACAGAGATTTTTGGGTTGGGGGTGGGTGGGCTTAGAGAGGGATCGAAGCTGTTGCCTTTTATGTGCTGTGCTCATCTGTTTGTCAGCCAAATACAAAGCTCAACTTTACAGTTGTATTTAGTTTTAATAAACTAAGGCATTGAGTCTTAGATTTAAAGCTAAAAGTCAATATACATATGCAGCTGACGTACTTGATATGTCTTTAAAATCAAATAAAAACAAAAATTTGCATGGAAAGTAAAAATTTATAAATTGATCCAATAAATCGCACATGTTGCTCTATGCAAAACGAAACAATAAGTGATTAATCCCAATAAAAACACATTCACATTTCTGGGAATTTTTCTAATACTAACATTTTAAATTAGCTTCCAAGGCATAAAAATATGATTATTCGAGTTCATTTTCTTTTATGATAAGAGTACACAATATTTCAACTTTAACCCTTCTATTTATTTTTCATTACGTGCAGTTACATCAAGGACACCGAGTGGTCGCCCTGCAGCGTTACCTGCGGCGAGGGCATACGTCGACGCGCTTATAAATGTAAAATCTTTCTGGAATATTCACGCACAGTGGCCACGCTGAATGATAGTCTGTGCGAGGGCACCAAGCCGCATGATGAGGCAGAGCGTTGCGTCGAGGAGCCGTGCATGTTACCGTCGCATGGCTACGATGATCAGTTTCCGCGTGACTCAATCAAGGTGGGCGTCTCAGAGCCAGGCAAGACGTATGTATGGCGCGAGCAGGGCTACACCTCGTGCAGCGCTTCGTGCTTGGGCGGGGTGGAGGAGTTAATCATCAACTGTGTGCGAGAGGATAATGGACGCGTGGTCTCGCCATTCCTCTGCTCGCCAGAAACGAAACCGGAGGCGCGTGTACGCACATGTAACGATCGTCCCTGTCCGCCGCGCTGGAACTATTCAGATTACACGCCCTGCTCGAAGAGCTGTGGCATTGGTATCAAGACGCGTGAAGTGCAGTGCATCCATGAGGTTACACGTGGCGGCGAGAATACCATGGTAGTGCCCAATAGCATGTGCCCACAGCCACCGCCAGCAGATCGACAATATTGCAACGTGCTGGACTGCCCGGTGCGCTGGGAGGTGGGTGAGTGGTCCAAGTGCTCGCACACCTGCGGCTACGGCATCAAGGATCGCAAAGTGGAATGCAAGCAGATTATGGCACAGGAGCATAAAATTGAGCGCCCCGAATCGATGTGCCCCAGCGTCAAGCCGCCGGACAAGAAGCCTTGCAATGTGAAGCCCTGCCCACCCGAGGATCCCAAGCCTGTCATACAAATCAGCAACTCTACCCATATACAACACGACCCGAAGAAGACGAAGATTACACTGAAAGTTGGCGGTGCTGGTGTCGTCTTTTTTGGCACCCAGGTCAAGATCAAGTGTCCTGTGAAACGCTACAATCGCACCAAGATCAAGTGGAGCAAGGATCACAAGCCGTTGGCTCGTTCGCGTAAATTTAAGGTATCCAAAAAGGGCGCATTGCGCATTCTGGATATCACGTTCCGTGATGCGGGCGTCTATTCCTGTCATGCAGGGCTCAGCTCCGCAGAGATTAACATCGAGGTAAAGGCTAAGCCCGGACAGCAGGCCGAAGAACTGGAACGCCAGGAAGCAGGTAAGTTAAGCGTCTGCTTTAAATCAATCTCAATAAGTTTTACGCTTATCTTAATGTTTTTTTTTTTTCATTCATTTATACGATTTACAGATCGTTTAGTGCGTGAGCGCAGCGGCACGGAGGCGCTTACCTCAGCGGACATGACGTCGACCCCGAACGGTGCCACAGCCGGTGGGGCAACAGCGGGCGGCACTGATGGCGGCGCTAATGGGTAAGTAACGAGGGTCACTTGGCTGACCTATCCCGAAACTTTTTGCTTTTAACTTTTCACTTGAAGAGTTGCTGGGAAAGTTGGCAAAATGCGGGAACTAATTAGCAAGGCGCGGCATAAATGAGCGGCCATTTTTAATTCGACGTAAAAGTAGGTTCGTTATGTTTGAAAATAAGTATAGGAGAGATATATACAAGTGTCGGGAACATATATATATATATAGGAATTAATTGATTAATAGGAGAAAACTGGCTTATCCTTTTAACAAGGAAAAACTACTTTAAATTACTTTTCTTTATTTAATCGCTGTAAGCAAAACCTAATTCCCTTCTTTTTTTTTTTTTTTTGAACCATTTCTGACCTATTTTTCAAGCTAACCCGTTGCTAACGGCCTTCCTTAATATTGAACTTTATGGCGACTACTTTAAGATTCCAACATAGCTCCAAAGCTCCTTTGGCCAGTTGTGACCATCCTGTCTGGCTTATCTGTCTGTTGTTTCCTATCGTACAACGCGTCCTATACAACATTCGCGCGGCTCTTTTGTCCACGCCCATTTTACTAACCCCTTTACATTGTTTAGTGCTGAATGCTGTCTGGTGTGCGGCCTGGTCAGTTTTGCGCTTGTTTCCCGTCTTGTCTTTATCTAGCGCTGTTTCCTTTTACCCCAACGCAAACATTGGACTTCAGCTCCTGTTGCGACTCCCCCTTACTCAGTCTGCTTCGTGCAGTTCAACGCTGTGTATGCGTGTTATCACCTTTTAAGTGTTGTGTACCACACACCTCAGCACATTTATTTGTATTTGCCTCGCACTAAAATTCTACAATGCAACAAAAAGCAGAAACGAAACAAAAAAAAACAACAAAACTCTAAGTAAATTTCATGGTTACTTAAATGTGTTTTACCTCTGCTTTGCTCACTTACCCCTCACTTAAGCCCCTTCCCCGCAAAACGTTTTCAAAACTTGTAATGTGTTAAACGCACGAAAGAATGGGCAACTGTTGAATGGGGAATATTTACTAGATGGAATGCTGCGAAATGAAAAAAGATTAGGGAAAAGTACAATATAATTGACTAGATAATAAAAATGAATGTTATATGAGAGTAGTCGAGCCTATAATACAGAATATATTAAGTATAGAATATAATATAATAAAAGCGATTTTCAAGGAGAGTAGATTGATATAAAGAACATAAGAAATTTATAAAATAGTACCGAGTCGAGGTTATAGTCGAGTCCTTTGAATGATTTTGGATGTTTCTTTTGATTCCATTTCATTAAATAAATACCTTAAGATTTCTTTATATCTATTATTAAAATAGAAATATAACGATATACCTTTTGACGACGAATAAGGTGCAAGGTAAAAGCATCAAGAACCTCTTGGTGCAACAGGTTTTTCTTTCGAAAGGTCAATAAAGTAGATAGAGTACGACTGCGCGAAAAAATTCTCTTATTCTAAAATAAGGTTTAAAAAATCCGGACCATTTATTATCTTAGCCCTTTAATGTATCGAGTACATTAAAAGTAATTGCGTCGAGCGAATAATATATTTCCTGTGACGTTAGTCCCTCTCTATTTCCATGGACATAATAGCTTAAAAGGTTTTAGGATTTCTATAGAAATGGTTAATTTAAAAGGAAAGGATTTTTGAAAATATAATTGCTGTCAAATATTAATATAAAATAGTATTATTAATTAAATTGAGCTTAATAATTCTTCAGATTAGTTTTTAGCTAGTTCTCAAATAATTTACAATAATCATATAATGGTATTTGTGGTTTTGCATCGCTCAGAGCATCGCAAAGTCGTTTAGAGACCGTCAAGTTGCATTCTCCTCCATTTGTGTTAGCATCGAGTGCTCGTACTTCAACTCAAACTCGTGCTTGTATATTATGTACTTGTTTTTGGTTTGCGTTTTGTTGGGCTGCTGGTTGCTGTGAAACTCTCTGTCTAAGCTACTTGAATCCTTAAGTCTATTGAGTGGCTGCAGCCCCTTTCGCCTGGCAATACCTGTCTCTCCCGTTGGCTTACAACGCGCGTGTGCGGTTTATTTTGCAATTTGGGTTACGTGTTCGGTTGGGCCACGAGCTTAAACATACCAAAAATTTCAAACACACAACAATTCCATATGTTTGAGCCAAGCGACGGGGCCCACGCACGACCTGCTTAATGGTTAAAAGCAAACAGCCAACAGCAAAATGCATTTTGGCCAAAGCCACAAGCACACACACACAAACACACACACATACGCGACTACATTCACACACACATACCCACAGCTGCAGAGTGCGGCATTCCGGGCTCACAAATGCATCATCAACATGCTCACAAAGTGTTGCCCAACTTTTGGGGGAGGCTGTTCAAATAAATATCATATATATATATATATATATATATTGACATGTAACACTTGATAGCTGCTGGGTGTAGGTTCTGGCCCTGTGGCGGGGTCTGTGTGGGCCACATTTGATCGCATTTTAAATGCTTACCAAAAAAATGTATTTGTCAGTCCCGTGGTGGCAAATTTTCTGCCTATTTTGTTTGAAAAAGAGCACAAATTTTGTGTCAGCAACGAAATATGCAAAATAGGTGACGTTCTATATTGCTGGATGAAAGGGAGGCGGAGGGTTGTCGATGGGAGAGGGTATTCGGTTGCATATTTGGTCGTTTGGTCTTTTGACCAATATTCTGTGTTTTTAGGCTGCATTAAAAGCCGTTTTGATATACCGCTTTTGTTTATTATTCAACATTTATTATTTATTATTTGCATTTTCTGCGAAAAGCAGCAATAATATTGTTATTAGCGGGGGTGCAGGGCAAGTCCGAGCAGTGTGTCGTAAATATCTGTTATCACACAGAGAAATATGTCCGTAAATTTTGATGAATGATGTTACTGAGAAAAATGTTTAAATAAATTCTAAGAATTTTTACTTAAGCCTGAAAGGAAGTACAAACATTTAAATCATGCATGGGCAAACATCACAAATATAAATCTTCAAAAACAGCAAAAAGTTATAGAAAATAACCAAAGCGAAATAATTGAGACGAAAAAGCACAACAAGAATATATCCTGCAACCAGGTTAAGGTGAGCATGCGTTATGCTGTAAAATGTTATGTATTTATTAACCGATGATTACGACCAATAAATACTTAGGTGATTTGTAAATATTTAGTAAATATTTGGCATTGAAGACACTTTTGTTTATTGGTGTTTAAAAAAGAAAACTTAAATTTAATTTAAATCTTTAGCCAGGCTAGCTTAAACAGGGTATCCATGCAAGAATTTTCGTCTAAACGTCCAACAGTCCGTCAAAAGTATGCCATTAGGGCAAAGTTTAAAAATTTAGCAACATTTTTATGTTTTGGCCTGTTGCGTTCTTGCAGCAATATAAATTCATATGAATTCATCTAAGAATTTGAATATAGCAAATTCAATTTTTTATATGCATTTATATTTTATCTGCACACAATGGAAAGGAATAGCAAGCAATTTACTTGTCAATTTATAAGAGTTTTGTTGCCAACAAAAATACATAGAAAATGCAAAATATATAACAAGTGCACAACAAAGCCCAATCCCGGTAGAGTGCTGCGGGTTCATGGCAAGCCAGGGAAGCAAGCGGAAGAGCTGCACCCAGAGCCATGACCAACACATAAAATGTCACTTGGAGCTTTTGTGTTGTTGCAGTCGAACACGTGGCACAGGGATTTGAATGTACTGTGCTTTTGACATTTTGCAGCTAACCAAGCGGCAACAGCAATAACAAGAATAACAACAAAAGCAAAAACAACAACTGCAACAACAAACAGCTGCATCAAATCTAAACAACGAATTTCCGGGCTTTTTTTGGGTTAAGCTTGAGGTCCATTGTTGCGTTAAGTGTTTGGTTGAAAATTGTTTAGTTTTTAAGTTTTTGATACCCTGTACACGTGGAAAATGGGCAATGGTATCAGTAGTGCAAAAACTTATGTATAAACAGTCAGCGGGAGACACATAGAGGTACCTATTTATACTCATATTAATTATGGATAAGATTCTCGTTTTTTGCTCAGGTTCTTAAGTATATCTGGGATACATATATTTCTGTTGTGGGAGTTCATTGTTTGATAAAGGGTATCCTCTAGTCCTTACTTATTCTTATTGCGTTCAGTATTAATTCGCTTTTCATGCCTCGTTGTTCTTTGCAGCTCTCAGCAGCAGCAATCCACACGTCGCAGACAGAATCAGTCGGAAAGGATGCAGAATGGACGTGAACGCAATCGTCGCCCCAAATCCGATGGAGTGCAGCATGCGGACAGCAGCATTATGGAGGATGAGGTAAGTGTAACTGCCAGGCTTGTTTATTATGATTGTCATCCGTCGTCGTATCGCCAACGTATCCTCATCACATGTTTACATTTTAAATATGTTTCATACCGAGTCCTACGAGCTACGAGCTGACACATTGTTAACATTGGGACTGGCTTAACTTGTCGCCTTTACTTTGGATTTGTGTCTGCCAATCCGAGACTACGTTGCGACATGTCCATGTCGCATGTCCTTTTCTGTCAACAGCCACGTAATTTGATAGTTTTTCTACTTTGGTCTATATCAACTATACAAATATCTTTTGATTACTCTGTATGTATATATACTTATATATATACTATATATTGGACTGCATTGTGGCTCTGTTGGCAGTTCAGATTTTGTGGCTGCATATTTTGGCTTTGGTTCTAGAGATCTCCTCCCTCCCTCTCTTTCTCTCTCGCTCGACTAGCCAAACATATGTACGTATACATAATGCGATTTGGAACGAAATTAGGTATACGTAACGTTTGCTGGCAGACGCAGAGCAAAATAACAAAAACTAAAACGGCATTTCACAATGCCTTTCAGAAACAACAACAGCTTGAGTTGAAAACAGAGGGAGCACAGGTGAGAGACGGACAGGTATGCATTGATAGATAAGAGGAACAGCTGGGTTGAGCAACTGCAGCCATCTTCAGGTCGACCAGCTCATACAGACCTAAAGTAAAAATATTATTTCCCTATTTTCTTTTTTTGCCAGTTCAGGTCAAGTTGTATAAACAGAAATATTAGCGTAAATGCTCTGATTGAGTTCAAAAGCTGTGGGAATTGTGTTTAATGCTTTGTTTTCTGGCTATGCATCAAATTGCAAATTTTCCAACAACAAAGGCAGATTTGTAGCCAAAAGCTGCATTAGATGCTAGTTGGGTTTGGGCAGAAATGTAAGGAAATGTTGAGCATGGGCTTAGACTCAAAGCATAACTACATATTCGTAAATTTACAGTCCTACACTAAAGCTGCTTAAAACCCCATTGTATGTTAATATTGGCAGTTTCCAGTAAGCTACGACAGCTGAAACCCTATTTAAATATTCAGACTCTTTGGCTTTAATAGTACACATGGTTTCTTTTCAAGCAACAAATCTTCTTCTAATTTTTATTTAACATTTTTCATTAAAAATTCAAATGCGTTATCATTGTAATCTATTTATTGGAACTATTATAGTATGCCAATAATTTGTTTTGGAATTTCCTTTTAAAATCAATTGAAAACCAAAAATACGAGACACAAGTCAAAAAAGGTTTAGGAAACAGAAGTTGTTGCTTTTGTACTCTTGGCCTACACCGAAGTCATCCATCTATTAGCATACATTATATATATCAACTAAATCAAACTCTATTAAGCACTCGTAAGAAAAACCATTATTAATGAATACTTTGTCAAATTTCTCTTTCTCTTTCCCCTTCGTCGCGCTAATTCGTTACGATTGCGAATTGTGTTCGTTCAATAAAATATGTATATGCATATATATATATATACATATATATAATTATAAATGTATATACGTATAGCATTCGCAATTAGTGCAATCCCAGGACCGAATTCCACAACCAGCGAGCGCCAGCAGCGGCAGCAGCCGCACCAAAACCCTTCTGGCCATGCCCTATTTCCAGGCGTTGCTGAGCAACCTGCAGGTGAGCCATCCCTTGGATTGGTTTGGTTTGGTTTCGTTTCGTTCGTTGTCGCCATTTTCGATTTTTAGTTATTTTTTCTACTTGTTGTGTGTGCATACATTCCTTCATTTGAGATTGTTTTTGATTTAAATGCATTCATTTTTCTCGCTTCTTCTTCTTCGTTTGCCATCCTTTTTTTTCACGCGCCCAATTTTGTTCTTTACGTTGAATTCTGGCGCTTGGCGCAGTCCCAAGGCCTGCCCCATATATCGTATTGTAAGTTTGTGATTGTAATTGTTACCCCAGGTAGGCCCTGTACCGAAATGCATGTGTGTAATTAGTTCACTTGGGGTGCGGGCGGTGGCAGGCAGTAGGGGGGTCGTGGGCGTGGGCGTGGGCGTGTGTATGCGATGCAAATTGCCAAAGTTCTGCATATAAATTTACAGCCTGCGCATATTTGTCTTTCGGCCTGATTGGGACTTGGTCTCCACAGGCCCGGCAGCTATTGCAGCAATTTGTCAATGAGCAGACCATACAAATTAAGCTTAAATTTCCTAGAATTTTGCGGTTAGACAATACTTAGTTTCAGTGCAATTTTCTTCTTATATAACATACAGCTTTGACTTGGAAGTGCATTGTTTTGCAGTATTAGAGTAAATAATTGCCACTTCATGTATTTTCCAAGAATATGTTTAAAGTAGTTGCATTGACTTGAACGTTATTTTAATATATAACTCAGTTGAGTTGATATAAGTTAAATGAGGAGTTTTGTGGAACAGAATAAAAATACAGTTTTCGCTTAAAAACAAAAAACCAGGGCAACGCAAATGCCAAGAGTTAAGCCTAATTTAGTGATTAGCTCAAGATTAAAACAAGTAAAGTAGTAATAAGTATTTTTAATAGAACGTCAAACTTCGCGAAGCTATCACAATTGGCAGCCGAGTTACACGAGGCCAGTTTTTATTGGGTTAGTTCTACTCATCGCATAGGGGAGAATTACTTCACAAATTTATTTCGTTCTTTCCGCCTTTTCTTTGTTGTCTTGTTATTTTGTAGGTCTGCATGCGTTCTCATTTCATTTGCTTAGTTAGCACTTCGTTGCATGAATTTAAAACGTTCTCACTTGTCAACTTTGATTTTTCAACACTATTTGATCTTTCTTTTCTACATATACATACGTAACCCGAAACAATCAATTTTTGTTTCGTGCTCGCTTTTTCGGGGGGGTTGATGTACGGGGCGATGCTTATTGTCAAACAAACCCTCATACAAAAAAAACAACACCAAAAAAAAAAAAAAAACAAAAAACAACAACAATGGAAACACAAATACAATTGTAAACCGAATAATATGCAATGTAGGTAAAATATAAAATATTACTGAATACTACAAGCTATGCCTTCCATTCCATTTTATATGCATAAACAACTTCCGTACACACACATACATACACACACACTCTCTCTCATTCTCTCTCTCTCTCTGATAAAGAAAGCGCACAAACAGTTACGCTCCAAAAAAACAAAAACAAAAATTGTTTTGTTTAATAACAGCAATTTTTTTTGTATTTAAATTTTAAATTGGTCAAAGGTTGTGTTTGAGGCGAACTTTTTGCGCGCTTCTCGCCGCCATCGCCAAACTATTTGCTATCAAAGACATTTTCCGCTGACTTTTATTTGCATTTTGTGCATTTTGTTGAAATGAGCAAACAATTGGCATAATGGGCTAGAAAAACAAACAAACTACACGAGCAAAGTGCAAATGCCAAATGCTAAAAGTCCAAGTAAAGCAAAAGCATTGCATGCAGCAAGCAAATGAAAAAAAAAGTTATATATTTATTGCGTAAAGTGCAAAGAGCAAATTAAGCAGAGTATGCAAAAAACATTTTAATTAAATTTAAAAAATATTTCGAATACACATATGAAAATATAATCTTAAATTAGCATGACATTACGTTAACTAATGCTTATTATTGAGTGCATTCAATTGCTGAATAAATGAATGAATTGTTGGCAATTGTATTTGGATGTTGCTTGACTGAAAAGTTTGATTCTGAATACTTAATAGCCTATGATAATTTAAATGACTATCTATAATTGAATATTTAATATGCGAGATGGAAATTTTAAAGATTTATGACTTTTAACTCTATATAATGGAAAGCACTTGATAGTTAATTACAATTTGGGATAGAATAATTTCTGCTAATGTTCATTTAACGCGTCATTAACTTAATACTAAATAAAGATGTTTCTAAAATTAGGTCATTTTGTTCAATTTTCAAACAACTTATACTCAAGTAATTTGAGTTTTTGAAGCCCTCTTTGAATTAAATTTGTGTAAAATAATTCAATTAATGTCTTTTTAGCTCTGACCAATATCATTCATTTCTAATATTTACTTTAGTTCAGATAATCTGCAAATAGGAGTCTTTCAATATATTTTATATTTTTACTTCGTATGCCTTGTGGCCACGGGCTATCAGATATATATATGTTGTTCTCATCAAGTGGTTTGGCTTTTTACAGTCTATAGATGCTTCAATTCATCAATTGTTAAAAATTATTGCTATCAAATACATTTTATTACAATCGCATTCCGTAACTGCAATCAGCGACTGAAACGCCACCAAAGCAATTAAAATGCCATACAATAGAGTTATATATTGCGAATTACAAAATATGCCTCAAAATTTAACCCCGAAAATGGTGTCAGAATAAAAACAGAGCACTTAATTAAATTATAATTTGTATAAATATAATTTGTGCATTATTGTTGGTCAACCGATATGAGCGACAATTAAATTTCATTATATTAATATACACGCACATTCAAAAAAAAAAATATATATATATTTCCTTATTTTACACATTTTTGTGGGCATGACACAACAACAAGCTGCTTTTCATGTAAATCTGTTAGCATTATTAAAGCACACAATATGTGAGCTTCCGCTGAAAAGGACCAAAGTGCAGATAAATGCTATATGACTGTGGTTGACTGTAGCGTTAGTAGAAAGGAAGTTGTTGTTTTCTATTTGGATATATCGAAAAATATGCCTCTATACTGAACTATACTACAAAATTTAAATGAACTTCCTTCCAATAACAAATCTGTTCCTAAGACCAAGTTCAGTTGCCCTCTTTTGATCATTAGTCAATATAAAATGGAATTCAAGTATATCACAGTATTATATTAACTACATTTTGTACCCTCCAAATGATGTACAAGCTGTAAGTTCTAATGAAAAGTTTTTAACGATCTGCAAAGAGAGAATGCTATCATCTAGCTCGAGATTTCTTAGCCATATACCCTTTGATGAAGAATAGACAATTGGAATTTATTGATCCAGTCTAATTTATTGATTTTTTTGACCCTAGAGCAATAAAACAGAATAATCTTAGCGTATGTTAGCTGAAGTATATTTCTAGAATGCATGATAAGAATTCGTATTTTATTCAAATTTACTTTGATATTTGCATGCCATAATTTTAATCAATGCATATAAAATAACTGAAATGTATTAAGTACATATATATGAAATATTTAACTTATTCATTTATGCATTTCAAAAAGTTTTTAATGAGCTGTTCTCGCTGGCATTGAGCGCCAGCAGCAGCAGCAGCAGCAGCAGCAGCGGCAGCAGAGTAGAACTTGCCGCAAGTTCTTGTTGATGTGCTGGCTTGGTAAGTGCCGCGCCCTCAACGTCAAGCATTTCCTCAATGTATATATATATATATATATATATATATGTGTGTGTGTATGTATGTGTAGGGCTCTGTGTGTGTGTGCACAAGCCGACAAACAATTAGCAACAAAATTTTTTTGCCACAAACTTAATTTATTAATTGAAAAGTTTTTGCCGCGCGAGTTCATTGCAATGTTTACCTCTGGTTGCTTCCAATCACGGCGCTGCTCATAAAAGTTATATAAAGCCAAACAAATTTTTGGCATAGAAAATTAGCTTTCAGTCAACGCTGTCGACGGCATCGCACAAAGTTGCCTTTTACACCTGACGCTGGGCCAAATTAATGCTGTGTGTGCGTGTGTTTGTGTGTGTGCGCGCGCGATATAGTGTCGCGGTTTTTGGCTATGAAAATGTACTAAATAAAGCCGCTGAGATTTAAGCAGAGCAGCTGCTCCTCTCCAACTACTTAAACAGACTATAGCCCTGATATTTAGACGAAAATTGCAACGCCAGCAGCCAGCAACTGGCAGCCAGACGATTTGCCATATCCCTATGCCATATGCAGATTAGGCGAAAATAATTTATGATGCACAGCCAAGCGCAGCACAGGGTCCCGAATACCCTAACCCTAACCCTAACCCCTCTCACCCCTAGCCACCCGAACAAATTTAAGAGCTGCCTTTGAATATGGGCTACAGCCCCAACTGCAAAATGCCACACTCATCTGAGCTAGTTACCGTTAAATTGTAAGCCACACCAGAACGCAACAGCCCACCAAAATGGCCACTTAAATAGTTGGCAAAGCGATTTTATCTAATTTCACAATATTTTTGTTGTTGCACATTTTTCGGTTAGATGACAAAAAATATGCGAACCGCAAAAACGATATATATATATATAAATATATATATATATATGCATAAAATATACACACAACGGCTTATGTAGATGGCCATTTTGTATAATGGCCAACAGCTTTTAGCTGTCGGCATTAAAACCCCACACACACACACTCACTTACAGATGTGTGTGTGTGCTTTCATTTTGCGATAGGCCCAATGATAACTGTTTTTTTTTTTTTTTTTTTTTGGAGTCGAACGCTTGCGGCACATTGATTAACTCTTTGCGGCAGCATCGCTCGATTGCTCACAATATTATAACTATTTTGTATTATTATTGCAAATAAAATTTATTTGCATTTTTGCTCGTTGTCATGCACCGTGGTAACAGTGTCGATTTTGTTTGTTTACTTCAAATTTATTTTAAGTTATACTCAAAGTAATTATTTGTTTTTATCTTATATTGTTCTGACAAATTTAATAACAGGCCGAGCGAATTAAAATGATCTCTTTAGTTACAAGGAGAATCTGGAGAATAAAATTTCCATCGAATATTATTCTTGTATCTTACAGATACTTGTGTATCTTGCACATACAGATAAAAATACAATAATAATATAATTAGCGACTGTGAATAAATACTATTTTATCTAACAGCTTATTTTGTATCTTTAAGATATTTTCCTAGCTTACAGATGCGTCGGTACCTTAGGGATATTGTTATAAGATGCAGTGAGTCTTATATTTGACAGCAACCCTTACATATCCTTTAAGCTAAATCGATTAACGATTTTTACCTATTTTTAACAGGTGTACATAATATACAAAATCATCTTTTGTACCACAGTGTATGCATATGTATATGTATTCTAATTTCTGGCCATCTAATGTGCCATATGAAAATGTTTGGCATTTGTTGATTCTTCACAATTAGATATATATTATTTCATTCTATTATAATATAGAGTGAATAATATAAAATCAATGCAAAGCTAGTAAACAGCACTTAAACTACAGATTTAAATTGAGTTTTGGCATTCGCAATGAAAACAATGGTAAAATGAAAATTGCAGAATATATTACCGCTGAAAATAGGCTTTAAAGTGGGAAATTAAATGTAAATATTTTCTTTCTTATATAGATTTATGTTTTATTTAAATTAACAAGAGTTTCTTTCTCTTGATTTCTCTTAACATTTTAATTTTGGGATAGGCTGACATATATAAGTATTTGTTTGAAAACTTCTTCCGTATTGCTCACAACTCTTTGCTATACAAATATATATTAAACGAGATTATTGAAATCTAAAGTATATCAATGGCAGTTTAATATAAGTCTTATTTCTTCAGCTTATAAGCATCCCATCTATTTACGTTAAGGGCCACTAACTTGACTATCGTAAACAGTTGACTGTCTAATTTAACTGCCCTGAGGATGCCTTTAAGTCGCCTCAAAGTGTGCTTCGCCCAGCTTGGAAATTTCAATGCGCTTCCTTAGCTTAGGTAGCTAATTAAATGCTAATGAAATGCCGCTGATATCATTGTGTTTTGAGGCAAGTTAGAAGCTGCTTTCAATGCTCTGTTTTCCAAACATCATAAAGGGTATTTTGGGTGTTTGCTTTCACTTAACTTATTTGCCACTATATTAAAGTTGAATTTCAAAGCGTTCTCAACTTGAAAAAAACTACACTTTCCACAATTTCGTAGCATCATAATTTGTTAGCGAGTTTATATACTTCAAAGATGAGACCAAATATGTGTGTGATACGCTCAACTGTTTCCCTTAATGCTGGGAACAGGGTATTTCACAGTCATGCAATTTTCTCTAGTGTGCTATTTAATGGCATTCAATAATTTGCTGCTTTTATGAGCGCTTGCTCGAGAGCCCTCTAGTCCTATAGCTCTATCTACTGCATAGATGAAGAATGTGTATAATTGTTTATACACATCCAAGCAAATCCTGGTAATTTAATTTTTAATTGCATTGTTGGCCTCACCTGCTGAACGACTGTTGCTCATTAGCAGGCAGTTTGTCTTTGGCTAAATTACTTCATTGATTGGCAATTGGCTCTTCTGGCTTTTATACGAATTATGCAATTGCAGCTGTGAGTCAGGCTAATGCATTTTGGCCATTTTGCATGTAAGCGAACTGCTTACGTTGCGACTGCCAATTAGCCAAGAGCAGCAGCAGGCCATGCAGAACCGAAACCAAGGCAGAGCTGCTCCATCAATGCTCCATTTCGGGCATAGAATTTATTGCTCAGCATTTTGGTCTATTAATTATGCAAGTGGCCCGATGCTGTGTAGGCCCGACATGCCAGACAAATTTATATAACTGGAGACCAAAAATCGTATTTTAGCTAGCCGAGCGCCAAAGCGCGTTAATAAATTTTCACAGACGTCGCTGGCTGAAGCTAAAGCCGGAGCCATATCCTGGTCTGTCCATCCTCCTGCATCCTCTGCAGCTGCTCGCGCTATTCATCAGTCGAGGCGCAAAATGATTTAAAGAAGCGAAATGTTTGCGCAGTTTTGCTGCCCTTTTAATTTTGATTGCAACTATTTATTAATGCTTCGCTCGCAGGATGCTGGCAGGCTCACACAGGACTGCCGCGCCCCCAGGGCGGTGACTCTGAATGTGGCTCTGCGCTCCATTTAAGCTGCATTCAATTTGTAGCATTCTCTGCATTTGTTAAATGCAACATTTGAACTCAAATTAAATTATGTTGAAAGGCATAAAAGAAAATGTTGCACATTTCATGACTTTGTTTTGTGTACCCTGTAAAATATGCAAGTAGGGTATAATATCTTGCTTAAACTTTATGTCGAAGCCAGGAGTCGATATTTCCAACCCAATCGAGGATTCAACAGTTTACACAAAATAAACATTAATTTTTTTAGCCCCTCAGCATGTCGACTTAAACGGGTTTCTTCTCACACAAGATACCTGAAAATAAAATAAAAAATGTCAGTTAACTCATTAAACAGCATCTTCTAGTCGATCATGCACATGTAATTTTTTTTTTCGTTTCGACCTGATTGTTGATTTATCCCTGTTTGGTTACCTGGCTGTCTCTGGCAACGTTTTGGCCACTTTTCAGGCGTGAGAATTTAACGATGTGCGTGCCTCAAAGTGTCTCCCGTTTTGTAAAAAGCCACAAAAAAATATACAACATAAATTTTCATATATTTAAATTTAACTTGTAGACTTTATAAGTTGTTAATGAGTGCGGAAAAATTGCTAAAATGGAAGCAGTCAATTAAAAAAACTAAATATAATTCAGGAAGCGTATTTTTATTATTACAAAGTAATTAATAAAATTCATCAGACCTTCAAAACTAGCAGCAGAAATTTATAATTAAATAATCTTATTTAAAAATTACATAACGTTAATTTGCATACGTATTGAATGGACCTTTCTAGCTTACTGTAGGTTGGTCTGGACATTAAAAACGGATATTATCAATGCATTAGACGACTTGAAAGCATTTTTGATTGTTTGAGAAAGAAAAGATTTGACTCTTAGAGCCCCCCCATTTTAAATTCATTTTGCAATAAGAAATAAGAATAGGAGCAAAAGATTTTGTTCTTCGAATCAAATTCATATTTCAAGGCGTTCTTATTGCCTAATTACATGGATTTCATGTTCATAACATATATTTTATGTTGCTTTTAAGATTGATCTACTAAATGTCATAAATCATATTTTTAGGGGCTTCATTTAGTAATCTGTTAATTTAAATTTAACAAAATTTAAAAAAAAAACCTGTTTACCTTGGCTTAGACATTTCAACATCTATTCATTTGGAATTTAAACGCAGTTTCACATTGCCCCGCTTAAAGTGGACACTCATCTATTGCACAAATCCGCCGTGCGTTTTTTTTTTTTTTTTAACACAAATTTATGAAAGATTGTCAACATAAACTGCTTAAGTTTTAAAGTATAGCTAGCTCCAAAAAAATTAAAAGGAAATGAATAGGCTGGGCCTCTTATTCGCATACTAATTATCGAATTGGCATTAGCTTTCTGGGCCTGGTGCCGAGAGCCCGGCAAAAGTTTCGGTTAACGATTGCAACGGAGAACGGTTGGGGCAATGGGGATGGGAGCTGTAAATGGCTGCCAACAGTTTTGCTTGCTGCCTGCCGACAGCACGTATTGACAGGAGCTCGGCAACAGCAGCAGCAGCAACAACAACAAACACAACAACAACAAACACAACAACAACAACAACAAAAACAAAAACAATGCCAACGATTGCAATTGCGATTGCGGTGACAATAAAAGGCTATGGAGGCGTTGGCGTTAGTGTCGATCTACAAATGACAACGGCGCACACACACAGTCACAGACACAGGCACGCACACACAGATACAGACACGCCTAGCAGCTGCCCATAAAAGCGCAGCAGATGCAACAACAACAACAACAAACAGCGCAGCGTATTTGTCGGTTTCAAGTGCCACTTGGGAAATCATCTTTTCGCTCGATTCCCCTTCTCCAACCCCAACCGAAAACTGCCCCGCGCCGCCCACCCATCACCTCCCGTCTGAGGAACACGTTGCGCATCGACCCGGTCGAGCAACGGGTTGCTGTAAATGAAAACGACCAGCGACGATGAGGTTGACAGTGAGACAATGCTGCCTCACAGCAACAACAGCAGCAACAACTACAAGGTGGTTAGCTTTTGGGGTCGGTGGGCTGAGGTGGTTGTATGTGGGCTTACAAAAGTCAAAAACCAAATGCGTTGCATATGCACTAGAAAATTGTTGGCCAAAAATGCATTTGGTAGTCAAATTTTTGCAGAGGCTGAGTGCAAAGCGGCATTCTGTGAGTGCTTTTCGGGGGCTTGTATATGTGGGTAGGGTGTGTGTGTGTGGGGGGTAGGGGTTTAAACATAAGGGGGGCAGGTGGAGTACGGCTTGAGGTGGGGGCAGCTGTGGCAGTTGAGTTCAATGGCTAATCGGATTTTGCAGTATGTAGTCAGTCAACGTGAAGCAATTGATGAGGGCAATTCAAGGGTGCATGCATGAAGAGCACACACACATGCACACACACATGCACACACTCACGCACACTGATAGCGCACACGTTATGAAAGCGGAAACGGAAACGCGTTGACGGCCGTGCAAATTTACCGTAGCATAGCACAACATGGCGCTCCATTGATGCTGCTAGCTGCCTGCCTGCTGGTTGCCGCTTGCTGCATGCCACATGCTGCATGCGGGCTCAATAGCAATCTCTATTTGTATCCCAACACTTTTAAGCTAACATCTCTCATACGTAAATCCAAACTTTATGCTTATCTTCCCACCCGTCCATATGCAGCTGCTTTGGCCGCTGCAGCGCTTTAAGGACTCGCGCGGACAGCACTTACTGCAGCGTGAGGCTCTCAATTATGGCCTCGATTTGGAGCCCCAACGCTACGAACAGGATGAGCCGGCGCGTGTGCTGCCAAAGACCAAAGAGCTGCACACCGAAGCAGGCCGTATTCTCGCCGTGCCCAGCCAGAATGGACAGCAGCAACTGCATCGACAGCCAGCAGAGGATGTGCCGCCGCATATGCCACACGCGCGCTGGGAAACGGCCACGACAATGACACTGGCCAGCAGCACGGCAACCAATCAAGCGAGCAGCGAGGCAGGCGTGCCAGGCGTGGCCAGCGGTCACTTTGTCTACACCTGGCAGCTGGGCGAGTGGTCCAAGTGTTCGCAGGAATGTGGAGCGGCAGGCAGCGGTTTGCAGGTGAGTTCAAAGTAGGCGGAAATTAGTTGCGGGAGCTATTGAACGGGCCTGGCAGCTAATGAGAATACCATAACAAGTCCAGAGAAGGTGTGTGAAATCAATAGGCAGATGAAGCTTGATTATCCAAGATGCTGAGAATCCATTTAAAAGAGCTAAAAAAATAAACATTAAGAAATTAACTATCACAAATGAATCTGCGCCTATAAACACACACATGCAACAGACAGATATCGGATTTCATTCCCTAAAATATGTATATATTTAAAAAATATGTTTAAGCTTGTCTTGCTTTGTTTCAAGTCCGTTCTCTTTAACGAGATTAATTTGGGCATTAAATCAATACATTAGCATTCCGGTTAACAGATTTCGCAGTCAAAAGAGTTTCGCATAATCAAGGTTTAACCGTATAATTTCATAAGTAACCATTCATTGCGCTTAAGAAAAATAAAAAAAAAATAATTACTTAATATATTCATACACAAAAATTGACCACACTTGCGAAGAAATTGTAATATTTTCATTGAAATATTTCAAAAGGTATTTTTATATTCTTTAAAAAAATTTGTTTTAAAATTGACGCCCAAAACGAATACTTAAAATTTTCTAAATATTCTAAATTTAAAGAAAAGGTTGCAAATGAAAATGTACAAAAAAATCTTATTTTAGCCAATTATTTTTATTATCCACTTAGTCAAAGACTAAGTTTTTCCGGTTGCTAGCTCCTAAATTGATATAGTTTTTATAGAATGCGGACAAATTATATATATTATTTATATAGAAAATGCTACAACGTTTCATCAATAAAGCATGAGTTTGCAGCTAGATAAATTAAATTTTAGCTTTTAAAAGACGCAGAGAAGAGTTGCTGCAAGCGTTAGAACCAGCTGCCCAGGCCACAGCTGCCACTTATATAATAATTAGCCAAATGCATGGCTTTGCCAACTACCAGATTCTGTTCTAGCTGTGTTTCCACACCGAAACCCAAATCCAGCCCATGGTCCGCAGCGTTGTCCACATAAAAATCAAGCAAGAGTTTAAATATTTTAACAGCCAGTGGCTCGACACGGTTGTCCTGGCGCTGCCTCCCATTGTTTTATGTGTGGCATGGACACAAAAAATGTAACAGTAAACTTTGTTTCTTTGCAACTCTGCCCACAGCGTCGCACGCTGAGCTGCCGGCGTGTGGTAGCAGAGAAGAAGACAACGACAACGACGACGACGACGACGACGAGGACAACGATGTCGATGTCAAATGGCACCGATGGCGGCGGCGACATCGTGGAGAATGCGCAATGCCGAGCCCAAGGGCTGGACATGCCCGACACGTTCCAGAGCTGCGGCAACGAGCCGTGTCCACACTGGACCAAGGGCGACTGGACGCTCTGCCAGCAGTCCCGCTGCCACAGACGCAACACGGCCGTGCAACGACGGGAGGTGAGCTGCCGCTACGAGAACGGCAGCGCAGGCATTGCCTGCGATGAGTACGAGAGGCCGACGGCGCGCCAGGAATGCTACAACGAACGCTGCAAGGGCGTCTGGCGCGTGGAGCCCTGGTCCGAGGTGGGTGAGCTGCTCGCCGCCAATCACCATGGCCATGGCTAAAGCTATAACAATAACTATAGCCATGACTCTGGCTCCGGCCGGCTCCATACATTGGGCGCATCATTTATTAATGGCAAATGCAATTCCTCTCTGCTTTGGTATCGTTTCACAGTGCAATGCGCCCTGCGGTCGCCAGGGCATCAAATTCCGCATTCTGCAGTGCGTCTGGTATGGCAGCCGTCGACCCGCTGGCAACGTTTGCAAGCATCAGCCACGCCCAGCGGTTATGAAGGTGTGCAAGAGTCCTCCATGTCAATCCAAAAGTGAGTATATATGTTTATGTCAATCTACTTACAGTTATCCATTTATATCTATCTTTTTATATAAGTACCGAAATACCAAGATTAAATTGATATATATACATATTTATATCTCTATCTTTATCTGAGTCGATCCTAATTAATATCCATTTGTATTTCTTCATTTATTCATCAACGTCTTGAATATAAATCGCAGTGATCACATCGACTGGTTGTCGCGATGCCTCTCGCTATTGCCGCAACGCCAGGGCCATGGGTCTGTGTCGACTGCATCGCTATAAGGAGAAATGCTGCGGTTCCTGTCAGCCCAATCTGGAGGAACTTCAATAGATGTGCTGCGACTACCAAATAGAAGAAATAAATGTCGAAGAAATCAGCAAGCAATTACTATAAGTACAGTTAGGGTAATCCTATATAGCATGGTATAGAAACTCGAACCCATAACTGAAATTTTGAATTCGAATATGACTAACAAGGACGAGTGCAATTTAGTTGATAGTTAAATATGATTGGGAAAATTGTAATGAGAGTAATGCAGATCAATTTGAGGATAAAGCAAATATCGTTTCAATTTTTGTCTACATAAATAAGCAACAGGTACAGATACAGATACAGATAAAGATAAAGATGCAGATGCAGATATGCATTTAAATGTGTGCAGAACAGGAGCAAATATTTACAACTATTCGTAAACTAAGCGCAAATTATGTTTAGATATGCCCAAAAGCAATCCATGCTGGCAAATAAATTGCCAAGATTTATTATATATCGATTATATAATATGCTTATATGTGGGATATATAAATATAAAATTTATAATCGTCTGATTTGGCAGCGAGTAGTTTGTCCCAAAGGCGGCTTTGCTTTAAGCAATTCCAACATTAAATACTAAAAGTATTTGATAAATATTGCAAGTAATACAGAAATCATTCGGATCCAACCGCTAAAGCGTTGGCTACCATTTTTGACTATGCTTCAAGGTGTGCATTAGGCCAACTTAAAAAAGGTTAAGGGCCATATAGGGCGGCGCTACTAGGAACCGTGGAAAGTTAAGCATAAATCACAGTACACTTTAATAGATAAATCGCAATCGATATAAGGTTGAGTATCCATAATGTTAGTGAGCTAAAAAGAAAACCAATTTCATGAAAAATGACATTTCTTTCCACTTAAAGAAAGGAATTAGTCAAACATTTCAGTTTAAGCAAATGCCTACATTAACTGTAAACATAAAACAAAACTAACCCAGCAAAATATTGGAAAAACAAGAAACAACAAACTGCACTGTTACCTAATGTGGACAAACATATTATACAAATACATATACAAACTAGATACATCATGTAAATATTCTAGCAAATACTAAAAGTTAAGATACAGCTGATTATGTTTTGAGATCAATTCGGATTATAAAAACTATGTTAATTGATGTATGGTAAACTTTTGCAAATACCATTTCCTTTGGCGCATTTATAAGCAAAACAAAAACAAAAAACAACAACTGCTATTTCTTATAGCCTATCTGAAATTCAAAAGTCCAGTTATTGTAAATAAACATTTGATTTACACGCATAAACGTTATAAATGAGAATATATATGTGTATTTATATAAATATAAAATACCTACTTGTAATTAGTTTATATTTTGTATTAAACCAACTTGTTTTATATATATATATGTATTAACTAAATGCAAAGATAAAACGTAAATCCGTTAGCTGCTAACTATAGTTTAATATAAAATACCTAAGACATACATTGAGAATCCAACAAATGTTAAAAGCAAAACCATATTAAATCGAATATTTAAATTGTTAAGTAAAGGTTATAAATAAATTACATATACAACAATTTAAAATGCATACCATAACCAATGTTAAACGTACATATACACACTCACTCACACACACACAACACTTACCAATTTACACACACATAACATAGCATTATATAAAAAAATTAAATACAAATAAATAAATTAATTTAAGCAACGGCGAAAATGCATTGTAAAATGTAATACGAAAGCATCTGCTTAAATATTGTAAGAAACTGAAACGAAGTGAAATAACAAAATAAAAATGATGTTTGAAAATCTTGCAAGTTCGTGAAGCACATGAACTTGCCGATATCCTTGCAGATCATGACGAGTCCTGTGCAAAGCCGCATTTTGTATTTAAGATCCAAACGTACCAAGTCCTTTGAAAATCCGCCAGTAAATGCGCGAACAATTGCTGAAAGGACATTAATCACAAAACTATATATAGCTTGGCCACTTCAAGGAGTATCCAGATGTCCTTTGGTCAACAAAAAGTCCATGTTCTCCCAGTTCAGAGCACAAAAAGAAAAGGACGAAAGTCCTTCAAACAACCCTAATATAGGAATATCCTTTTTGGATGTAAATAAGACCAGTGCTTCGCTGTATTTCTAAATATCCTGTCAAATCCTGTATCATATAAATCCTATCGACTACGAGTAAAAACTGCCCAAAGGACATCAAAATCGTCCTTGTAGTTTCCAAGATATGGCTATTTTTCTAAAAAGGACATTCTTTTAACACCCATATCTCGGTCAAATCCTTAAGGATATTAAAAGGATATACATTTTTCACATCGTGGGGAGCAGGACTACCGATTGGCATTCAAGGATTTCCATGATTCGACAAAAAAAAAGTTCTCAATTTCTGTAAGGGGGTTAGTCAGAAAATCGAAAATTTCCATATAAATTTTGCCATTTGAAGGACGATCTGGATGTCCTTTGGGCAGTAGATAGTCCCTGTCCTACCATTTACGAATATGCAACCCGAAGGACGATAGTCCTTCAAACAGCTGAGAAAACAGGACTTTTTTAATAAAATTTATTGACTTTAAATAGGCTATAGCTCGGCTATATCCTTACGTATCCTGACGAGTCCTGTGCCAAATAGATTGTATGGACCATGGCTACAATGTGGCCAAAGGGCATCGAGATCGTCCTTGTAGTTTCGGAGATATTAAGGATTTTGTGTATTATGCCCATTTCCTTAGGCGCCGCGACTGAAAAAATGATCAAGTCCAGGATTCTTAGATGACCCCCCAATATTTGAATGCAGATCGATGCGGCTGGTCTTCACGATCCTAACGCACCATGTCCTTTGAAAATCCGCAAGGATATGGCCAAGTTATACGCTTTCAAAAGTCAGCGTTTCATATGGTCGGCTAAAAATATCGTTGCATACCCGAAAGGGTCGTCGGTTGGCGGTCGTCGGCTGTCGAGAATTCTTAAATTCAGCTGAAATACCAGGCGAACAGAAGTGCCCAGCAAGCAGACGAAAATTTTCGGGAAAATTTTTTATTGCATACCCGTAAGGGGCAAAAATGTTAAATGCAGCTGCTGACTTGCAAAATTCCTAACAGTCGACTGTTACAGCTAACAGTTTAATGCTAATAACATTGCCCCTTAGGGGTATGCAACGGAGTATTTCAGCCATCCAAATAAAATGTATATTTTGAAATGCGTATAACTCGGCCATATCCTTGCGGATTTTCAAAGGACATGGTGCGTTAGGATCGTGAGGACCAGTCGCATCGATCTGCATTCAAATATTGGGGGGTCATCTAAGAATCCTGGACTTGATCATTTTTTCAGTCGCGGCGCCTAAGGAAATGGGCATAATACACAAAATCCTTAATATCTCCGAAACTACAAGGACGATCTCGATGCCCTTTGGCCACATTGTAGCCATGGTCCATACAATCTATTTGGCACAGGACTCGTCAGGATACGTAAGGATATAGCCGAGCTATAGCCTATTTTATGTGCAAAAATTTTGTTAAAAAAGTCCTGTTTTCTCAGCTGCTTGAAGGACTATCGTCCTTCGGGTTGCATACTTAAAAATGGCAGGCCAAGGACTATCTACCGTCCAAAGGACATCCAGATCGTCCTTCAATTGGCAAAGTTTATATGGAAATTTTCGATTTTCTGACTAACCCCCTTACAGAAATTGGGAACTTTTTTTTTGTCGAATCATGGAAATCCTTGAATGCCAATCGGTAGTCCTGATCCCTACGATGTGAAAAATGTATATCCTTTTAATATCCTTAAGGATTTGACCGAGATATGGGTGTTAAAAGAATGTCCTTTTTAGAAAAATAGCCATATCTTGGAAACTACAAGGACGATTTTGATGTCCTTTGGCCAGTTTATAGTCGTAGTCGCTACGATTTATATGATACAGGATTTGACAGGATATCTATAAATACAGCGAAGCACTGGTTTGATTTACTTCCAAAAAGGATATTCCTATATTTGGGTTGTTTGAAGGACTTTCGTCCTTCTCTTTATGTGCTCTGAGCTGGAAGGACAAGGACGTTTTGCTGACCAAAGGACATTAGGGCAGTACTTGAAATACGTTAATATGATCAATTTTGTGATTAGTGTCCTTTGTAAAATATTAGCCATAGATCGGCGATTTATAATGGACAATAAGTGCTGAAAGGAAAAACATACATGAGTGTATGTATCCATGGTATAAAATAACTAAGGACATGTGGATCATCTAGAATTGGGCTTTTGTTGCACACTTAGTTTCTTACAAATACTCAATTTAAGAGCGCGGTTTACAAAATTGGAAATCAACATCATTATTTAGCAAGTACAATTCTACTATATTTCTACTATGGAGTTCAGTACAATGTCTATCCTACCTACAGTTGCTATCAATATAGTTTTATTTACATCTGCTTAACTAATTTTATTCAGGAGTTTGGGCAAAGCCCTTAGAAGTATCAATGAGTGCAAGGCATTTCGTGTAAACTCATAGGCCAGAAACAGAAAGCGTCCATGCTGCTTGGGTGTACAGAGGCGCAGGATATAGTTCAGGAGCTCCAGGATGCCGATCCCCAGAAACCGATGCGAATATTTGGACTCGAACGTTCTTCTGCGTGCGAAAGTAAATGCAACTTTAGTGGAATATGCTACAAACACTTAGAGCTAATAGACATACAGCTGCACCAAGGGTAATGAGAGTGCCACGCCCATTAGATTGCCCAAATCTCGAGCCAGCAGAAAGATGGGACTGCTCTCATGTCGCATATAGGTAGGTTCCGGGCACCACTTAAAAGACTAAAAGAATGCGATTATTACAAAGTGGTTAAGCTGAGATAATTTAATAGACCCACCTGCCGCACTGACCAGTGTGGATCGATTCCCAGTTGCAGCTTGATAAAATAAACTGAGATGGCCATGCAGCCAAACAGAAGCACCAGCAGCACAGCCCATCCACGTCGCTGGGCGTACAGTTGGTCCAGATGCCGTTGAAAACTGGCCAGAAGACTGACCGCAATATAAGTGGACAACAGGCACTGATGCAGATACTCCGTGGCCAGATAGAGGCGACTCAGCCACATGCAGAGCGTGCAGCATCCAATCAAGAGATGCACGAGTGGTCCCCAGTTGGCGGATCGGTCCTTAAGCGGCAAATGAACACTCACAACCATAAGCAAAGCCGTCCAGGTCATGGTGTGAGCGCAGGGCATCCCGCCGCTTGTCTCACAGCTCAGATCGTGACTTTGCAAGGCGACACGCGGCCTAATACCATGCACATTGGCGTAGAGTTCGCGTAGCCGCCAGAGCGGTCGCCACTCGGGGTATATCCTGTAGGTGCAGAACTGTTAAGATGTGTGCTCACAACTAATTGAAGCTGTCATACCTACCATTTCTCGAAGGAGCTCACCGCGCTGACCAGACTCAGCGCATAGACCAGATGTGTAAGCAAATCCTGTCCACAGATGCCCAACAAAGGTATAAGCACATTAAACAGATTGCCCGGCTCCAGATAAATGCTGACGAAGCGAAACAATGGCTCCGCAAGACTAAGGCTGCAAGAAATTGCCATTAGATTTATGTTTAAGAAGTTTAGAACTTTGATTTACCGATCCTGCACCCACTCGTTAATGTGCAGCTCCGCGTTCAGCAGATAGTGGTAATAGTCCACCGCTAGGCGAAGCACGTCCAACTCCATTTAAAAGATTATTGTTTTTTAATTAAATTCAGTTAAGGATGTGTTTTTACAAAGCGCATCCTTTTCTGTTTTTGGCGTAAAGCGGAAAACATAAAACAGCTGAAGCTGGCGCATGCGCTTTATTCTCCTACAGTGCGACCTGAAATATTAGTCATACCTTTGGTTGCACTGCTTGCTAAACTGCTTGTGTATGCACTTACATTCGAAGTTTAAATAAACTAGTCGATTTTAAACAGTTCAAACGGCAATGTTTAGTCCTTACTAAAGTGAAGATAGGATAAGAATTTAAAACAACTTTGTATTTGGGCGACGTAAACATACCTGGATGGAACAGTTCCTTACAAACGCGTAGCGAAATCATGCTGAGAAGTCATCCGCTTAGGGTAATACGGGAGTGCCTCTTAAATAGAAACAAACGTTAATAAGAAAAGAACAAGCCATATTAAATTTAATAATTACTTACTTGTGCTGCTCCCAATCATAGTTAGATATAACTTTGTACAGGTTTAAGTGGTATAATTGCTTATGAAAATGAGCATTTCTTCCATATACAATTCCGGTTCAATCAGTTCAGATTTGCAAAAAGGTATAAAGCCAAATGGAGTTGTACATTGAGGCATAACATTAATTAGTTCATTGTTTCAATTAAAATGTAAATTTTAATAAATAATGCGAACGGTTTACAAAAACTGATAACAAATCATATTTTCAATAAATACACATATACATATACACATACACATACACATACACATACATACATAGGTATAAGTATATGGAGTAAGGGCCGCTGTATTGTTTTTGTTGTTGTGTTGTGATTGTAGCTAAACATCAATGGAAATTTTCATAATGCACTAAATTGTAGAACATGACTAATTTATGAAGTTACATACGTGAGAGATAGTTAAGTAAATTAACAGTACACGAGGAAAGGAGTGGGCAGGGGGTGCTACTAAATTCGCTTAAATGCTGAATGAATGAAACTAAATACTATTCATAATATTCGTAAGATAATCCGTTTTGTTTTTTGTGCTGTGTTGTGATTGTATAGTAGTTGGCAGATAATTGTAGAGTTGAGTAGAGTTAGGCGTACGCAGACCTAACCGAAATTCTCGAAATGATGTATAAAATAGGGCAATTTGCGTGTTTTATTCACTTCATCACAGGCGGACATGACGCTTTTTGTGAGCGGCCTGGGACCGCACGAGAAGACGCCTATTTTGGATACCTGTTAATTGATATTTAACTGATATAATGCGGATCTGTTACAGATACTTTGCATGGCTGCTTACATAGGAGTGCTTCTTTTGCACGAACTTGAGAAAACTTGACATGTCTGGGCGACCGAAATGATTGACAGCCTTGAGACCCGTGAATATGGAGGTCTTCGAGAGACGCTGAAAGTGATTCTCACATATGTACTGCAAAAGAGAGAAAGGAAAACTATAAACAAAATACAAAGAGATCATTGGTTTTAAGACTCACCAGCATGGTGGTACGCAGATCGAATTTGTGAAAGAACTGCGTTATAAAGATGTGTATCTCCAGCACATTGGTCACATCCTTCTTCTCCACATCGCGCAGCACATCGATGAACCACTCGAAGTGCTTGTGCGATGGGCAAATCCAAAGGAAGTATACCTTTTTGCAGGCCACGCCCGAGTAGCGATTGGTGCTGGTGCCAAAGACCAGATCGTTCAGTATGGATGCGTAGGGTGTAACACCAATGCCACCGCCCACCATGACAGCCACCTCAAATTTATACCAGTCCTGATTGCCACCACCGAACGGACCCTCGATGCGTATCTTGGGCTGATCCTCTGCATTATAATTGCATGGATCGAAATAGTTACGCAGCTTCCAAGTCCAGGGTCCCTGCGCCTTGATGTGACAGCTCAGGAAGTTCTCGTGCGGTGCCGAGGTTAGCGTAAAGCTATGCATCTCTTGCGGCCTGAAGGCGGTGCAGGACAGACGCACCCACTGACCGGACAAATACTTTAGATTTGGCGGCCTATAGAATTTGATTTTTATAACATCCGAGGGCAGTAAATCAGTATCGATAACATCAAGTGCCATATACTTGGTGCGCAGCGAGACAATCTTGTCCAGCGTGTAAATGATGCCGGGTCCCAAAAAGAACATCCAGAAACGTGGCGGCCCCGTTAGACGCGCCAGACCATGAACCAAGCTCAACATATATAGCCCAATATAGAGAGTGTGCATGTTCCAGAAGAAATTGTATGCCCTCTTGCGTATGGTCGGATGAGCAAATACAAATATAACGCACATTATGATAAAGAGCAGGACGCCCGTGGTGCCGGTGACCGTTTGGAAGAGCCAGAAGGTAATATCCGGCTTGTAGTCGGACGCAAAGTGAACCTCACGCGTCAGACAGCGCAGATTCTCGTGCGATTGTGTAGACACATGATAAAAGTTGACAATATGCCCCACGGTGTGTAGCACTGAGAAGAACAGCGCCGTGCAGGCGGCAATCTTATGGAACTGTATATGCGAGTCCAGGGGTATATACTGCTGTATGGGGAACTCCTTAAGTTTGGTGATGAGATTTCTACAAGTGCAAGTGGAAGGGTTAGTTGCGTAAATAAAATCGTAAGGGATATTGCTCACCTGGACATGGTCAGCAGCAGCAACGAGTAGCAAAAGGACAAAGATGCCGCCGATCCTCGTGTGATGGCAATGCCCACGCCCATAATATGACGTAGATCCGTGTGCTCGGCCATAAAGGAATAGTGTATGAAGCGCTCGACGAACAGAACAATGGTTACCACATAGAATAGAAATAGATAAAAGATATTCTGACGATTCTCCTCGAGGAAGGTAATGTAAGCATCCCATTTGGCGAGCAGCCAATGGCGTGGCTTATCCTGCATGGGCTCAATGTTAAAGGAGGTCATGCGTGCCACATTTGTGGATGTATCGAGGAAATTCTGTTTGGCACCCTTGCAATCCAGGCCAATGGCAACAAAATCCCCCTTATATTCCTTCATCATGAGCTTAAAGTCCTGATAGGTTAGATGATTCTTGTGCTCGAGTCCCACATCCTGGAACATGCCATCGATCAGCTCGGTGACCTGATCGTCACCCAAGCTGGTTGTCCGCGCAATCTCCACCAGCGAGCGCATCATTTCGCTTAGTTCCCCCTTGTCGATCACCCCGTTCCGATCATTGTCGCACATATCAAATATGATGCGGAGCTTGTCGTCCGTTTTGCCGCGCGAGAAGAGCACAACGGTTTCAAGGAACTCCTGAAAACTGATGCGTCCATCCTGATCCTTATCGACAATATTGAACATTTTTCGTACAAACATATCGTTGGGTTTCATGCCGAGCGCGGCCGCAAATTCTGCCTTGGACAGGCTGGTACGCATCACGGTCATCACTTCGCCATCGCTGGATGCATCGGAGCGACGCCGCCGTTCGCCCGGTCGCAGGCCAAATGTCAGGGCGTATGCCTCACGAAAGAAGTACTCGAGACGCTTCTGGCGACGCTCTCGTGTCTCTGCCCTGGCCAGCATAATGTCGCGATTCACCTCCATCAGGGTCATCTCCTTTTTATGCAGCAACAGGAAATCCTCCAGCTTTTTGACAAACTTGCGACGCGCTCCATACGATTCGAGCTCCAGCACCAGATCGTGATCGCTAGGCACGCGCATCAGAATGTAGGGCTTCTTTTTTATATGATTGGTGGCTGACTCCTCCACGCTGACCACGTCCACGTGCTGCAGACCGAATGTGCGCAGCTTTTCGCCCTTGCGATCCACCGTATAGATGGCCGCCTCGGGCCCAAATTTGACAGTGACCAGACGCTTGTGGTTCGCATGTAACCATTCGCGCGCCAACATCTTATCCACGGAGCCCTTCTGCTGTGGTGCACGCAGCGCCTCCTGCCGTATCTTGAGCTTACGTCGTTTGCTGTTCTGCAGCTTCACCACACAGTAGCCAGCGGCGGCGCAGAGTATGGGCACAAAGCCAAGGAAGACGCACACATAGATGAACATTAGCTCGGAGCCAGAGAAGTAATCGTAGCCTTCCAAATAGTTGCATGGCTCCAGCTCTGTGGCATTCAGCTGCATCGGCTGTGGACAGGGATCGCCCGTGCGCCACATGAACACATCACGCTGTATCTCATCCTCATCGATATCTGTGCTATTCACTATTATATCCCAGAGCGTGATTTTCCGCAGCTCCGCAATTTCCTCAGCTGTAAAGATGCCATTGCGCTCATTCTCAAACCAAAAACGATCCGCATCCCGCAAACGTTGAAACTGCTCCTTGATCACATTGCTAAAGAGCTCGCCCGGCTGGCCATAGGACTCCAGCATGCCGCCCACGTACACATCCACATCGTCCAGCTGATTATTGTAGGCCTCTTTGAGCATACTGTAAACGGAAATATTGATTATAAGAATTTGCATAACATTGAGCAATCTTTATAATTTTACAGAATGTATTAAAGCACAGCTTATTTTTGTCCGCCTAGGTGGATAATGCTTGAGGGTTGTGTCGATAATTGATAACTTCTTTTATATTTCTTCAAAACGTATAAAAATTTCTATGTAAGCGTGTGTGTATATAGGTAAAAAAAAGCCGTATATCTCTATCCCTGTCACTCTCATTTTATCGAATGCGCAGTACGCGTACGAAATAGAATTTGGACTAATACACATACACAGAAAAAAATAACTGTAGTTTGATTACCACTCGGTTTTACACAAGTGCCCGCAACACGTCCGATCAGCAGGGCAGACGCACTCAGACTAAATCTGTCCACTAAGCTCGCGCCTACGCTAAGCCGCATTCGCACCAATACACATGCACCATTCAATATGTTCGCTCCTTGTATAAGCGCTCTCTGCTCTCGGCTGGATACACACAAATCAGATAACCGAACAAGCACCAACATAGAGAGCAAGTTAGTTATCTCCCTCGTTCCTCTCTACCCATCAGAATCTCTCAATAAACGCAATGTCTACTCTGCAGAAAAAGGCGCTCTGTGCTTACAATATCCGACATGCACAATTCTGCATAAATATTTTTTGTGAGTACTTCAGCCCACCCTATTGTACATCCATATTCTAACTATTTGTTAACCGGCATTGCCCGGCTCAGTAATTCTATGTATAGTAATTGATTTCCTAGCTCAAAAATTGGGCCAAATAATTGAGGAAATTTCTCTCTCTTTGCTGAAGAACTTACTCCAAAAGCTCGGGTTGCGCTTCAAACAGCCGCGGATTGATGTCCATCCAGGTTTTGTGCCTCTGCAGGCCATAGGCTTCTCTGGCTGTATTATAATCGGGTAAGCCGTTATCGCGTCCACGCATTATGTTGAGAGCGCCCAGATCCCGGCGCGTAAACTCCATGGGTCCAAAAAGCTTGTCGCGCACATCAGAGCATAAAACCGGATCCTCGCGCTCTGATATTTGCGATGATAGACCCATTAGCACCTCCTCCACGCTGGTGTCACTAAAGAAGCCCTGCATTCAAATATGATTAATCCAATGTTAGCCGGACAATATGCGGTTATATTTACGCTCGAGTCCCACCACGTGGAGCATAGACGTATGGCCGGATAGCCCATCGGAGTCTGTTTGAAGTTGCATTCGCCATCACGCCGATAAATGCCGGGCGGTATCATGGTGTGGCCAAAGCGAAAGGCGGCCGCCTGAAAGATGTGACCAATGCCCGGATGCACGTCCTGTTTGTAGCCCTCATATGCCGGCATTGGGGAGCCCAGAAAGGCCGGCAAATACTCGTAGACAATAACATTCTGTAGACTGGCAATAACCGTATGCCGAGCACGCTGAAAGATATCCTCGTCACACCACGTGGGATTCAGGCGCTTTATGCGCTGCGCCAGGGTATTGTGCCAGCGCAGGAAGAGTATGGCAAAGGAGAGCAATGCAGGATTTTGGTTTGTGCGCGGATCACCCAACACTGCGAAAAGGACACAAAAAAATAAATAAACAATTATATCGTATCTATATTGTTTAACATTTAAGGGAACACTTACAAAACAAACGCTCCGGGCTGAGCATCTTCATGACATTGGGCACCGGATTATTGAAGAGTGGGACACGCATTGTATTGCGCACCGGCAGCTTGCCATCCTTCTGGGTGAGCAGGGTGCCGTTGTGAAAGGAGCGCATGGCATTGAGCCATGCCTCGGAGGTGCTGTAAATGAAACTGCCATCAATCCAAGCAGTCATTTGATTTATCTGCGGAGTAGGTTTTATTGCGACATTTGTACACCAGTTGGTAAACAGCCCCGCCCGCCGTTTCACCCGCGTGCACCCACCTGTTCCCTTGGCGCATTCGGGCTCTGGCCCGTGCTGCGATCATAGGCGGCCCTATGGAAGGGTATATATTTATCGCCGCGACACTCACGATCGTACATCTCATCACATTTCTCGATCTCAATGCGATGCATCTCAATGGGGCAACCGGACTCCGATGCCATCACAATCTCATTGGCCACCACCTGGCCAAAGAATGCCAGCAGTGCGGTGCGATTGAATTTGGAGCCGAGACCGTCGCGCCCGCGCATAAACAGGCGACTCAGCCGCCTTGTCGAGGGTCGATTAGCACCTGCCATGGAGTACACCCCGTCCGAGTAGGAGGGCGGCGCCTTGCGCACCAGATGGCTATCTGAAAATCGTTTTCGTATTACATTTAATGCCTGTAACTATGCAAATATGATATCGTGCTAATGCAAATAAGTGCGATCAAATGACGAAACGGATTTTAATGCCATTCCGTCTTACAAGCACAATTAGAAAGTTGTTGCATTTACATATTTATATTCTATATAATGCACATACCCACAGAGCCCCAGTCGGGATGGGCAAGATTATTATACCAGCCATCGTAGCGCTGCTTTTCAGTCTGACTATACATTTTCTCTGAAAACAAAAACGATAAATTACAAACAACTTTGAGTTAGAGTTGAAAAACATATAAATGCATTTTAATTAAATAAAATAAATAATCAAAACTGACATTAATTATACCAAAGCTAACAGATGTTTATAAATGTCACACATATGTATGTGAGCTTTAATTAAACTCATGAAAATCGCAGCTCGGCAAGGAGGGAACTATCTTACTCCCACACTCCATATAAGGAGTTCTTATTTCCATTTTAAATTTGTATAAGTAGCAAATGCAAGGCATAAGCAAGAAGGGAACTATCTTATTCACACGAATTTTAGAATGAATTATAATTATTTTTATAATTGTCGTTTTTTTTTCTGTCGTTTAGATTTTGTCTTATTTCAAAAACAGATAAACACATGATTAAATCTTAATTAAATTGATGAATTCAAGAGCATGATTCATTAAAGGATTTATAATTTTTCTTTAAAATTATTAGTTTTGTGTTGTTTCGATTTCATATTATTTTGCAAACAGACACACACACAACAAAATAGCATATAAAAATATAATATTCGAATTTCTTTAATTATGAAAACAGATACACAAATTCTTAAGAAAATTTATGAAAGTCGCAGAGCCAGGGAGGCTGGGAGGCAAGGACAGTACTACAATAGTCACACGATTAATATAAGGAATTATTTTTATAATAAATATAATCCATGTTTTCGACTAATTTTGATCGTCTTATTAGTTCTAAAACAGAAATCAAGTGGATTTTTAAAAACACATTTGTAGCACACTTAGTTCTTGCCATGATCTCAAAAAAATATCAAATTAGTTGTTTTAATTATTTACATTTATGTTACAGAAAGCCAATATTGGAAATTTTAATTAAACAAATGGCATTTGGATTAATGAATTAAAAATGCCAAATTGACCAAAAGGTAAGGCATCGTGTAAGCAAAATACTCAACGTATAAAAAATCAAAATACTCGGCCTGTGTCGAGCATTATTTGAAGCGTTTGGAGCGACTGCATTCTTTGCCAACTATTTGAGATGCTGACAACTTTTTCTTGTCGTCTAATTAAGCCGCTAAAGATGAAAAAGAATTTTTGGGCTTCATTAGGCTTTCAGTTATGGCCTGGCGTACAGCTGCATGGCAATATGGCTATATAGATAGTGTTAATTGATTTTAGATGAAATTGAGTCATGTGCGCATTTTTTTTTTTTAGTTTTTTTGGCCAACTCAAATTGGCAACCAATTAACAGCTAACAAATAGATTTCATTGTCTTTTATGAGTTTTATGTGTCAATGTATCAAAACTTTTTTGTGGCGCCTATGACAAATTGATTGGGTCAACTTCTTCACACTCGCATAAACATAAAGAGTTGATTTGGTTCCAGCCATAAAACGCACAAAACGTATTCGAAATCATATGATAGATTTCTTAAATAATTCTGCTCGAGCGTTTCCGGCTGCGTAAGACCCTGAGCTGCATAGGGTATCAAGTCAGGTCATTACCTTTCTTGTTGATTGTTCATTAACGCTAATACATGTCAAATCATCATCAATGTAGTTGCAAGGTTTTTTTCTTAAGGTACATCAAATAGATAGTAAGCCCTCATTCAGAAGCAGATGTAAAGAATGCGTTAATTAAATCAATTCGTTATCCTTTCCAATTCGATTAAACGCAATGTAGATGCAAACATCGTATAGAAAACTTAACAATTTAATTTTAATGCAATGAAAATATCAATAAACTAGTTTTTTAAGTACTCTTGCAAAGGGCTCTACCAAGAAACGATTGGGGGCATGACGAACTTGAAAGACTGCGAAAGAGTATAAATAGAGTAAATGGTAAAGGGAAACCTCAATTATGAGATACAGCCATATTATTACATTTTTAATGACGCTAACATTTCCACACTCAAAATAGCATTTACACTTATGTGGGTGAGTGTTTGAGACCTTTTTATTGTTGTGTTATAATAGCTGAACAATTTTGTTTTACTCCACAATAATAGCGTTAAGACGTAGCAAACTCTGCGAAAGTAAGTAAAATTCAGTTAAGGGCGTTTTAAAGTTTCACCAACAAATTTTACTCACATTAACACAGTTCATCTACAGATTATACTATACATACATATATATATATATATACTACGGTGATAACCCAATTGCAATAGACCATCTAATTGCCCAATGTCACGCATTGGCCCAGCGAATGAAAGTGAAAGACGAGCAAAATCAAAAGACTTAGAAAACGAACGTGAAATCGTTGACGTTAGAAAAGCGAACAACAACAATACAATGCAACAATTGCTAACGAACCGATCCAAAGCGCTTGCCATATACCATACATATACGTATACACAGCAAGAAATGTTGGTTCAAGTTTCAGGAGCAGGGCTTAAATATTTTCGAATTTCATTTAATTTGACAAGAAAGCTTTGGGCCTTAAATTTTTGGTTTAAAAAAAGTACAACAGACATAAAAATGTGTTTACTAACATTTTTCATAATTTCTTACACCAAAACAAAAATTGGATTAAATATGGCATCATTTTATTCTTTTCTCACTACCAAACAATAAAAATATCATAACAAATATTTATTTCCCTTTTTCAATTTCATTCAAATTTCAAACTGATACTATAATGCCAAATATGATTTAATGTTTTCAATTTTAGTTTATTTATCAGCTTTTGATTTGAATCTCGTTAACAATTTAATGGATGAACTTAAATAAATTTATGTATTTTTCTCTTTCTTTTCTTCTTAATTTTAGACTCTTTTACTCCAATTTATAAATATTTATTTTAAGTGATTTAACTTTAAAATAAATTTAATTTTCTCGTGCTCTGTATGCCTCTACCAATAATATAATCTGTTTTTTTTTTTGCTTCTTTTTCTTTTTGGAGAATCCGTGATTTCGTGTATGTTTTTCCAAACACATCGAGCGGTGAAGCAGGTGTTTGCCTCTGGCATTCCAAAGCCACCACCGCAATATAAATATATATACACAAATGTATATATGTGTATATACATAGAGTCAGCTGAGTCTTCCGCTGCGTTTGCGCACTCGTGTTCGCTAGCGATGAGTAAATCTTGAGTAAATTGTTGTTGTTAATTTTGTTGCTGTTTTGCTAGCTACGTTTTTGGTTAACCGGATCTGATTCTGAATGATTGTTGCCTCTGTGCTGTGCTGTTTAAATATAGTCTCACAACGTTGCCAGTCGTTGTTGCCATCCATCATTCCACACACACACAGACACACACACACTCACACATATGTGAACACACGTGCGAGCATTGCTCTCGAAAATGGCACAAAATATAGTCATGCTCTGTAATGTTGTTGTTGTTGTTGTTGTTGTTGCTGACTCTTTGCTGTCAACGTCATGGTTTTAATAGTTGATTCGCCTGAAAAACGTTTAGCGAATCTTTTGTTCCAACGTCAAATCAAAACATTTGGCATTTCGAGTGTGCAACATAAAATAAAAAATAAAAATAGAACAAACACCAAACAAAACCAATTGAATTTTATTTTTAATAACTTTTTTAAGATCGCGTTTTTTAGCTGTAACTAAATTTGTCATTTGACTGTTTTTTATTTTACTCAAATAAATGCATTTAATCACACGCTTCAGTTTGTTTTTGGTTGCGGCCGTTGCCTTTAATTGCTTAAACGGGTTTACTTTAATCATCTTCTAGTGGGAGTTCCTACTTAAAAATAAAACCGATTAAATTGGTTTTTTGACCGACTCAAGTATACTCTATGTTCTAGTCACAGCTATACTAAGTAAGCGATATATATATATATAGAATCAGTCATAAGTTATTCAATGCTGGATTAATACATGTCAGAGAGAGAGAGAGAGAAAAATGTGAAGAAAACTTTTAGCTTAAGCTCAGATTAATTTATTATTTCAAGTAAACTTAAAGCTCACAAAAGCTTCTGAAGCCTCTTTTGTAGTATTTCTCCAGAAGAACAACAATTTAAATATTTAAATACATATCTTATACAACAGATAAGATAAAGAAAAATTCACAAAATTATTATTTCCAATGTTTCGGAGGGGTTGTTCGAGTATTCCTGCAGACGAATCAAAGACATATTGCTTAAATATTTATCTTGTGAATTTCTATTTTGCTATTACAGGGTAGTACATAAATTAACGTGAATGGTGTTTGCTTGGCAGCTTTTTAAAAATAGGGTATACGAATTTGGCAGTAATCAGTAACTGAATATTTATGACTTCTGCCACCTGTTTTTGTATAATAAATTAAGTCGGGCTCAACTTTTTTGATTGGGTATGCACGTTTAGTGAAATCTTAGTTTCGTTTTTGGTAAAGTTTTGCAGCTTTAGTTTGTTTGCCAAGTTTAAGCGTAACACAATACATTTATTTCATAGGTAAGCAGGTACAGGGTATCACAAAGTCGGGCGCTAGCACTCGTTTACTGCGTGATTCATGGGCTATGCTCAGTCAAAGCAGCAACAAACAAAATTTATTAATTATTGTATAAATAATTAGATACGCTTTTGGCTGTATTCAATACAGAACGGCGCGCGCTTAAAAAAAAAATGACTGGGGGCGCGACTTTTCAATTGTTGTTAATACAAATACAAGTAAAACAAAATAAACCCAATTTATGTCTAGTTAACCCCTTCGCTTGACATCTGCTGAAAATGTTTAAAATGTAGTAAACGGCACTTAGTTGACTGCAGAAACAATTTAACAAACTAAATCGCAACTGTTGTCAGCCATTTGTCAATACAAAACGCTTAGGCCAAGCAACAAATGGCACACAAACATGTTAATTGGGCCTAAATATTGTTACCAAACGGGGTGGGGCCACTATTTAGAGCCCTGACCGCTGCTCGATCAATTTTGCAGTTAATTAAAGCAATAGCTCTACGATCTACAATCTTTCAGCTCTGATTTACTTTGCAAGAAAAAAAAAACTGGCTTGCTGGGCTGGTTCAAATACTTGTCTTTTTCTATGTTTATGTATTTTCTGTATTTTTTTTTTTAGTGCGTAGCAACATTTATGGCATTCTCCGATCTTAACTGGCACAATTTAATGCGTAATTTGCACGCATAAAATAACATTAAAATCAATCTAAATAAATTGCGACAGTTAACGTTGCGCCAAAGTGACCATAAACAACTTTTGCAAATTAGCTTATAGAATTATAGAATTACACAAGATTTGCAATTTGAATAATGATTATTTTGATAAAAAAAAGGCTATTTAAATGAATAATCGAATAATTGAATAATCGATTATAATGCTATCAAAGCTTCAAGCGTATATTTCGCTTTTAAATGTTCTCAAATTAAGAATGAGCCCAACAAAAATTAGAAAACAAATTTGGATTGAGCACAAAACTCTTGAGACAAGTGTAATTATTTTTTTTTAAATAATAGTTATAGTTAAATAAGAAAATAGTTTTTCAAATGGTTCTTAAAAAACGGTAATAATTGAAAATTTGTGTTAAATAATTATAATTGTATGAATTATAGAGCTGACTTTGCCAAAGATATTGATCAAATTATATGACTATTTTGCTATAAACCTCCTCTTGGTTTATGTTTAGGCTTAATAAGTTTAACTATTCATTTTAAGCAATGCATCAAAAATTGTATTGTGTTAAACTCGCCAATAAGCTATATTTAAAGGAATTTAAGTCTACTTTAGTCAAATATCAAATATGTAAATAACACAGGCACAAGGCTAAGACTCAAACCCGGAAGATTCTAGCCCTAATTGTTCAGTTGCCTAAATGGCTGAATCACTTAGACAAGGCAACTAACGAGAAATGCTCTGACTAGCACACACAGTCGTAAGGCGTTTGATACACTGTCGTCTGGCTGCCTGAGCAAGATTACAAAAAAGGCAACTAATAAGACAAATATCAATTGGATTTCCTTGCCCGTCAAATTGATTGCAATCACAACAAACGAACCCATCATAATGGCAGAATCAGTTAACCAGCTAGCGTTCGCTTGACGTCATCCGCGGGCAGATCCACGGCCCAATACACCTCTTGGAGCACTGTCTGTCTCGTCGAGTGACAGCATATCGGCAGACAGGGCGAGATCTGGCGGCTCCGACTGACCGATAAACGACGGCGCTGGCAATTTATTATGCATAAGCATTTGCACGAGCATTTCCTGGGCTGTTGGCGGACGTTGGCGGGCGACGGCAGAGGCAATCGTTTCTCAGATGTCTGACTGATGTTCGAGCCGGTCGGTCACGTACGATGCTGTTGCGATGCTGAACAAACGGTTAGCTTGTGGGCGTGGCCCAGTCGCCCGACACCGAGTCAAATGTCAACGCACGCCCAACCAGCCAGCCAGCCAGCTGGCCGTTCTAGCGGTTTATTTCAATTGCCGCTGCCGCCAACGCTCCACCCCTGCTCCCCTGCTCGGTCCATTTCATGGCTCGTTTTGTTTATATTATACTCAATATTTGCTAATCATTTGATTTATGCACAGCAGATCGTTTGTTGTCTGGCCTAATGAAATTATTGCAAACATTGTGAGCTATTCTCCATTGTATGCGACTCCCCCACACTGACCCGCTCCCAACCGCCGCACCACATGCGGCATGGCATGGGGAAGTTAAACATTGGATTGCTCGGATCGTTGCCATTAACTCGACCTGTGCAAACGTTTTGTGTCTCCCCGCGTTCGTTTTGTTTTCCTCCTTTCTTTGCAAATTTCATTATGTTACCTTTTGTTTTCATTTCACTTGATTGGTTAACATCTTTAGAGGTGCTACATTCAATTGTTTTCACTTTATGCATGACACAAAAAAAGATCAAACTGGACATTTGTATATGAGTTTCATATTATCCTTAGGGAAGAAGCTGTGAGCGCTGAGACTTAAAGCACTTCCATTTCTATACCCTTGTAGTGGTTCTTATAATTTTGAGACGAAGGAAGACATCCCCCTTCACCATAAAGTATATATATACATATATATATATATTCTGAAGCAGCATCAACAGCCGAGTTGATAAAACCACGTCCGAGTGTCCGTCTGATTCTATGCGAACTTGTGCCTCAGTCTTAAGCTATCGTCTTAACTGACCGAATCGGACTACAATATCATAAAGCTGCCATTGGAGCGATCGTCAAATTATGCTGCTTATGAGCTATGAGCCAAATCTCATCAATATCGCACTACGATATTATATAGAATTATAGAACGAATCGGTCGAAAAATGAGTTGTTGTATGACAAAATATATTAATCAAGTTCGGCATTCACGAGCTTCAACTATTCTGATATATCTACAAAAGGCAAATGTCTAAAAGTATATCAAATCTTCGGCGTGCCGAATATATCATCATATTCTGAATAATCATATTTTCAGTAAATATGCACACATATTTTTAGTATATGCTTCAAAAAATCTTTAGGGGCTTTTCTAATAAATGTTTTAGTTTTCTATATTTTGTTTTAGGTATACAAATTTCTTTTGAACTCTTTTATACCAAACCTATTGTCAAATAATAAAATAAGCAATAAAAATAAACTACACATATAAAAATTGTAAATTATACGAGAAAAATGACTAATTCGATGTTTGTCATTTCTTAATTATCCACATGTTAAAATTTTCGAGCAAGAATTGCGCCACATATTATTCATTTTTACTGTTAGCCCAGTCCAGAATTTTCTATACTTTCAATTCGAATTTTGCTCAGTTTTTTAAATGCCTACGTATTTTTGTTGTGTATCTGTCATGATGTCAGTGTGGAACGAGACGGAATTTGGTATGAAACTTAGACTAATTGAATTTGTTAAGGTATATGTGAAAAGTACTCACCGTAACAATGCACAAATCCCAGACTGAGGCCCAGACTAATCAGCAATAATAGCAGGGCGCTGCGAGGGGCCATTGCCCCAGGCGCCAGATGTGATCTCCAGCTATGCTGGATTCGAGTTGGGGTTATTGTTGGAGTTTTTGATGCCCGCTGTTGGGGCAAGCTTGGAACACTCATATTGATAGCCCAGGTGTATTGTTATTGTTATGGGCAAATACCTTGGCTTGCGGATTGTATTGTGAAATTAATTAAACAAACTATGTATAGCACTGGCGGGGGGTCGATTGGATCGCTGGAGGCGTCTCAATTTTGCATTATATACGTTTCGATTTGTATTATCACACGCCACATTGGCTTACTTTCAACGTTTGCTCATCTTTTCTGGCCAGTTATTACGTAGCACTGCAAATGAGATAGTTTCGGTTAAAACTTCTGATTCATAAAATAATTAATTTTATGTTTTTAAGGCCGGCCGTTCTGAGTAAACATTAAGTCACTCGGGTTTTTATGTAGTTTAATAACTTATACCGTTACGGAATTCACGTATATTTATTTTTTTTGTTTAAAGATTTTTTGTTGCTTGCCAGAAATTTGCATACAACTTAATGAATTGGCTTTTGTTTCTAATGGATCTCTATCAAAAGTTACTGTTACGTTTTCGGGTTTGAAAATGTTGCTGGAGCTGTTTTAGCTTAATTTAACCGTGGGTATGGGGGTAGGGGGGGAGCCAGAAGATAAGCGAGTTTGAGAGTTGGTATAACAAATGGTACTGAGAACATTTCTGACGCCAACCTCAACAAAATTCTAAAACAAAGACCGGACCAAGACGAAGCTTTCTGCAATTCCACACACAAAAGTGAATGCGTTAGAATTATGAAGAGGTTTTTTGTCAGTGTATGAAAATCCACTGAAAATGCTTGCCAAAATATCAAGGGCAATATCGTCAAGAAGACATTTATAAGTAACTCTAAGACAAAGTTGATCAAAGCCAAAGCTGCATTAAATAGCCAAAAATATTGGGCAGTATTAAGGTGCATTATATTTGATAATGGAATGGCATTAACAATGGAGGAAACAACAAAAACCGCAATACAAAAGACTCAAGTAAATGACGAAATGGTTCGTTAATGTTTCAAATTAATTATATTGCATAAAGTAAAGCAGATAAAAAAAGCGCGTTTATTAAATGCAATGTGTACAACAAAATAAACGGCAAGTCAAGCCGCAATGAGCGCGAAATATCGAGACTTACATGAGTGTATATGTATATGTGTACACATACACATATATGTTTATATGCATGTGTATGTGTATGTGTACATATATCAAACAAACGGAATTACCCACAAAACAATTGACCTTCTGCGGGCTTACAAACAAAACCGACAAACGTCCATTAGTCATAATCGACAATAGTCGGAGACGTCGAGAAAGAAGCCGAAAAAAACAACAAAAAAAAAAAACCAACATCAACATAGCGAAGCAATAAAAAACCATTGCACAACTGCAAACAATTAACAATTCCATTAAAACAACAACAACGAAGTCATAAAGCCAAAGAGACGCCCAAAAGAGTCTTATGGCTAAACTGTATGCGATACATCTCCACGGTGGCATTTGCTTAGAAATTGTTAAGAGCGGACAAAGAGAGAGAGAGAGAGAGAGACAGCGCAGAGCGGCTAGGGGGAGTGGAGTAATAGAAATGCAAGAAAGCGTGGAAGAGTTGAAAGCCATAATTGTGATGGAATTCATAGACAAATTATGCGGTTTTGGACCCAAAGCAGACACAAAGGTTGAATAATTTTTGGGCACTTACGGCCCATGATAATTACCAACTATGGCAAAAATAGAGCAAAAGCTGGGAAAAAAAGAGCCAAGGAAATTTAAAAAAAAAAACAGTGTTGTCACCTTGCGTCAAATCTGTCCTTAGCCAAAAGTGCGAATATTCAAATAGGCGCAATTTTAGCATTTTTCATAAGTATTTAATCAGCCTTTTTGATACATTTCAGACATAGACATAGTCATAGGGAATATATGAATTCCAATCCGGGAAACAGATTATATTTATCTTCGATTTACAGATACAGACTACATTGGCATGGCACACTTTTTAGACTTAAATGTTTTAGATTATCGTATAGCAAACAAGACCTTTTCGAAAAATATAATATTTAGCTCTTATATATAATCTTTTTCCCTTTTCTCTGCAACTCTTTTGCTTCTCAACAGTTTATCATGAATATATATATTATTTATTTACATGAATAAATATAATATTGGATTATTTTCGCACAAAGTTCTTGAGCTCATGACACCAAAAGACTGAAATTCCCGCAAAGCCCTACCCCGCCCAGTTTTTATTCGCGTGGCAACCGTATAAATTCTAGTCAACGGCTTTACGAGTTGCTATATACTCTTTAAAGGCCATGAGAATTTAGAGGGGAGTTACATTCAACTAGTTTTTTTTTTTTAATAATTTGTATGCAAATCTCCGCGAGACACACGCAAAGACTTGGTTCAAAAGCTTAGCGTCTCTGAAAACTTTCATTTCATTTATTATTCGAAATTATTTTCAGCATTTATGCATTTGCACACATTTTACCGTTATTTTTCGGACTTCCGCTTATTTATTTTCGATCTTGGAATTTATTTTTGGTTTCAGTAATAATTTTTATTGTTTTTTTTTTAGCGCAAAAATTGCGCAAGCAACAAGCCAATGTTGTATGTTGTTGTTGTTTTTTGCGTGTGTGTGTGTGTGTGCGTGTGTTCACCCAAGTTTGTGTTGTAGTTGTTGCTGCATTTAACAGGCGGAGAGTGGGAAGATGTTGGAGAGGTGCTGCTAAAAGAAGAAGAAGCCGCAGCAGCCGCAGAAATAAACACGAAAATAAATTATATTCATGAACGAAAAACGAACATAAGCAAAAGACAAGAAGACGACGCTCAAAGCGAACAAAGCAGAGGCAAAAAGACGCCGCGAAGACGACGAATTTGCGTGTGCGCAAAAGAGATGGCGAACCAATGAAACGGCGACCCAAAAAAGCAACAGCACAAAATTAAAAAAAAAAAAAACAAGAAGCAACAACAACAGACGACTTAAAGACTATTTAAAAACATTGCAGCGGGTGGAGTTGCTGTTTTTTTTTGTTTCTTATTTCTTGCTTTTCCTTCCTATTTGCAATTTTCGACAAACAATTTCAACAATTTGCCATCACATAACTTCGCTTGTCACTTTGCATAGATAAAACCCACAGCACACAAATTATAATAACGGTGAAGACGAAACCGAACCAAACCGAACCGAACCGAACGAAGCAGCAACAGCAACAATTGAAGACGTCGACGCATGCGCGACACGTTTACATTCACTCTCACTACGAGCAAACGTTGCTCGTTCCACGTCGCGCTCACCAAGTTTGCCCATGCAGCAAGGAAGCGCCAAACGTCCGCAGCGGCCAAGAGTTCGTTGAGTACTAAAAACACAGCTGGTGCCAGGCACCTCAGCTGGGCTAGGGAGCACACCAAATTCTGCCAATTCCCCCCCGAAGCCCCGCTCATCGACGAAACCGGTTGAAGACAGCGTCGCTGTCTCGTCTCTCTCACTTGCGCACGACTTCGCTCTCTCTCTCTCTCTCTCTCACTTTGTTACTTGTCTGTTTCTATCCCCACTCCGCACCTAAAATAGCTTATGCTCCATTTCGTTTGTGCGCTCGATCTCCGTGTCCAGGTCCGTTTCTAAATGAGTTCCGTCATATTCGACATGGCAACGGGTCTTATTAATCATTGTCATGTCAATGTTTCCCACAGGAACACAAACATATGCCAGTAATTCGCATGGGCATTTCCAATACGTTAGCATTCCAAAGAGTGCCCGCATTACCGGATCTGTGCAAAGAGCAGGCGGCTGGAAGGCTGAAGAGTGAGCATCTTCAGTCAATCGACCGTTCATCCGCGCTAAGAGAGTGCCCACCACGCTCTTCGGCTAATTGAGCAGTCAAAGTCAATGATTGCAGTCGCCATCAGCTGTTTGCTATGTAAATATGCTACAATATTTCAGTTTTTATGAGTTCTTAATATTGTTAACGGCTTGTTTATGAAGATTTATGTTTTCGCTTTTTTAGCTTGCCCCTTTCGGCCATTTGCATACAAATCTGAGTAGTTTATCATTTTCGGACTTTTTCGATGGTAGTTGTCTAAATGTACGGATTTTAAGAGAAATAAGTACATAAATAAATTAATCCTAATAATCAACTGATGACAAGAATCTTCGGCTTAGGAATGCAATAATATCTTAGACATGTGTAAATTAATTAATGCAAAAAAATTAAATACTTTATATTTAAGTAATTATTACTAACTACTAAAATAAGCATTACTAATAAGAATGGAATAATCTGGTGTTTTGTTTTTTTAATTTTACGTCAAATAAACTTTTCCATATACTTTAATATAGTAAAAAGGACATTCAACTTTTACATCACTCTCTATCTATACATATAAAATTCTATAAAAATTCAAATATTTGTAAATTCTTATAGCGAGCGTTTACTGTACTCAATTATATAATTTCATTAGGATTTCGCCTATCGAGTATGTGTCATAAATAGTTTATGCTCAATTGAATTGACCAAAAACAGCAGCTGCTCAGATTCCAATCGACTTTAGTCGATCTTAACTCAATATGCGAACTGAACGCTCGAGTGGAAGGCCTCTGCTTAACTAATTTTGAGTCGAGCTATTGGCATGAATCGACTATTGGCAGCATATAAAAATTAATTAATTTAATTACTTATCTAGCGAGTGCTAAGCTTTAAGATATGTGTGTATGTTTCTTTTAATAGCAACTCAACATGAAATACTTTGTTTTTATTTATTGCGAACGCAGCTTGAAACAATTCCCATACGTATCGTATAGACTAACTATATAAATTATTACTATTTCTTCTTTTTCAAGTGCACTTTGGCTTCAAGAATGTCTTGCGATTTCAATGCGTGTGCAGTCAGCGTCTATATTAAATATATATATCTTTTTTTTTTGCTTAGCAGCTGATTTTTTGAACGTTCGAACATTAATAAATATTTATAGATGCGCTCGGAGCAGGCTGCACTTGTTAGGCGCATCGAGAATAGAAGATAAATAAGAATTTTAATTGATTTTAATGTGCACAGCTGCACAGCATGCATATGCATGCAGCAGGCGAGGGGGGACACCACAGAACAAAAACAAAAAAAAATAGCTGTTGACATACTCATAGAAAAATTGACATAAAATATCGTCTTTACATTATCCGTAAATGTCTGTCTGAAATAATGATTGAATTGAGTGGCATGAACTTTGGCCAACAGGGTGACAATCGCAGATATCGAGACGAAAGAAATCGATAGGCAAGCATTGAATTTAAATTAAATAAGAAAAACATAATTATTGATGATTTCCCAGAGTAGATAGTAAGAGTTTAAGCGAATTTATAGATAAATATATACAAATATATAATGCTTTGAAAATGTATGAAAAATGTAATAATAAAACGATTTATAAAGTTTGGGCCATACAATTTTTGTATCTGCAAACAGTCAGCATTAACGTTTAGTTTCAAAAGTCAACTGACTCAACAGCCAGTGTTGTATAACTCTATATAAGTATTTGGCAAGCTGGACACACTCTAAAAAAGGAAGAGCAGAGCGCGAAGTGACGCCAACTGATAAAGGAAACATATAATTTACTATATACAACATATAATTTACTATTTTGGAACTATATCAATCATTTTTTTTGTTTAAGTATAAAGATACTCGTAGCTATATCTATATATATTCTATGTTTATATTTTCTTATCTATAACATTTACACACAAGGGTCTAGTTATATATGCTGCACAGTTATTTTAAACATTCCTATGTTTTATTAATCTTCATCAATTTATTAATTTTCGCCGTTTTGTTTATAAATCTCTAATCATGCTAACTAAAGCAGCCCCATTGATAACATTTATAGTCTTCACCAATCGATCATTTTACATTTTTCCTTGAATATACTTTTTTTTTGCATTTTTTAGCAATTATATTCTAATAGTTTTAGGAATGCGCTTGGTTACTAAGTATAATTCCAACATTTTAATTTTTATTTTATAATTCAAGCGAAGAGCCATCTATAGAGTATTCGATTGTAGTGTAGAAATATGTACCCTAATGTCTTTTATTTCTATCTCAACTCCGCTTGTTAAAAAGTGCTTCAATCAAAACATCTATTTATAATTGCGCTCATCTGTCTATTTATATACATCATTGTTGTCACTCCCCCCAATTATTTCAACTCATTTTGAACTTGTTATCCAAAAATAAATCGACTTCAATTATAGCTAAGAAATTACCAATAGCCCAGCCCTCAGATCAGGCTGTATCCACGACATTGCGCTAATTATGGCATATGCCAGCAAAAACTTGAACTACAAACTACGCACAGAGAATTCAAGAATGAACTCTGGGAAAAAAGAAAAAAACTTCAGATTGTGGTATTTTTTCTTTTGCAGTACGCTTGGCACCAAAAGTGAAGGGTATAATAAATTGCCAAGATTTATCGGCAATCTATATGGAGATAAAAATTTGAGAGAGAGTGATAGAGAGAGAAATACAACTTGTTATGGAATTATTTATTAATTAATTAAGGCGGGCGAAAAATACTTTTAACAACTTTCACAACAAAATAAGTGCGTGGCCAGAGCAATTGACGTGAAAGATAAAAGACAGAAAAAAAAACATGAAAATCAAATTGTTTGCGCAACAACAAAAGCAGCAGCCACGCATAGCTAGCTGGGTGAGCGATTTTTTATGGTTTCGATTTTGAATTGAATGCAATTTCAATTTAAGTTTATTTTTTTATTATTATTTTTGGTTTTTTAGCAGCACTTACAATTTTTGAATGTCTTGCAAATCGAGAGCGACGCAGTTCACAGCTCGCAGCTCGCGCATTTGACAACGGCGAAGGTCACGAGTGCGCACAGCGAATGCTCCCAACTACATGCCATGACTCGACGCACAATTTTATTATAAAAAAAAATATATATATATATTCATGAAATATTAATCAGACAGGTGACAATAACAAGAGCAACAGCAACAACAACATTTTAACCCACTTGTGTGTAGCGTGTGTCGGCACAAAATGGAACACGCGCCGTTGCCATGGCGCTCCACATTGCGCATACGCACCGTCTGACGGCCGTTGGAATGCTTAAACACAGCGGGTGTCTGACAAACAAAATATAATAAAAAATAAAAAACAACTAGCTAACGTACTTAGTTAAGTTAACTAACTAGCTGCAGCTTACAAACGGTAGCTGTTTGCTCGGCTTGTTAGTAAACAGTTTCTGTGAGTGCGTCTCTCATAAACTGAGTCAACTCGATTGACTGCAGTTCTTGCAATTGCAATTTCAAATTGTCAATTAAAATGTAGCTGCCAAAAAAGTAAACACAACTCAAAGCATAAACATTGATAGAGAATAAAAAAAAAATTAAATATCAGGTGCGCGTTATTTGTGCTAAGTTCGAATCCAGACAGCTTGGCAATAGGTGCTTCCATAAAAATATCAAATTTTTTTTTTCCAAGCACTAGTGATAATAATATTAATAGTTATAATAATAATAGCAATAATATTAATAATAACAATATTATTTACAATAATAGTAATAAGTATAATAATATAAATAAAAATAATAGCAATTATATTAATAATAACAAGATGTTACCCTCAATAAATAGAATAATCCACAAAATTAATACCTTTATCTAAGAATTAGATAAAAAAGTATTGGAATAAATAAGCAACATTGTCAATAGATCTGGCTGCCAGCATATGATTATATGCACTGCACCAAGAAGAACTATCTACAACAAGTTTGCTCTAACTATTCTACATATATTATTCTCAGCGTAGTCGAAAACAGCTTTACTAACGCGTTGCACATTATTAAATAAAAGCTGATTACCCATTGAAATGTTATAATATATAGATTATGAAATGATTTAGGCTTGTGGTTGCCAGGTGTGCACCGTGTACAAAACGCTTTTATGTTCAATGATACGAATTAAGAGATTCATTAACATACTGAGCTCATGCCTAACTATAGTAACTAGGCAAAGCCGAGCGTTCCCTTTCACTTATTAATTCACACGCTGCAATATATACATATATATATGTGATATATCTAATGCAATTTCGCCATAAAAGGCCGCTCAAAACATCTCAATCAAGTGAGAAATGGTGCGCATGCGTACGTGATTCTGGCCTTAATTAACTGCACTTGGCCAACACATTGTGGGCCAGTTGGCAAGGCCCGTCGGGGCAGAGGCATTGACTTTGGTAATGAAAAACCCTTCATGCAAGAATGCGCCATGCTGAAGGATTTTAGCATTTGTGTTTAAATCTATCAATAAAAATGATTCATTGACAGCTTGTTGCACATTTATTAGCTGCACAATTAATTAAATACTACAGTCGCAAGGTAAATGCAATAAATTGTACAAGAAAAAATATTTGAAAAGCATGTGACACATACTAAAAACATATAAACATTTATCGCTTATTGTAAAAAATATTTTATATTATTTTTTTAAATATATAATTAAATTCAATATGTAGACGTGTAATCAAACAGAGACTAAAGCCTTGAAGATTCTATTAAAACTAACTAAATTAGTACTGCAAATTATCTATGGCAGCTTAACATCTGACTATCCATTTTAGTTACGACTCTTTTCTATAAATTATTTTACAAAGATTTTATTTCTAAAGTTTGCAGTTATTACTTTACTTTCGACATTGACATAAATATTCAGCAATAAATATGTATTATATTAAAAAAATATATATTTTGAGTACAAATAAAACAACTTGATGGCAGTTAAAGTTAACGAAGTGCTTATAATTTTTTAATTCAGTTTATATTTGAAATAAACATTAAACTAAAAATTACTACAATACATGCAATAATGGATTCGTTTAATTTTGCAAGACCTGAAATATACAATAGAAGCCTTTCCGTAAGCAGGCCCAACAACTTTTCATCAAATACTGCGCCTAAAAGTATACCTCAAATTACACGCGCTGCGCAAACTAGTATGTTGCCTAAGTCTTTTGTTTTTTAATACAGTTCAATAGCAACAACGACAGCTTAAACTTGGCTTAACTAGTTAGTTCAACTCATTAAAATTGTTATGCTTATTATAATATTAATTTATTAATAATTAAATCACATAGACATATATATGTAAATATATTTACATGCTAAAATAGTTTTTAAAGAAATTCAAAAATAGTCAGGCTTTTCGGGCATTTGTGTCAAGTCTCTGATCTCCGCATTGTTCTCAATTGGAAACATTTCTAAAATTTCGGCAAATAAAATTCGAGCTGGCAGCCGCTCCTCGTACTTGCGACTAAAGACTCGCAAATGATACAGCATAAATTCATATAGATACATGCGCTCCGGCTTGGTATAATGAAAAGCTATGGAGTAATTCGAACAGCAATCGTTGCCCTAAAGAGAGTCACAAATAATAACACAATATTAGTTGAAAACAAAAGGCCAGCACACGTACTGTTGCTATCTGCGAGACGCTCATCTCTCGCAACCAATCCGGAATACTGGCATTAAAATTGTGCAAATAACTCTCGAGATCCAGTGGAAAAAACTTTGGCTTGTCTTCTTCGGAAAGTGCGCGCGCGGAGTCTATCAAATGAACGCCCACATTTTGCAGGCAAATGCCCATATAAAAATCCTCAATGCCCATTTTTTTAGGCTCCGGACAGATTTTGCCGGAGTCATAAGCCTGCGTCATAAAGCGACGCAATGCCTCGCGACTGAGCACATAAGAGGCGCCGCCAGACATGTAACTCTAGGCGGGATCAAAATTGGAATTAATCTCATATCGAAAAAGTTATAACAGCATTAAGAAGCTTCAAGAAGAGCTGTCCATAAGTCCACAACCAGCTAAAGCAACATAAGCAAAGGTGAGTAAATATCTTTTAATTTTCTATATGGTATGACACCGAACCAGAACCTATAAACCTGAACCTAAATTCTTGTAACAACGATTTTTAAATTTAATGAAATTGTATATTTTAAGAAGAGCCGATGTACGAAAATAGTTCGTTTGTTTGGGAAAGCCTTAGAATTTGGATTCATATATATAAAGGGATTTGAGATTTTTATTCAAGTTTTTTTTTGCTCAAAAATTGCATTTCTTTTCTAGTGATAAAAAATAATAATAACTGAATATGTTAGGTCCAAAAATATTCATCTCAATTTTTAATATATATATTTTTACCATGCATTTGGAAACTTTGTATCAGTGTTGTTGTTTAAAAACTAAAAACAGCCCAAATTTAGTTATGGCTTTATTTAAGTTTTTAAATACCATAATTTACCACACCCATTGCACGGCGAAATTTCAAAACACAAATTATGGCACGAATATGCGCATCAAAGGCGCGAAAACATTCACTTGTCCATGTTAGTCAAAGTAATTAGTTATGGCATAGGCTTTTAGCATAATGTCGTATCAAGCGTGACAATTACAAGTTGAGTTGAGAGTTTTAAGCCGCTTTGAAGGCCTTTTGACCGTCGGCTACATAAACGATGCTGATGTGTCTCAAAATGTGAGCAAGTGAAGCTTAAGCATAAATTTCGATTGACATTTCCAAGCAGTTAGAGTTAGATTTAATTAATATTTACAAAACTATTCTATTCTTAGTAACTTTATGAACTTTTATAATTATTTCTTTAGTGTATTTCTGCATATTTATAGATTTACTACTTGAGCGTCGTAAATTTCCATATGCCATAGCTCTCCCATTAAATAATTTAACATATGCTAATTGGCCTGTCTGAAAGACAAAAGCAATGCTCAGCCCACAGCGAACCTTTTAGAAAAAGCTACAAAAATACAATCAGTAATATAATCAGCGTAATAAATCATACAAATTTGAAAAACCATCAAAAAGTTTACGTGCCTTAAACAATTATCAAACACAAATGTGGCTTCTTGATGCAATTTATTAAAACCTAACCACCTGCTGTGCTGTGAACTTGATGAATGCATCAGCCAGTAGATGGTACAGTATATTGTATATTGTATCTTGGTACTATGTTCGAATATGCAACATGCTTATAAAAACACTTAATACAAAGGTAAAGCTCTTAACCTAAAGTCTAATAGTTGACATTTCAAAATATATATGTTGGAACTAGGCAACATTATCTTTAGTTTTAGAATTTTTTGTTTTTCTTTCCTAATAGATATTAAATAATATTTTCTACAGAAGAGTTGAATCGTAGTTTTCATTCAGAAATGTTAATTTTAAAATGATTATTTATCGGTTTTACATAGAAAATATTTTTCAGCTATGTTTCTACTTGTTAGATTCGTAGTATTGCGTTGCGGGTAACTATAAAAAAAAAAGCGCAATCGGCAAGTGTTGGTCAATAGTTTGTACTTTGCCAGACGCAAACTGTTTGCACAATAATGTCAAAAGACGAACAAAGAAAAACCATTTGGAGGAGCGGCTTCCCTGGGCAAGATGCGTGCGCGAGTCTCTGCATTGAAAAGACAAGAAACCTCGACGACCTCGCGCCAAGTGACCATTCGCCGAGGCAGTGCATCAACGTTGATTGACTGCCGCCAGTTTCATTTGTGTTTTAGCCAATTATTGTTGTTGCACGTTTTTAATGATTTCATTAATCATAGATCGTTTTTTATTTTTGTTACAGGCACAGCAAGTGCCAAGGCTTTAATGATAATGTCTAACAAAGAAGTTCTCTTTAATTAGCTAGCCAATTAAACGAGCGTCAACAAATTATTATTATTTAATCACGGCTAGAAATGCCAACCGGTTATGCTTGCCGACAAATTTAGTATATTTCTAATAAAGCCTGCATTTTGCATGGCAATCAAAACATTTCGCTATACTAAAATTTTTAGAAAGAAATCTGTTCTATAATACCCTAAACAAGCGTAAATACTCTTTCACAAAAGTTAACACAGAGAAGATAAGGGAAATTGAAACAACAAAATCTTTTAACTATTTGCAAATATTATAAGTCAACTTTTTTAATAAATGCTCAAAACTAAACAAAATTTTAATAAAAAATTAAATTAACATTTTAATATAATTTTAGCTCAGTTTTAAATAAACTGTTATAAATTCTAAATATTTGTTTAAAGTTCTTTAAAAAATTATGTCGGCTTTCTGGAAGATTCTTATGTCTTTGTCCAAATAGTATTCTTCCGAGCTCAAATTATATTATATATATTCATAATTTACTATCTCCGAACAAAATTGTCTTTATGCGATAAATATATCTTCCACCAGAAAGCCAATATACCACATAAACGAAAAGAGCTGCTCGGAAGATAATTTGTGAATTGAAAAATGTGTTTGGACCAGATCAAAATAAATAAAAGCATTTATCTAAGATGTTATAATTAAATTAAGCTCCGTAAGGCGTTTAGTTGCAAAGGCAGTCAATAAATGTTTTGCTGACCAGCGGAATTTGCAATGCAAATTTATTTGGTCCAACAGGTGAGACAAGCAATCAATTAACATGCTTTAGCTTATTGCAGCTATAAGAAATAACCAAAAGGTGCAGTTCAGGACTTACCACATTGTAGCGTCTCATTTGATAGCCGAAATAGACGGGCATATTGGGATCATAGGCGCTCAGCATGTGACGCAGATTCTCCATGATGACATAGCTGTAAAATATATAGTAATCGGATAAGATCAAAAGTAGAGGGCAGAGGTAGGACTGAACACGTCAACACGAATTACGAAATAATAATTGATTCGAAAAGAAAACAAAAAACAATTTATTTGCTTTTGGACTAACGTTGAATAAGACAAAACAAAGTGTCTTGTTATTTTTTCTAAGTAAAAACATGAAACAATGACATAACGTGTACAAACAAAAACAAGTTAGAACATTGCAATCGGGTATAACCGACTGCTCAATACACGATTCACAGTGAATTAGTCGAACAATGTTTTCTTGATAATTGAGCTGGTGAAGCTAAAACTGTTAGCGCACGCAGTGACTTCCAAACTGTAATTTGAAGATATGCAATTTTTTGCAATATGTGGGCGCATGGGGACTCTATCTATAAATGAAGTCAAAGTTAGTTTAAGCTTCAGATTTATGCTCTATAGCTTTAAAACTGTGCAAGATGAAAGGTCGTGGATTCATGAGTCTATCTGGCGGATATAAAGAAGTTCCCATTATTGGGACGCGTCTTGAATGGCATCTAGCTGTACTCACGTATCGTCGTCGGCCTTGAGAAACCAATCGTACTGCTCGCCATACTCCAGCCACACGTGACGGAAACCCTCACGCGTCTTATTCCACAAATCTTCATAGCCACCCCCATTAGATTCGACCACCTGGACCACGCCCAGCGGCTCATAGTGCTGGCTGCTGACAAACACCAGTTTGCTGCAGCGCTGACCCCAGGTGGCGTGCACATGCTGCGCATAGCGCTCCACATAGTCCGGACAGGTCAACACCATGCAGAGCACACGAGCTGATGGTGCCGAATCCCGCGAGGTTTGCTGCGCAATTCTCAGCGTGGATGCGAAGGCGTAGCTGCGGCTGCTACTGCTGCTGCTGGTTGGCCAGCAGTTGATGCCGTTGTGGACATCGTAGATATAGAGGAGCAGCATGAAGGCGCACACGAATCCCGCTATGAAGCCGGTCAACAGGTGGAGCTGAGCGCGCAATTGGCCGCCCGGCCAGCTGGACCTCAGCTTGGGCATTGTTTGGGTTTTGGCCGTTGTCATGACAACGTTACGACCTGCCGTGTCGTGTTCTGCCCGACGCGACGTCTAATTTCATATTGCTGCAGTCGCGATTTGTTTTGATGCCCAACATCAAGCAAAAACTCCGATAATTTAACATATACACACACACAACCACAAACAAACAAACGACCGGTTTGATGCTTTGCACTGTTCACACTGCCCTAGGCGTGTCTTCAATGTGACCTTATGAGCACAATGTTGCCATGGCACTTTCTTTTTGCATGATGCATTTGTCATGCAACACGACAAGATAATTGTCATGCAATTAAGAGTCTTGATGCTTGTGGTAAAATTTGCTTAAGTATTTATACTTTAAATAATTTTTTCTGCCATTTGCATGATGAATTCGTCACTTGTTTGTAATCAAAGACATTTTGATTATAATATCAGTTGCACTGTGTATCTTCGACTTATGCATTTTTTTGCTTCTACAATGTGACCTTATAAGCAAAATGTTGCCATGGCACTTTCTTTTTGCATGATGCATTTGTCATGCAACACGACAAGACAATTGTCATGCAATTAAAATTGCTGTAAAACTTGTATAAATATTTACAATACGCATGCACATACGAATTGGTATAATCCTATAATTACCTAATTCCTGAAGCATTGATTCTTTTAATAATTTGTTCTGCCATTTGCATGATGAATTCCTTACTTGTTTATAATCTATGACATTTTGATTTTAATTTCAGTATCACGATGAATCTTTGATTTTTGCAATATATATAAAAATTGCAGAAAAATTGAAGCATTTTCGGCGTGTCCCTACAAAGTCGACAAATAATGTTTTATATGCAGATTACAAAAGATTTATGCCTAAAATAAACCAAAAAATGTTATATAATTCAGCTAAAGACTAAACATTGGCAATATTAGAAGACTCGACTTCGATTTGAACACTCTGCATTTATTGATAATTAAATTTAAACCAAACCACTTTCGACTAGTTTTGCAGGTGGCAACGCTATTCGCATCGGTTTGCGCATTGCATGGCAAATTTGAATATCGATCATTTGACGATTCATCTATTTAATTGGATGATGTTTGCGGTTGTCGCAGTTCTGTCTTCATTTGTTGCCATTGACGGGAGCCCAGACAAGCAATTGTTAAATGCTTACGCAGCACAAAATTTGACACAAAATTGAAAACGAAAGTATAATCGCTTCATTTGGTCAATTTAAAAAAAAAATAATAATAATAAAAAGTATTGGGCGCAATTGATGGGCATGCTATTGAATAACGGTAACATATTAAGTAATATTCCGAGCGATGTGGTATAAAAACGCCGAGCGGCGCCCTTTAAAAGTGCAGTTCGCTGACAATTTGTGAGCACAAACAGACGGGGAAATCACAAACAAAAATATGAAGTTTAAGGTGAGATAGAGAATTTTGAGAAAAATACATATACAAATGTATCCTTAATAGTTGCTGCTGCTCGCCTTGACGCTGGTCGGGACTGTACATGCGGAGTACGATTATCACAGCAACAATAACAACAACAACAATAACAACAACAATAATAATAATATTGTGAAACCAGCTGTGATCTCAAATGAGATTAACTCCCTGGAGCAGCACGCATCCAGTTCGGGCGAAGATTATCACAACAACTATCAGACGACCCACACAAATGTCCAAAACTCACAGGCCACGCCCAATGGCTACGATTACAGCGCCCAGCTGGTTGATTCCGATTCGAAGGTTTTGGATGCCGTGACCAATGCTGCCAGTGGCTCGACTTCACTTTTCCCGCTGCCATTGCCTCTGCTGCGCGAGCAACGCCAGCCGGAAGTCTTTCCGCCAGCAAGCTATAGCTTTGACTATGCGGTGAACGACGAGAGCACCGGCGACATCAAGGATCACCGCGAGACGCGTGATGGCTATGTGGTGCGTGGCTCCTACAGCCTCATCGATCCCGATGGCTACAAGCGCACCGTTACCTACACGGCCGACGATGTCCACGGCTTCAATGCGGTCGTTAATCGGGTGCCCTATGCCCTGAAGAAGCTGGCGGTAGCTGCACCCGCTTTGGTGCTGGACGAGCGCTCGCCGGCAGCCAAGGTGTCGAACTCCGTGAAGAGTTTGGAGACCACGTCGAATTCGGTTTCTGGTGACAGCTATGTGAATGCGGCGAATGAACGTCAAACAAATGGCGGACTCTATGCCTGAATGAGCTCATGTTCTGTCTGCTAATATTTTACATATTTCTAGTTTTATAAATTTTAAATTATAACTGCACTAAATGCGAGAGAAAAAGATAATTGATGATCAATTGATTTTTGTTGGTGGACAGCTCTTCGATTTTATTGAGAGCATACTTTTAGGCAGCCGAAAAAATCATAAAAATGAGTAATCACCTGTTGAGAAAGTTTTGTGTGCTACGATTCAAAACCAAAACAGTTGACTGATTTTTCAAATATCTTTCGTGCCCTATTCCCAAACATCACATACTTCTAAGCACGTGTTTAAAAATGTATCCAAGGGTCAAAAGAGAAAACCGAGAAACCTGTTGTGCATTTTAAACAGCCTAGTGGTATAGCGTGAAATGCCAGATGGCCATTCAGAAAGCAAAGAATACAACAATAATTTGTTCATTGGCTTATAAACCTGATAAATTTCACAATAATACCTGTTTCTTTGTAGTTACCAGAACAGGAAAGTGCCTATCAAAACTTGTAATACATCATATTTCTTCAAAATATATTGGTTACTTCAAGGAATTTCTCTTGTTTATTTGATAAAACATAATATCTGAGTTAATTATTAAATTTCCCAAAGTTAAAAACTATTTAAATCATTTTTGACTAGGGAATTCCAGTAGGAATTAATAAAGATGGAAATTTTATTATACGTAAAATATATCTAAGAAAAAACATTAAAAAAATTACTTCTCCATATTTAGTTAGTCTTAAAAAATATATGGTTTGCTGGTATACGGAAATGTTTACTGCGTGGTCACACTGTGCCCATGGGCAACTGTTACTAGCATAAATATTTGCAAGTCACACTTACACAAAGCTTGCTCATCTCGAGCTTTTAGCATTATGGTCACACTGGTCGCAAGTCAAGTGTCGTTTGAGCGAAGCGCGCACGTACAAAACACAGCACAGAAACAAAAAAAAAAAAAACATCTCGCAAGTCTGTCAACGATCGTCAAAGCGTAAAGTCGACGTCGCGCTGCTCAGCCGCTGCCCAAGTTGTTTATATGGTACGACATTTACTGCGTTTGTTTTATATTCTTCACGTGTGTGTCTTGACTCCAAGCAAATAAACAAAACAACAAAACGAAACGGAACGAGCGTCGCATAATTGAACGCCCTCTTGCCGAAGAGGCAGCGATTTGTGACGGGCTAAACATTAAAAAAAGCAACAAAAAATAAATAAATACAAAAAAAAAGGAGAAAAAAAAACCGGCAAACTGCTAGCAAAAGCTTACAATTTAGCAATTGCAAATCGAATTACGCCAAAAAGGTGCAACGCCTGGCAACACAGGCGAGAGCGCAGCGTGCGGGCCCCTACAGAGCATCCGAATGTTTGTGCGGCTCTGGCTTGAAGGTCAACCGCATCTTACAAGTTTTGTCTTTTTTTTTCTTATTTATTTATTTATTTATTTTTTTTTTTGCCTTTACGGCTGCTGCGTCAGTGCACAAGAATGTGTTAATTTGGTATTTCAACAATCGCAACAGCAACAACAACAGCCCGACCATACACATAGGCCGCAACAACAACTGTGCCCTGACTATAGAAACATAAACATTAAATTTGCATAAATAACTTAAAAACGTTGCATTAGAAATTCCAACCCGACTGCACGATACTCTGTTTGCAGTGTGCGGCAACAAACCTGGCTACCATGATTATTATATTTCGGTAACAATTAGTGACTCTAAAACTGTGCATTTAGACAGAGAACGTCAAACGGTGCCTCTAAAACTGTTAATATATCGACTTATGCCATTAGAAGAAGCGATGCGGGGCCTGGATAGCTCTTTGAAGTAAACAATTTATACAATAAATCATATTCAGTGACTCTAAAACTGACACTTAAGCTGAGCCTTTAAAACTGGGATTTCAAATTGGAATACAAATTATGCGATTTACGAGACATAAACTGAAAATAATCAAACGAAATGTATTCGCTGACTCTAAAACTGTAACTCAAAACTTTATTCAAAGAAAAGTTGTGGACCTGTGACTCCAAAACTTTAGGAACTATAGAGATTTGCAATAAGTAGAAATGAAAGTGGGATTGATCATCATAAGGAAGATTATCAGTAAATAAATATTTAAGTGACTCTAAAAGGGTGGCTGTAAAACTGTATTACATATCTTTTTTTTTATTGAATCTTCCTATCCGCAAATCAATAGGATATTATATACTTTTTTTTATAAATAAATCCCCTCAACAGAAAAAGTTTGCAGTTTCTTGTTATCGAAAAGCTGAACATTTTATGCACAACTAATATGCTCTTCTTTTTCGATTTGGCTACAGAGTATTAAAAGTACACAAACGCGTATTAAAGATCCGGCAAGCCGATAAAGCTTACCAAAAAAAAAATAAAAATAAAAAATGAATTTTGTAAAGCAGCACCGGCAGCGTCTGGAACTGTTGCTGATGCTGCTGCTGGGCCTCATCTGTGGCAGCTGTTTATCGAAGCTGTTGCAGCTGGCCCGAGTGGAATTCTACGAGCTATATGCCAGTCAGCAATTTACTGCAGATACTGTTTCAAATTCAGACAATTCGCTGATGCAACCAAACAATAACAGCAATACGGAACAGCGTATACTCTGCATTATTACGCTGAAGCCGAAAGGCAATCGGCAGCAGGACATAGCACGCACCTGGGGCAGACGCTGCCACAAGCTGCTGTTCATACGTCCACATGCGAGAAAGCCAAAGCTGAGCATTGTGGGGCTGGCGAAGAGCCGGACTGACAGCAGCTCTTGGGCCCGAACGCGAGCGAACCTCCAGCATGTCCATAATCGTTATCACAAGAAATACGATTGGTTCCTAATGGTCACAGATGAAACGTACGTAAATTGAGACTCCAATCGAATGCTTTATTCTCTTATCGTTGGCTTTTTCCCAGCTATGTGATAATGGAGAATCTGCAGCACCTTCTGATCGACTACGCGCCAGAGATGCCCATTTACTTTGATAGCTTTTCCTGGTTGCATACGCAGCAGGTTAGTATGCAACAAATCTTAAATTACTTTCATATTCGATTCAATCAATGCATTTTGTGGTGACATGTGGTGTGATATAAAGCAGTGATTTTTACTCGTGCATAAGACTAAGATTCAATTATCGGAACTCCCTAGCTTAACATACTTTTCTTGTTTTGGTTAAATTCACTTATTTTGCTCGGTCAATAATGTATTTACCCCAGGATATTATTAATAAAAAAATAATTTATTATTAATTAATCTACATATACCCAAAGATAATCTTCAACGGAAGGGTGACGATATATTTGGCACACCGAAGATTTAATACCTTTTTCAGTTTGAGGGAATAGTGAAGTTCGAAAATGCTGAGCTTGATTGATATATATTGGAAATCGGAATATTTTAACAAGAAACTACTGTCGAAAATAAAGACGGGCCTATGCAAAGTTTGAAGACGATAGCCTTAAAACTGAGAGACTAGTTCTCTTAGGAAAAGACAGACAGACGGAAATGGCTATATGAACTCTGGGTCTTCTAAAAATAGATATTTTTGGAATAATTTTGTAGTAAAATCAAGTGAATAAATCATTACCAAGTACTTACAACTTAATTCTCTCTATTCCAGGGTTCGTTGTCTGCAGCTGGAGGCAATGTATTCAGTAGAGAGGCCTTGCGTCGTTTTGTGGATTGGGCACATGACAATAGCAGCATCTGCAGCAATCACAACTATGGGATTAGGCATGTGGAAATTGCACGTTGTTTTCGGAATGTGGGCGTTGTAGCGGGCAAATCCCACGACGAGCACGGACTTCCACTTTTCGTGAACCATTTAAGCAATGTAAGCTAACTAATGAACACTTAATGTGATCTTAAGAGTCAATGTTTGTATTTTACAGATTACAGAAGGATACTGTTCAAAGTCGGCCATATCATTTCAATGTGTTGATGCCAGCTGCTTTTATCAGATGGAGTATGTCATCTATAGACTGCGTGCGTTCGGCTTAAGCTGAACTCAGGAATCTTTGCAAATTGAATTTGTAAATGGGAATTTCCAGGATGTTGTTCATTTGGAGTTTTGAAAGGACTGTAGCAAACTAAGCCAAAGACAGAGACTAATCAATTCTTTTAAATTATATATGCCTGTATAAAATGAAAATGTTTAGAGAAACATCATCAAGTGTTCTCCATTTGCAGTCTTTTGGCTGATTCCTCTTGAAGCATGTTAAAAAAATCTAGCTAAATTCCATTGTGAGCATCAGTGATGGAAGCGTTCTGGGTAGGCGGTTCGTGCCCCATTATAATGCCATATGGATGCATTTTGTATAGTAAATATTCAAACATGTACATCTGATAGTAAACCACATAGTGAATTGTTGTGGCATAGGTTGAACAGCATTCTAGACCCTTTAAAAAATAATATTATATTGGCATTATACTGAATGTAAGTCTAAAGACAAACACACCACGTACCTGCTTAAATTTGTAATACGCAAAATCATACAGCCAACAATCTTTAGCTAAGCCCCCGGGTATTATCATGGCTTCCAATGTGAGTGGCAGAAATCGATGTCGTCCATCGCTGTCTCTGGAATCACCAGCACTCACATTGCACTTGCTTAAGCAAAGGCCCATTTCGAAATCTTCGGTGCCCATTTGGTTTTCATTGCATCGACCCGAATTGAGCCCGTGCTCGACCAGACGACGCACTGCCTCCCGGCTGAGCACGTAGCCAGCGCCACCAGACATATATCCCTGGTCGACGTACGGCTTGAACTTGCAGCCAAAGTAGACAGGCTCATCGGGCTGATGGGTATGCAGCATATGGCGCATATTATCAATTATGGCATATGTATCATCGTCTGCCTTAAAGAACCAATCCGCCTCGTCCAGATGATGCTTATAAACGTGTTTAAAAGCAGCCTTCGCCTTGCCCCACAGATAGTCGTAGCCCTCGGTAACGTTCAGTGCTACTGTGGCCACTCCCGCTGTGCTCTTCTGCTTTCGACTGCTAAACACAATCAACTTATTGCAGTGGCGTCCCCATGTTTGTCGGATTGACTTTACCACTTTCTCGTAGTTATGCGGATAGGTCAGCAGCACGCAGAGAATGCGCACCTGCTTGTACAGCTGCCTGGCCACGGTGTCATTCGCAGACAGCGCCGGTAACTGAACAACTGAGTCTGGTGGCAGTGCTGGCATGCCATTTATGTGTCCATAGGGCCGCAGATGATAGAGCAAATATTCTATCACATGCAGCTGATTGGCTGAGGCATAGGGAAAAGTAATCGGCATCTCCATGTTACTAGTAAAGTCCTGTTAAAGAAAAACTGGTTAAAATGATTTTAATATTGAAATGGTTGATTTCCCCACCTGCTCGGTATAGACTGTACGGTAGACATATGGCCAGATCCAAAAATCGGAGCGCATCGTAAAGGGCAACACCTCGGCTGGCACCTGAAACGGAAAGAGCTGCTCGTTGGGGCCCTGTTCTATTTTGGCCAGACATGCGTCAAAATGGCTGGGCAGACACTCATGTTCCAGCAGCAGCTGCTGCAGTGCACCACGACTGAATATATAATCCGTGGTATCTCTCAGACTAACATGGGCATAGGGATAGGCAGCATGGAATGCGCTAAAGTATATCAACTGATCTGGCGCATAGCTGGCCAGTTTGTAGCGCACGTTCTCCATAATCACATAGCTGTCTACATGCACATGCAGCAGCCAATCCAAGTCCAAGTACTGAATGCTAGCGATGCGTCGATACGCCTTGGCTGCATCCGACGCTTTGCTAATGTGCATCCGATTGCAGCGTGCGCCCCAGGTTTTCAGCACATGCTTTGCCTTGCGCCGCTCGTGATTATTGGTCAAGTGCAGCAGGCAGTGTATACGAACTTTCTGGTACATCTGCTCGGCGATGCTAAGGTTGTCCCACGTCTGATTCCGGGTGCCCACGTCGAAATCAGTGACCCGCTCTTTATATGGCGGCTGCAGATAGTCCTTTAGGGCAATGCCGGCACGACTAAATGCAAATATATATAGCTCCAGAAGAAGGAACCAGAATGCACAACTAACTAATATTGCCAAGCTCGTGGGACCTAATAGGCGCTTCAAACGTTCCAGCAGCATTTTGAAAAATATTTAAATTGTTTTAATTGCGCATCTGTCAAATCAGTTATTTGCAAAAGTTGCCAGACTGCTTAAACTGGGACTAGCTCATTTATTGAACTGCCGTTGCCAGACTGCTGCAATTGAAACTAATTTAATGCATGCGCAAAACCAATAAATAAATAAAGATCAATTTTGAAAAAGTAAGTAGCATTAATTTATAAAATATATGCAATTGCAAATGCTAAAGCGAACAAATATTAGCGATGCCGGACTGAAATGTATAGGCAGATTAGATTACGGAACTTGCTGGTTCTGTTCTGAACCAGCGCTCCGATATTTTGAGCGAGCTTCACTCTTGTCGTTCCTTTAACTTCTTTAATGTCGCGCCAATAACGTAACAAACTAAAATGCAAATATATTTGCATAATGTGTTTAATCAGCAAATAAATAAATATACGAATTTAAGTCAATATTTTAGTGAACGGGCAAGTGAAGTACATGTACTAAAAGCTGCAAGTCGAATTGCAATCGGGCCGCCAACTGAAACACCGTCGGCAAAAGCTCGCGACGCGCGCCAAAAAAAAAAATGAAGCGGTCCTTTTTTTTTTTTTTTTTATGTGCAGTGTTAAATCAAGGAATAGTAAAGTGCAGTGTAATTGTTACATAAATATGTATTATATGAAGCAGTGTATTATACATATACATACAAGCATATTTATGTGTATTAAAGTGCAGTGCAATGTTATTTCTCTTCAATGAAGATCAGATCTTTGCTCATCATGAGCAAAAAGCAGAGCAAATTTTACATGTATATGTGTGTGTGTAAGTGAATTGAATCAAAGAAAAGAGGAAAAGAGAACAAGTGAAAGTGAAAGTAAGGAACCAATAAAGAACAGTTATATACGTGCAGACGAACATAATATACACTTTGCAGACAAACAGCTAATTTTAGATATATTTATATAACTATAGTTATTATAAAATCTATATTTTATGTTATTTATAATCTCTGCAAGGGGTATAAGAAGTGAAAGTGAAAGTGCTTAACAGAAAGTTATATTGATTAAATTCCGACAGTTGGGAATTTCAGTTAATTATGCAACGGTAAGTGGATCTTATATATTTGATTTTCTAAAAAATTTAAAAATATATATAAATGACCGCATATCCGAAATTTATTCTTAAATTATCAAATAAATTCCAATTTTTTCATTACATTATTGAATATTACATTTCGTACAAATTCAAATCGCTTTGTCTTTTACCCATTGAAATTGACTAACAAGGGTAGCATGGTTTTGTGTGTTTGTAACAAGAGAAAAAAGTATTTCCGACAAAAAAGAAAAAGATAACTTTCCCCGTATTCTCCGAGCAATTGATAAGATACAATATCGAAATCGTTTTGTTTGAGCAAATATCTCAGTTTTTAAGGTAGGTAAGGTAAGGTAGATGTATGTATCTTCTAGAATAGTGTGCACAAATCAAGTATCTTTCATTTTATATATATATATATATAATCTTAAATTTCGCCTAAAAAAAAACATTGAATGGATTCTGCGAAAGGCGTAAGACACGTCTCAAATGATTCTTCTTATAGATCTTTGCAAATAAATTTGAGCACGAAACTTTACCCCCATTTCCAGCAAGGAAGAATGCATTTTTTGTAAAGTGTAAAACACCCCTTAAATAAATTTGAAAATAAGCTTAAGACCGATCGGATGGTAAGCAAAAAAGTTTCAAACGTTTTTCGCGTTTTTTTCACACACGCGGGTGGAATTTCCCGAAACCCCATAACTCTTAATTCCGCTAAAATCAGACAACTAAATAAGAGTTTTTTATTTTTATTTTTTATGATTAAATAAGGTTTTTATGTGCTCTTCTGTGTTCTGTGTTCTTCTGAATATAGATCATTTGAATATTCAAGTTTTTTTATTTCACTTGTCAGTTTTTTAAGTTCTGTTTCCATTTTTGAGTTCTCCTTCGGCGTCTTTTTCTCTTCTAAATCGGCTTCGTTCGAATTGACTTCTCTTGCATCAGGTTCTGTCGGAGCTACAGTTGTTGTATTCGCCAACCTGTCCTCATCATTGATGGAATCCTCGTTGCTGTTGGCGGGCTCCTCCTTTGGCGGCGGAAGGAACTCGCCCACTTTCAGCTTAGCTGGCAACTGTTGCTGCGTTCTTACCACTCCATAGGGTTTCAGGTGGTAGATCAAATAATCTAGAGCATACATCAGATTTGGGCCCACATAGTGAAATGAAATGGCATTATCCGAACAGCAATCGAGACCCTTAAACAAAATAATTGATCCCAATCATTTACTTAACTGCATCTTAGAACTCACATCATCCGTCTGGTAAAAAAGATAATTCCAATACCAAAACCCTTTGTCTCTGTTGGGTATTAAATGATGCTCAGGCACAAAGGGAAACATGCGACCGCGTCCGTTCGAATCACGAGAATCGCCTGCAGTCACATTTAGATTCTCCATGCATTTTCCAATTTCAATATCCTCGTTAATAACGGTCTCCTGTAGACACATCTTGGGATCGGGTATGCCGTCAACAACAAATCGCCGCAGTGCTTCCCTGCTCAGCACATAACCTGCTCCTCCCGACATGTAACCCTGCTTCACAAAGGGCTTGAACTTGAAGCCAAAATGTACGGGTGTCTCCGGATTATAGGGATATAGCATATAGCGCAAATTCTCGACAACCGCATAGGTATCATCATCTGCCTTGTAGAACCAATCCGCATCGTTGTAATGATGCTTGTACACATACTTAAATGCCTCCTTCACTTTGCGCCAGAGATTCTCTCGACCTTCACCCACATCCAACTTCACCGTGGGTAGCTCATCATCCGCTCCGGAGCTCATGAATAGAAGAATATTGCAGCGTTTGCCCCAGGTTCGTTTGACATGGCGAGCCTTCTTTTTGTGATTGTTAGGATTTGTCATAATCCAGCAGAGCACACGCACCTCCTTCTTTAGCTTATCGGCCAGCGAAGAATCATCGTTTGGATGCTCGTGCTTAATCACATGGAAATCTCCTATTATATCTTCGGCTACCTTGTGTTGGATAAGGGGTTCGCTGCTAGCCAAAATGTTGTTAGCTTTGATGCCTTCAGATATGGTTATGTAGGATATAATTTGAGCCAGGCAAAAACCGATGAGAAGACCAATCATAAGAGTAAGCAATGAACGTGTTTTAGAGGCACGTGCTAAAAAATTTCAATTGCCTCAGAACAAATTTAATTTCTTTTTGGAATTTGTGTCGTTTACCTTCGTAAAGAACGGAGTGTGAAACCATTTTGTATGACGCTTCCAGCTTTAACACTTGTCTAAACACTCACAAACCAGCTTTGTTTCAAATCCAAGAAATTTTTAAATTTTAAATAACTTCACTGGCTTTGCATATCTAGTATATTATTCTAGGCTTTCACTTTGTACATGTAGATACTTTACATGACCTTTTTATTTGAGTATTAACATAAATAGTTCTATTTGAATATAATTATGCACTTTATTTGACACACTTTATCATTAAAGAGCGCGTACCCAAAAAACCCGAACCGTAGTATTTCACGTTGCCGAATCAACTAAGCTTCTAAACCGAAAACTGCCCGAGTTATGGGTGGGAATAGGCACTTGCATTAGATAGCACTTGTGCAAATAGAAAAAAATAATAAAGGTCTTTATCTTATGTGGGTCGATTACTTTGTATTTGCTTTTATAACTATTTAAACCATTACAAATGGGTAAGATAGGTTTTTATTCAAATGTATGTGACAGGCAGAAAGAAGCATATCAGAGTCCATAAATATATATATTCTTGATATGCCGAGTCGATCTAGCCACATCCGTCTGTCTGTCCGTCCGTCCGCAAGGGTGTAAGAACCTATAAGAGATACTTCCTTCTGCCTGTTACATACCTTATATATACCCTTATATACCCTTATACCCATTTTTAATGGGTTCAGGGTATAAAAATACCAATCTTGCGCTTGGAAGACTATCCAATAGCAGTATTTCGTGAAGGGGCAACCTATAGATACGATTTTTAATTGAAAGCAACTTAATAAAAAGTTATCAGCAAATGTTTTTTAGATACTACGCAAAGAAATCCATGTACGCTTATTTCTGCCTAATTGAATTTTGGTAAACACATTTTTTTTTTTGTTTAACTGAACTAGTTCCGAGCAGGCATGTTCAGATCTGAACAATTCTGTTTAATAGATAAATGTAGTGTATTACCCTGCTTTGCCCGGCTCAAGTTTTTCCTCTTCTTCATCTCCTCCAATTTCTGAAGACAGGTTTTTTTTCTCGCAAAATTGAAGGCAAAATGCTTGTCAAAGGCTTATTGAACAAAAGTTTATTTTCGGCATCAAGATGTTCGCCACAAGACTAAGATTTTTTTTATTCGATTAACTTTAAACATATTTTCACAAAAAATCTATTAAGCTTTCTAACATATAACATGATTTTCAGATGCTTTGTTGTTGTTTTGGCTTGAGTTTTATGCGCTTCTCTTGGTAGTTCGCATGAGTTTCATTTTGTTGGAGAACTAGTTCCTTTTGAACATCCTTGTCGGTAGCTTGTAAATGCCCTCTGGTAAAGGTATCAAAGGAATCAATTCGAAGCGGCGTTGAGTAGAGTCTTACCAAGAAAATGGTCACAAATAAACCCACGACAAGTATGGCGAACTTGTTTAGTGCTAAAATTCGTATTTATTACTTAAGAATTTAATTGAATGTAGTATTTTACACCCTATTACGATACCTTTTCTCAGTGAATGTGTCCGCATTTTAAACTTTTACCTATAACTGTAAAGGTCTGTATGCAAAGTATTCCCAAAAAAAAAAAAAACAAATATTCTCTCATATCAGACACTTGCGTCAATAAAAGAAAACAAATGGTCTAAATTTCACCATTAACTTGCCTTTCAGATACATTTTTGTGAAAAAGTTGAATTTTGAAAACCAGATATTATTCTTTATTCTATATTATATTAAATATTAGAATTAAGGACCTCATAGCAGCTGATATTACATTTTTATGCGAACTGAGCCGACACACATCACTTTTACGACTAGGCTAAAAATATGATAAGCCATCGTATCGAAAAGTCTATGAGACTATCAACACGCAACTCTTTTTAATAGACAATTGTTTAAACATTGTGTGTGTGTGTGTGTGTGTGTGTGAGAGAGAGCGCAAGAGACATAGCGAAAGAGAGAGATAGATGTTTAAAAACAACAGATAAGAAAATTGAATTACTAATAAGAGTGCTCGCGAGTACCTGACAATGAGATACCCTGGACCTTATTCCACCAACAACAAATGCAGCTCGATTGCACTTCTCACATTTTGCCCAACCTATTTCATAGATAAAGAGATGTACTGGCATTATTAAATTTAAGTAAGCTAGTTCCTAGAACCCGGAACCCTCTTCAACTGTCCATCGCGTCATAGCTTAAATCCATAATAAGTATTTGATCTTAAAGCAAAAAATTAACAAAGAACTAAACACAGCATGAAATTGAGTCGCAATTGCTATTCTATTTAGAAATTAATAAAGCCAAGAGGCTTATAACCGATTTCTTTAATATTTTAAACTTTTATGTTTATTTACCCATTTTAATGATATTCGCAATATATTTTGCAGTTTATAAATAAATGCCATCTTTCCAATATATATATATATTTACTCTACATTCGCCTCAAAACATATTATTCTTTTTTTTGATGAAGATATCTAGAACATAAAATATTGATATACTAAAACACATTTTTTCGACAAATTCCTCCTATAGAGCTTTGTAATATAGTATTGGGATCTATGGCAGTTTTATGATATAGTGGATTGATCCGACAGGTTCCTACATCATGGATATAGAAATTCATAATATGCTATTGAAGATATGTAAGATCCGTCAATGTGCTATTTGTAGTCCTGTTATATTGCGCTCCGGCATAAATTCGCCTACCGCCAGTTTTTTGGGCAACGGCAATTGTTCGTCGATAATGCCAAATGGTCTTAGGTGATAAATTAAAAAGTCTAGTACATACATTTCCTTGGGCGAGATGTAATGAAAAGATATAGCCGTATCTGCCATACAATTGGGACCCTAAAAGAAAGTTCCATTAGATTGAAGTAGGTAGCCAAGTAACACCTTACATCTGTCGTATTATAGTATATGTATTTCCAGTACCAGAACTTCGTATCAACTTTGGCAGTTAAATGATCTCTGGGCGCAAATGGATACATACGGCCGCGTCCATGGCCATCACGAGAATCGCCGGCGGTCACATTTAGATTCTCCATGCATCTGCCTATTTCAATATCCTCGTTTTCAACGGTGCCAGGCAGACACTTCTTGGGATCGGGTATGCCCTCAACAACAAATCGCCGCAGTGCTTCCCTGCTCAGCACATAACCTGCTCCTCCCGACATGTAACCCTGCTTCACAAAGGGCTTGAACTTGAAGCCGAAATATATTGGCGCGTCGGTATTATAGGGATATAGCATATAGCGCAAATTCTCGACAACCGCATAGGTATCATCATCTGCCTTGTAGAACCAATCCGCATCGTTGTAATGATGCTTGTACACGTACTTAAATGCCTCCTTCACTTTGCGCCAGAGATTCTCTCGGCCTTCACCCACATCCAACTTCACCGTGGGTAGCTCATTATCCACTCCGGAGCTCATGAATAGAAGAATATTACAGCGTTTGCCCCAGGTTCGTTTGACATGGAGAGCCTTCTCTTTGTGATTTTTAGGATTTGTCATAATCCAGCAGAGCACACGCACCTCTTTCTTCAGTTGCTCTGCTAGGGAGAGTCTCTCTATTTGGTAATGTCGATGATGGTTTTCCACAGGAATGTTTCTTTTATAGATAAGTTGAGTCAAACAGCAGCCCAGGACTAGACCCGCGATGAGGGTGCAGAGCAAATGAGTTTCAAAAAATCGTCTATGGTTAACAAACATTTTAACTCCGTATTTGCGTTAGCGAACGCTGAACAATCCTTATAGACTTGGTACTTTAAATATTCGTAATATTGTTAACATCTACTTGATTCTCAGAACCGAAACGACGCGTATTTTCGAAATGACTAGGATGATAAACTGCCTTTACTTCAGTTCTTATAGGCTTCATTCGGGGTCGTAATTTTATTTACTCCAGCCTATGCAAGCTTATATTTGTTAAACTTGGGAATAAATTTATACCAATTGTACAAATTGAAATAAAAACGTGTTGGGATATCTTTCAGATGCCATTTCTTGTGCATTACTAAAGCTAATCAAATATATGTATAAACATTTTTATAAATGAACAGAACGCAGGCGACCGTGTCTGAAGGTCTTTAAGTGCACTGTGCTACAAAATAAAACTAAAAGAAAGTAATAATATCTTTTGCATGCCGAAGATTTAATACCCTTACGGTCTTGCAGATGTATGAGAACAGTGAAGCTCGTATATTATAAGTTTGACGAAAATATCTTTGATATATTGTGACGGACGATATTAAAAATTAAAATAAAATATGAAAATTGGTTTAAGCTTTTAAACGACTAAATATAATAGTCGAGCAGGGCTTAGTATTAAATACTGCATTTGATTTTAAAATTTCTTTAACAATTTTCTTCAAAAATTTCTATTGATATACATAAACAAAGTTGTTGTTTTTAGAGTTTATTAAATGTTTTGTCATTATGGGCTGGTTATAGCAGCTTGTATATGAAAAACAAATTTAAAAACATTTTTCGCTCAATAAGTTTGTGAAAATGTTAACGTATGAACCAGCTCAAGCAGTGCATAATTTAAGCAGTTCCGAATTTTCATTATATATTTACAGTTAATGTGTACTGCTTGCCAAGCAGTGTACACCCACAACTTCACAATTTTGAATTTAAAAATTTCGTTACTTTTGAAGCGAACTTAAGATTACAAATGTGCGACCTTATACATTTGTTTGAATAAATAATGCCTGGTTATTAAAAAAAATGTTAATGCTTAAGAAAATCTATCAAAAGTCAAGTATTTATTCCATTTGTAATACAATACTTTATTAAATATTTAAGAGTTAATGGTAAAGTGTAATACATTTTCTCAGTATCATTGCCAAAGTTTATATATGTACGTATTAAAGCTTATCGAAAGAGTTATGTCAATTTTAAATTTATAGTTTATTGCTAACTAAATGGGCCAGTAGGTATGTGTATGTTTGACTTATTTGCGTTGTCTTAAGAGCTAATTATGTGCCATTTGCATTATAAATACTTAATCAAGTGTATCTACAGCTATTTATTAGTATATATTATAAATGATAATTGCGCAGACTTTATTACAAACTAAACTAACAGCACTCAATCATTCTGGTTTTGGTATTTTTGTACAAAAGAGTCGCAATTCAAGAGCATTTAATTAACGTAGCCTGAGCGTATTTTACTAAAACAAGAGACAACATATGGAAATGGCAAAGTATGTTAAGCTAAGTTCGATATTTACAAAAGTTTTATATACACATAACATCGGTCTGTAATCACTGCGTCTGCTTTTGTGTTTCGGCAGTATTTGATTCCTCCAGCTCCTTGGGCTCTTTAGGCGCCGGCATCAATTCGCCCAGCCCCAGCTTATTGGGCAGAGCATCTGGCGTATTAACTATGCCATATGGCCTCAGATGGTATATCAAATAATCTAGCACATACATTTGATTGGGCGACACATAATGAAATGATATGGCATTATCCGAACAGCAGTCCAGACCCTGAAAGAGAAATATGAAGAATTCATGAGTTAGTTTGAATACATGATTATAAGTTAATCCATATTTCTTCGTGTGTAATGGATGGAAAAGAGATGGAAGATCTGAGCCGGGCACTGCCGGGTATAATTTGTAATATCTCACCTCGTCTGTTTTATAGAAGATATACTGCCAGTACCAGAACTTCTTGTCCGTGTGCGAGGGTATCAAATGATGCTCCGGCACAAAGGGAAAGAAGCGACCACGTCCGTTGGCATCACGGGAATCGCCCGCCAAGACCTTAACATTCTCCATGCACTTGCCCATTTCCACATCCTCGGCGCCGGTATTGTCATTCTTGCATAACTTGGGATTGGGCAACGCTTCGACGACAAAGCGCCGCACTGCCTCCCGACTGAGCACATAGCCAGCGCCACCGGACATATAGCCTTGTTTAACGTACGGCTTGAACTTGCAGCCAAAGTAGACGGGCGTCTCGGGATTATAGGGATATAGCATATAGCGCATGTTCTCAACAATCGTATAGGTATCGTCGTCTGCTTTTAGGAACCAGTCCGCATCGTTGATGTGGTTCTTGTAGATGTACTTGTACGCCTCCTTTGTTTTGCCCCACAGATTATTGCGTCCCTCGCCAATGGGCAATGCCACAGAATCCAGTTCCTCATCCTTGGCGGAGCTCATGAAGATCAGCTTATTGCAACGCTTGCCCCACGTGCGCTTTACGTGGCGCGCCTTCTTCTGATGGTTGGCGGGATTTGTCATGATCCAGCACAGAATTCGCACCTCGCTGTACAGCTTCTCCGCAATGCTGGTATTCTCGTGCGCATGCTCGTGCGTGCCCACATCCTGCTCTGGACCAGCCAGCTCCAGCATGTCGTGACTGTGATGCGCATCGTTGACATCGCCATGCCGGTGGCCATCGTACGGCACATACTCGCCACGTTCCGGCGTCGATGAGTACACAAATAGCTCGGCCAGACAGAAGCCAACGACCAGGCCGACGATCAGTGAGACGAAGGAACGTTTGTTGGAACGTCCTGAAAAAATGAGAAAGCCACAGATCAGTTGGTTTGTTTTATTTTTGAGAACATTTTTCATACATCCTAAAGATTAGATGGGAGGGAGAATAGTTTTCCTTTTATTTTAGCGAAGGCGACGTTTCTTCATCCTACTGACTACTTTCTTTCATTTCCAAAAATCAATAAATATCGAAAGAATTTTGAATGGGTTAAATTCTTTGAGTACGATTTCTGGTATATGCGCATATGCCATATTTATGCACTGTAAACTGTATAAATTCGTGTAAACAACGATCGGATAATAAGACGAGCATTTATTGAAAATTCAATTTTGCATCTAGTACCAATGTGAAAAGAAGATGCGCAGCTGTTGCAAAAATTAATCAGATACACTCAAACAAAAAAGTTCATAAGTGTTAAATTCAAACACTTTAAAATTGCAAAACCTTTTTTATAGTTTTATAAAAAAGGAATTATTTAAGAAATCTTTAGCTGTCTTAAAGGAAAACTATCTATTTGAAAAACAATAGGGCAAATGTCTTTAGTCCCGATTTCTAAATTTTAATTTCTATATTTCGCGAGTAGTTAAGCCTTGAACAGGACTCGATCATTCAAATTTGTTTTCTATTGTGAGTTTTAGAAATGAAATTCATGTAAAACTTAAACGTTTGCTTGCTTTTTAGGTAACTTACCTTCATTAAGTAAGGATCGTCCGAGTAGGCTATTGGCAGTCATTTGGCTGTAACTTGTGCTACGTGCTATAAGCTGGGAGGGTTTGAAGGATGTGGGCAATGTATGGCAACCTCAATGCTTGGCACCTACTCTTTGGGTTTTTGGGGGGCCTTGAGCCTCTTTGGTTGCGTTACGTAGGTGAAGTTGCTATTTCCTGTGCGTTTTACATCTTCTGCAAGAGAAACGAGAAAACATGCTATTAATATCAGTTGAAATAAATGGTTAGGCTCTTGTATTCCTCACAGGCGTGGACCAGTCGGTAATGTCCGTTCTACTTATAAGCCTGCTGAATTCTACAATTTTAACGTGTCTTCTGCACTTGTCTGTCTCTCAATTACAAGTGTCTTCTAGCTGAGAATTGTGCATTGGTGCGATGTTCGAGACATGACTGAATTATTAAATATGCGAAAACGTGACAATTGAATCATTCGAATCGCACTAAGCTCAGCTGCAACGTTTTCCATTTGCTCAATTTTTTGCATCTTTTACTTATTATTTCGTTTATATCTCTTGCTTGGTTTTTTGCTCATTTTCCCATTTTCATGCATTCTGCTATGCGTTGGTGTTGATAACAATTAATTATCTCTTGCACGTGTGTTACATCTGATTACCTGTGCGCTCAACTGGGTCAAGAGTCTGCTGCTTCTTATTGTTTCTGCTTCTTATTGTTTCACATATGCGAGTCTTATGCTTGCCAGTTAGAAATTTTACTTTTGATCTTTTCTATATTGTAAACAAAAACATTTTTGCACATTTACATATTTATTTAGTTAATTTCACGTCAACTTGTTAGTTCGGGTCTTAAGTTCAAAGACACGCTTAGTTTAACTTTACAACAAATATCATGGGCAAAATGTAATTTTGGATCTATATGCAAATCACGTTTGGGTCACAGCCATAAATACTACAAACATTTAACTACAGAAATTTAACACTTTGTTCAATCTGATTACTTCGAGCGGGTGTGAAAATTGAAATTATGAGCCGTAATTTTCGAATCAATAGAAAATACATCAACAAATTTCACTGTATATATTTGAATTCTTTTTAAAAAATCTTTTAAGCTTAGTTTAGTTATATATTTTGCATACATAATCCAAAGAAATATTACTAATGTTCGAACACATAATGTATTTATGAAAATATTATGTCAGAATTAAAAAAAAAGAATCCTTTTTCTCTAATAAGTGGTTTCTGAAAGGTCATCATTTAGGTTTAATGAAGAGCTTTAAGTTCCTATGCAATTCTCTTCTTTTTTTTTTTCAACACTTGGTAACAATTTTTGTGGGTTTAATGAACTTTATCAACTGTACCGCGTTTTTTTTTTAATTTTTAGTTTTATTTATAAAGTTCAAATTGATGTAAAATTTAAATTTTATTGAAGAGTGTTCAGCCATTAACATCATTCGCTTACGAGCGAGACAATTTCCCATGAGAGTTGGATTTATTAAAGCTTTCTTACTAAATGTAATTACAAACCCGATAGAATTTAAATAACTATAATTATCAAGCACGCACTTGGTAGAGTATACACAAACAGCAGGGGAAGGCATTTCCCCTTTCTAAATAAGATTTTTTCATTGAACACAAATTGATAAAAAGTAATCAATGAAATTTATGCAGACACAACTGCAAAGAAATCGTTGAATGTGTGTGCTTAATTGCATTTTGTTAAGAAAATAAACACAATGTCAATCTGAACTAGTTCTAATACATATTTAGTGTTAAACATTTTTGTTTTATTGATAAAAGTCACGATTGAATTATGTGGTATAAATGAAATGCAAATATTATACATTAACATTTTTTGGTAAAGTCGAATTTTTATTACCTCCCTCAACTTCTTCGTCTTTTGTATCTTTGTATCTTAAGCTGTTGGAAAACGTTTGAAGGCAAATTCTTTGGTGTGATTGGCTTTAAAGCCTATTTGCTATGATGGAAAATGTGAATAATTGTTTGTGTAAACGCAAGCCTTATTTACGCTTATTTTCAGAGCTGTTATGATTATACGGAAAAGGCTTGCACTTTTTTGCATTGTATGAAAAAGTAAGGAAATAAATCGGCACGGGTAAAGCTGGGTAGAATGTGTTCGTATTATTGATGCTATTTATATACTGTCTTTTTTACGTTTCTACACAACTCACAACTTTTGTTTAAACTTATTGATTTAAAGAACTTTTGTCAACATTGTTTAAAACACTTGAAAAACAATAATTGGATGGTAAGCTTACAGCTTGCACCTGCACCGTATTTGTTTACCTGTTTTGTGGTTGTTATTTAAATTTAAATCAAATTTAGTTAATACATTGTCATAAAGGTTTTTACTATTCACAAATGAATGAGTGTTTTACGAGTGGCACGATTCGCTTGCGAGCGACAACTGAGTCCACGATGCATATGAGCTGGGGTTCTTAAAGCAACGTAAACTGCAATCAACAGTGCTTCATGTTGTTGTTGCTGTTGTTGCTAGAATAATGTCGTAGCGAAATGAAAATGGAAATAGCAAAATTTACAGCGTGCCGCATTATCAGTGGAAAACAGAAAGCAAACCATTTGGAATTGAGTTTGGCATATGGTTTGTATTGTTATGAGGAGTCGTTTATCTTTCATGCAATTAAGCTAATTGATCTGAGCCACGGGCACTGCCGAAATGAATCATATGTGCTTATCAGCCACTGTTGGGCTTATCAGTTGATTATTTAGTTTTGCCTTTATGACTGCCCATCAATATGTGATAATAGAGGGCGAAATTTTCGAGTGAAACGAACCTTTAAAATGTCCACTTTTGAGGTGTGGGTCTGCGGGCAAGATAATGCCTCTAGTCGGTTATATCTGATTGATTGCTAACAAAAAAAAAACAATAATAAATTTTTTACTCAGCTTTCGACAAGTTTACATATAGCTAAGAAATTATTAACAATTCATTTTACACATAAGCTAATATTAATGCATTGTTTTTATACAGTGTAACTATAAGAGTACGATTTTTATTATTGAGTATATAATATAAGAGGAAGAAGAAGAGGAATCCGCGCAGAATACTCTATTATGCGTGTTACAATCATCACAGAGGATGATAGAATAGTTACGGCTAGTTAATTGGCTAGTCATTAAGTTAACCTAGTTATTAACCTTTATTATTAATATAACACCAAGCCTGGTTCTACAATTAATTAAGGAGGGAATAATTATCATCAGAAGTCTACTGAAGTTAATTTGTATATATTGTAAATTATTGATCATTTTCCCTACAAAAACTTATATTTGCACTCATCACAATAGTTTTTTTTTTGTTCAATAACATCGTTTTCTATTCCTTTCGTAGCTAAATAATTCATTAGTCCCATATGTCCGGCTCCGACATATATATCTATGCTAAGTTTGAGGCTGACAAAATCGCCTTTGATACTGATTAAGAGTTTGTTGAGTATCTCCTTCATTGCGTGACATATTTTATGACTAATCTGTAATAGCTTACATTAAAAAACAAGCCTCTCACAGATAAGTTTCTTGTCAATTGCTTTTAATCAGAATTAGTTCTAAGTTTCAATTCGTTCGCCATGGACCCAAGGCCCATGCGATGTTTGGATTTGTTAGCCGTAAATCTACTTAGTTCAAAGACCCGTGCACAAAACTGTCTTTATATTCGGCCTTTGTTTGGTCAATATAAGCGAATGCCTCTTATATCTAGAGCCCATATGCAATTGTGCACGTAAATAGGTGCACGGCCCCAAAAACAATATGTAGAATTTAATTTGCAATGTCATAACTTGCCTTGCAGATCTAGGTGTCGGTTATTATTTAATTTACAGAATGTGATTGAAGAAAATTACTGACTGTTCGCCCCTTCTTGCGATTTCATTAGCCTTTACTCAATAATTCATGGATCAAACTTAAGCTTAAATAATTCTTTCTTTTAAACTAATGACTTTCATATCCTCTCTAAGCCGCAGTCAGCAGAATTAGAATTCCGTAGATGAGGATGGCAGGATATATATAACTAATAAAACTGAAGCAACGATGGAACATGCTGCGAGAGAATTTAAGCAAAACGAGTCTATTGTGACAATTGGTCCATGGACTGGAGAGCTGAATGCAATCGTGGAACCGCAAAGTCAAATGGGTTCAATTGCATTGTGTGGGCGGGTGGTGATTGCAATTGCACCGGCTACCGGGCACGGGGCATGCCTCAATTGATGGGCAGATGTGCACGTTAATGTGCCGGCAATTTAAATTGCAATCGTAATTGCAAATTAATTAAATGTGGACATGAAATACCTTATTGTTATTCTTCCAATTTCAACAGTTTCACCCTACTGAAAATTCGTGTCACGGCAATTGTGTTTGCTGAATACAGTTTTGCATTTTGCAAAAGGCATTGCAATTAAACGTAAATTACATAAATTGCTTATCAACGAGTCGCTTTGCATATGCCAAAGCCATAAAAACTAGTGCAATGTAAACAAATAATTTGAAATTTTAGTCTATATTTAGCTCAACAAGCCGCTACGAGCTAAAATTATTTTTAATATTTGCAGTTCCAACAGTAAATTGCAATTTAATTTTTGTGTCCGAATAAACACATAAATGAACTCATTTCGCAACGTGTCTCTAATTCAAATCTTTTTTGCTATCAATTATTGTGGTTTCATTGTTATTTAGAAACAATTAGTTTATCAACTGTGTGCTATGAGGTATAATCACTATTTAGGTCGTCTACCTTTATCGCACATATACATAAGTGAATGTTTAATAAAGTCCATTTATTGATTTCCAGCTAATCTTTGTATCTTTTTCCCATATGATTAAATACACTAAAGGAAGGGCCCAAATATTATTTAATCTAAGGCAACAACATCTTAGTTAAGTGTATCTCACATTAAAGAGCATTTAAATTGACCGAAAATCAATTATTAAATAATATAAAAAAGGTAAAATCTATTTTCAAAAAGTAAAATCAATATATAAGTAAGATTATCGACTATAATAAAATCACCATAATAATATTACTTTCTTTTTAAATTCTTAAAATATGTCATTAAAGAATTAACTAGCGTATGATATATTAGTTAGCATAGTCCAAATGTATTTAAAGTCAGCACGTTAAACAAAAAACTTTACTCCAATTTAGAATTGTGGCACTTTTTTCAAGCAATCGCTAAAAATCCACATCGAAATTTCGTTTTAAAGCAAGACTCTTGGAATAGTGTATACAAATCAGATACCATACATTTAATAGATATCATTTTTAATGATAAAGCAAGCGATCTTGAAAAAAAAAACTAAATTATATTGCCACATTATTTAGGGGTTCGAACCCCGAAGCTCTTCGTTCAGTTGTCCGCACTTAGTCACATAGACAACTTATTTAATTGAATATTCCAAAATGTTTTTGATATTAAAACACTCACATACAACAAATAATCTGACTATGGAGGACATGCTTCAGCGAATAAGATGAAATTTGCCAAAAAAAAAAAAAGGTACATACAATTTTATTATTAACATTTTATTGTAAGCTATTTACAATTTAAAATAGCAATTATATGAGGCGTAATAGATATTTTGAAAATGTTTCAAAGTAATGAAATGATTATCTCATGGCAAACATATCAATGCTCGCCCTGGGTCACAATACCGTGACAGTTCATTCACAGTGGATAGTTGGATATTTTTAAACACGGCGCGCTGACAACAAACCAATTGTTCAATTGTTTTGTGTTTGGCGCGCCGGTTAACCAATAAAACCGGCCACGCTTTGCGATTCTGGGTAAAAAAACACAAAAAACAAAAAGAATTTAATTAAATAGTTGTCTGTGTGTTTGCCTTTTATATATATATATATATATTGTTTCCCTTACTTTCAATTGTTATGCCACCAGATAAACGTGACAAAAAAGTATATATACATATATATTTGAATAGTATATGCTTCAGCAAGTGAACAACTTCACTGTTATCACGCGCTAGAGGAACTGACCATGGAAACTGTTATCATAAGTTTTGCTTTTTATTTTTCTATACATCCGCTCTCAAGTGGCAGCATTACGTCTTATCCAGCGCTGTAACACGTCACCATCTCGTACTTAAGTTTTCAGCTATCTTCTTAGTAATTGGTTTATAAGCACTACGAAAAATAGTATTAATTCGTAGTGCGAAAAGTATCTAACGTCAATGTAGGGTAGGAACCCAACAGCAAGGTAACATTTTATCACCTGATAACAAATTTTTGTGCTACGTGATAACAATTTGTGCTTTTTATACGCCGAAAACATTTCAAATGGCGAAACAGGCAGTTAAAAGTAAGTCGATCTAGTCTGTCCGTCTGAGACTTTAATGATATGCAATTTGTATGCTCTACAATTTTTTCTAAAGGTCGGACTATGAGCACCGAAGTTAATCAAGTTGGCATTTGCCATACACTGTGCTGCGTATACGTGTATATATATATAAAGGCAGCTCAGCTTTTTGGTTAAGTCCTAGTCGAACGTCCCTACTACAGAACTTTTAGCTGATATTTTGATATGAGCAGTTCCATCATTAGTTGGACGTCGTCAACATTTTGTTGACTGTTCGTTAGAATTTTGTTTTTTATTTCATATTTATGCCCTTACGGTTGGTATTATATATTTGTCATGAAACATCTCCGACCTCATAGAGTATATATATTCTAGATCAGCATCAACAAACAGTCAAATATATCATATATCTATAGGAAAGATCGCTCGAAAAGTCGGTCTCGCGTGGCAAATGTTCTGTTTAACGTGGGAAATGTCTATAAGGGTATTTGAATTTCGCCGTGCCAAAGTTATCCATAGTTTGTAGTTTTTTTTTTTTTGCTTTATTGTCAGCGAAGATAAAATATACATGACCTTATCACTTGCATTGTTATCTAGCTAATGATTTGCGAGCATGTGTTTCAATTTGTTGCTGAAAATTGAATTTAGTTCAGAGTTGCAAATGCACATTAGGCAAATGTTTTGACTATTTTCTATTTATATATCTTGTAGCTAGCATTTCTAAAATGTAAAATATCCAATCAGTAAAATACATTAGTCATAAGCACATATATATATATATATATATATATATATATATATATATATATATATTTACACTACAAAACATCGCCAATAGCTGGAAAGAGAAAGAAACATCATGCTGGTATTGTTATCTCAAATGGGTCAAAGGGTTGCGGAATTTCAGTTTGATTGTTTAAGAATATAATCGATTGATTATACGAGGCTTAAAAGAACTGATGGAAGTTTTTTATTTGCCCCAGGGAAAACAAACATTTGAACAAATGTTGGCTTCATCAGTCGTAGCTTATTCACGTGTGATAAAAGGTATTACACAATACGCTTAACTAATTTATGAATTATTGGATTTAAATAACATTTGTAGCTTAAACAAGTATGCTTAAGCATAGTTTGTTAAACTTTACTTCATTTGTACCATATTTTTTTATATAGTACGAAATTTAGATATTGTTTAATGGCTCATCAGGAATATACATGTCTTAAAACTTTTTCATCTAAGCAGCAGCAATTATGATTATATTGACATGAACAAAGCTACTAAAACAAAAGGAGGGATAAGACGTTGCACATAGATACTATTATTAATTCTTATAAGATAAGAGATCTTGGCACATACATTATCTGACAAGAGAATCCATAAATGTATTTAATGAGCTCAAGAACTGTAGCTTATGATAATTCTTTTATAATTATAATCGAGTCTGAAGTGCAGGAAAGATAAACTTGTTGAGAGCACAAGAAATCATGAACTTGTTGTGTTTATCGCGTGCCCCAAGTGGAACCTAATAATGATTATGGACCAACTAAATTTACCGCACGAATGAAAGAACAATTGCGTCTATATAATTTATCCAGTTGATGCCCGGCACAATAGAACTTTGGCACTTGGCTCCAATGAATTATAAAACTGGCGCAAAATGATTGAAGGCGCTTATCAGTGCAGCAGCTGCTGCATCTGAGGCGCGGCAGCCAAACCAATGTAATCTAAGTACATACAATTCATATATGTATGCATATGCATATTATATATTTATATATAAACATTCAAATAAAAAAAAAAACAACAACAACACGTGAAGTGTGTGCAGCGTTCGCATTTAAGGAATCACCAGTAAATGAAAGAAGGCGGCGGACAATTCACCCCTGGAGTGTAGAATGAGCGAGAGAGAGGCAGAGAGCGAGAGAGCGAGAGTCAAGCGCCGCGCGACAGATAGCAACGGAAATGGCAACTGCACGATGAGAGAGATATAGCGGGCGAGCGGGAGAGAGCAAGCAGAAACGCTGCCAAAGGGCAGCTGTCGCTGCAACGCTTTATAAATAACAACAAATATTCTGTTTAGCTAGCGACGAACTGTGAATACTCTTTAAAACCAATTGGCAGAGCATTTTTATATATTATCTTGTAAATATTACAGTTTCATATCATGTTTGTTTTTATTTAGCATTAATGAATAAAAGAAAGCTTAAGATTGACACGTTAATGTGAAGTTTAATTAATATTTGGATGATTGACAAGGTGAAAGTATTTGAGGAAACAGAAAAAGCAATATGATCAAATAAATCAAACAAAAAATTTTATATTTGAATTAAAGTTTGATTCAAGTTTTATCTAAAAATTACACATTGTCTTACCTACTGTTGTATAATAATAAAATTAAAATTCTTTAAGAACCGAACCAAGTCACTTAGGAAAGAGTTATACCTACTATAATAGAATTTGTTCTATTCTTATAATATTTTCTATCTTGTCATTTGCATATTCCTTAATTTCAAAGGCCTTTAAGCACTTTATATTAAATTAGGTACTATATTCCTGTACAAGTCCTTTGAGATGTATATGCATATCCAGTTGAAAAAATAAATTTTTGTATGGAATGCATGGTCGCATATCTTTTTTGCTTTTTCTACTTGTGCTTGTTTTTTCATGTGCACCAATTGGATGTTATTATTTTTGGGGCTTATATACATGCACACACATATTAACATTGTAGTTTTTTTTTTTTTTTTTTAATACTCAGACTTAAGCTTGTCGTTTATATTTTATTGCATTCTCAAGACTTTATTTTGTGTGAGAGCGTGTTTTTATTCATTTTTTTTTCGGCACTTGGATGCACTTTAGATGTTTTTTATGCATTCCTCATTGGATTTTGGTTTTGACATACTAAGCGTACTGCTGGCTGGGCCCAGTAAATTAACGCTGACTAAAAGATTTAACTTTTCTGGTGCTTATTTTTGTTAATAAATAAATTTTTTTGATTTATTCTTGTTGCTGTTTTTAGCTTTATTACAGCATTTTAACACTTCACTTTTAGCTACTTACAATTGATTTTTAGCACACTTTTTCGCATTTTGTTGCTGTTGCTGTTGTTGTTCTTGTTGTTGTTGTTGTTTTTGTTAATTTTTTCTTTATTGTGTACTTTTGTCCGTTCTTTGTTGTTGTGACGCAGGACGCACCCAGGGACCGAGCTGCTCTTTTGTCTAGATTTGCGCACTCACGTTTTTGTGACAATTTAATTGGTTGCGTTTTGTTTTAATTGTTGTACTTAATAGAGGCGCAACTAAACTATGAATATAGTAACAACAATAATACTATTTAATTACAAAAATTAATTTTCCGACTACGGATACCGAACGCGCGAGCGCACGAAGTGACAAGAAAACGGCAACTGCGGCAAACGCGCGAAATTTGTGACAACCGAGTCGTACAAATCGAATAATAGGCAGAGAGTGAGAGAGAGAGAGAGAGAGTGAAAGAGAGAGTACGTGTGGGAGCAGGAATTTTAGAACTCACATGTGCGCGCTGACCCCATGAGAACAACGAGCGACGCTGAGCGGCGTCGGGAGAGCGACGCATGCGTTGCCCCAATTTGACATATGAAAAGGGGGCGGCTATTGGCAGAGACGCCTGAGAGAGAGAGAGAGAGAGAGAGAGAGGGTAAGAGCGTGAGAGAGATTACGTCAACTGCGCGAAAGCCGGCATGCGGCCGGCTGCTGAGCGTTTTTGATAATGCAGCACAATTAACTTAATCTACGCATACAATATGAATGCATTTAATACGAATTTATCAAGAGGGCAAAGAGAGACAGAGAGAAAGAGGGAGTGATAGTGTGTGTGTGAGAGAGTATTGTATATTAAGTCTTACAATTAGAGCTGTAGATTAGCTACCCCCAGCACAACCAGGTGTGTATGACAGCTGTGACGAGTGAGAGTTAGCCGAGAGCAAAAAGAGCGAGAGCAATAAGCTAGGCAAAACAGCTGTTCAACAGGACTGAGGGCTTGTTTTGGGGGTAAGTTGACATTAGATTTGTCTCTTTAGTCCGCAAGATCCTTAAAATAAAATATTCTATTACAAACAGGAAATCTAGTTGTTGTAGCATAAATCTTAAGTGTCCTCTGACTTAATCGATTACGAGCTGGTTTTTAAGATGTGAAAAATTACGAAGGCTACACTCTCGTTAGTTAGACGTATTTTATAAGATTTTAGTATTAACGGTCTTGCTTAGACACATCTGAGGGATTGGTATGTCTTTTCATTGAAACGATTTTCGCACAGGTGGAAATCTTTTTCTAGCTAAATCAAAATGATCAATTTTGTTTTATTTGGATATCAATAAATAACTTTTACTAAACTGTGGATATGTAAAATCGATATTGATATATTTAAGTTTTTAATACTCGGGTGAGAGCAATTTCGCAATTTTCAATCTGAAACAATCAATTCTGAATCAATAAAATGATTCTGTACAACTAAGGCAGGTTTTCGATTAACTTTCTGAAATTAAAGTAAATAGAATTGCCAATTTGCGGCAACAAGAAATCTGTTCGCTCTTAGGTTTTTCCAAAAAATTACCATTTTCTTAGATTACATTTGAACAGAACTTCTTGCGATAAGAAAGAATACTTCATTAATTATGAGATAGGAACAGCTAAATTCTTGTGGTTCGCAATGTCTAGCAAAGTTCCCAACCTGCGTGCCATAGCCCTAAGCTTTTGTATGTGCACGCCAAGCGATCGTTTTGGCTGCTATAAAACAGGAAATTTTTTTTTTTTTAGATATTTGTCAAATTGAAGTCGGGAACTTTATTTGCTACGTACATAAAGACGTTAAATTTGACATATTTTATTTATCCATCAGTGAATAATTAAAGGCACTTGCGTGTGTACGTGTGAGATACATACATTATGGATGTATTTCTATTTGCTAATCTTATAAACATGTCTATATTACACTTTCAACAATAATAAACATGTATCGTACGTACACATCTACACAGTGAATTCATTTATTTTTGATGACAATATATAGCATTCGTATTATTTATTTTATCCAATATACAGATAGGCTCCCTAATATATAAGTATGTACATTCGTGTGTGTCGTGGCATGTATTTGCATTATTCTTGTTGAATGGTACTAAGAGTAAAATCAAGAGTCACGCTGCAAGCGAAATAGTTTGCGTGTGAATTGATATAAAATAACTAAAATAAACACAAATATTGTATGGGCCAAAGCAAATTGTTATTTCGTTTTTTTTTCTTCTCTTCTTGTTTTGTTTAGTCAATGAATCAAAATGTTATACAAATTGTTAGATAGTAGGAAATATTTTTCAAAAAATAACTTTCCGACGAGTATTTTTAATGCAATCAAATTGTAGCGGATAAAACCCGAAAAATAAAATGGTTATATTTTATCTTGGTCAAGTTTAATCTTTGTTTGTGTTACAAAAAAATGATCTCAATCAAATTTAAATGATGTCTAGAACTATATTATGATTCGCTTATATAAAAGTTATACTAGATTACAAAACTATATTTAACTTAAGATTAATATAGCACTATCTATTTGTACAAAGATTTTTATATATATATATATTTTTATGTTCTTTTTTCTTAAGCAATTTTATATAGTTCTTTTGTTGTTTTTCTAACCTAAATGCTTGAGTCTTAGACTTAGATGCTGGCCTACAAAATTATATAGTATCTCCTTTTATGAATATTCAGTTGATTTGTTTTGGTTACACATGGATTCAGACTGTGGTAAATTTCATGCATGTTAATGGGCATACGAAAATGATTTTATTTCTGGGCCTGCCATATGATCAATCATGGCCGCGTTTATCACTCGATTATCTCAATAGGAGAATATCACAAAATTCCTAGAGTACAAAACTGTGATCAAATCCTAGAGGAATGAGCAGCACAATATGAGCACCAGCACGGTTATGGGAAACAGTGCATAAATCTCGCTGCGCGGATGACATGTCGAGATTAGATTTGTAATATCATCCTCCTCGTGCTCAATGCCATCACGTGTGGGCACCTCGACAACGACAATTTCATCGGACAGAAAACCAATGTTGAAACTGCAATCGGTGCTGTTCAGACAGCCGCGCGATTCACTTAAGTTCGAGTACTGAAATGTTGGCTTATATATATCAAATATGGCGTGTATATCGTTGCGAACCAGATCGTTGTCACTGTAGAATATATAGTAGTAGTAGCCATCCTCGGTGATATTATGCTTCACTGTGTCGTGCTTGCCCTTTTCCAGAAAATGCGCATTCATGCACGCCGGCTTCGGTGGAAAGCCCTCGGCCAGCAATATGGCGCCATTGAAGCAGTCGAAGAGGCCAGTCTCAAAGCTCGATATGGAGTTCGATTCGTCGGTTTCCGTAAAGTTGACAGCATTGCCGCCGTGACTGTACTTCCGATCGTAAACATTTTCACGCTTCTGCCTCTCCTTGCGCTTGTACAGCTGATCGAACACTTCCTTTTTGCGCTGCTCCTGTTCCTGTTGCTGCGGCTCATCTGCGTGACGCCTCTGTCGATTGGCTGGCAATACTGGCGTATTGCTCTGATTGAGTACGGCTCCTTCCACTAACTCCATGGACTTGGACGCCTGATGGGGTGTGCCTTTTTTGAGCTTTTTCCTTAGACGCTTGGCCGGCGACGGCGTTGTGCTGACATTGAGTGCCGCCAGATCCTCGCTGAGATCTTCGCCGCCATGATTCTCATGCTCCTGCAGGCCATCGGCTGGCACTTTCTCTTCGGTTATTTCCACCACATCCTCGAAGAATACCTTCACCTGCTCGTGACCCTGTGCGTAGTTGGCACCCTGCTTGTTCTTATTGTGATCCGTCAAGCCGCACAGCTTCAGCTCCCGCTTGCCCTTGATCACCAGTATGCGAGCGCCATTGTAGCGTGAGCAGAACTTGAGGGACACTCGCGCCCCCTTGAGCAAAAAGAAACCCCAATATTCGAGGGTATCGTCCGGCAAAGTCATCGATTTCTTAAGTCTTATGTGCTTGCGATTCGTAGATATTTCGGGCTTATTGCGCAACTGAAATGCATTGAAATTGCTGCTCATGCGCAGCGTGTGCTTCGAACAGAATATCGATGAGATGCCATCCCTGATCTCAATGATGTCCGATTCCGCAACCGGATAGATGACATCCGCAAATATCGTCTTGCGCATATAGAGCGGCATTATGATCAAAATCGCTGGCAGTATCACAATCATAATGCAAAACACCAGCACACGCTTGACGCCGTGCATATTGCGGGTCTCTGAAACGAAACGGACAGATAAAAGATAAGTTTCAGATAAGCTGACAGTTTGTAGAACTGCGAAATTTGTATAAGTTTGCTTAAATATACAATATTTTTTATTATATGTAAGAGTTTTGCAGGAAAGCTAATCAAATCTGTGCTGTGTGTGATCCATAGAAAAGATCTTCTAATACTTGAATAATACTTTTTTTCACATAAGATCTCTCTCTTATTTATTGCTAAATCTTAATTTTTTCTTAACTCGTGTTTAATTGAAATGTGCTTCAAGTTTGGAGTTTCTTAAAATTAATAATTTCTCACGTTTTGCCCCACCTTCAAAATGATATTCCGTAATTTGTTGCATTTTGTTCTGGTTTTGTTTTTTTTTTTTTTTTTTCAGAGGAAATCCTTTTAGCAATTTCTTAATATATATTTTTTCCGGCACTGCGCGTTGCGTGCTTCGCCCAGGCAGGCTTTTTGAGAACTGATTTGATAGTGAGATTATCAAATTAGACTGTCGCCTCACAGGGCGGTTTTCCATTATTTTTATCGCTCGACTTGAGGCGTAGAAAGAGCGTAGAAGCTTTGAGAGGCTTGGAGGCATGACTGTTGCCTCCAAGCAAATAGCTGAGTATATTGGTCTATCAACAAGCCACAACAATGGCAAATTTTATTCAAATATGTGCCCAAACTATTTGCAAGCTTCATTCGAAGCCACAGAACCAGGCGCTAACTGACAGACTCTATTTAATTAGTGTTTAGTGTTCGACGCTTTGGTCTGACGGTGCCCAATTTCTTGAGCTTATTCGGTAAACTTTTGCTTGATTATTTGCCTATTCTTATTGCTTTTTTTTATGAACTTTTAAGTTTTGTTTCGGCTATGAAAAACTCTATAGTAAATAAATCTCATAGATGTTAGTTGAAGACTCCAGATATTGTTGTTATTTATGCAATTTGAATAATTGTAATTACATTATATTTTAGCCGCAATATGAAGACATCAGAAGTTTTTTTAATTTTTTATTGTTAATATCCTGTAGAATAATTGTAAAGATGCAATTTGAAGTCTAAAGTATTATTTTTATATTTTTAATATTATTATTAAAACAAAATAT